TTCTCAGGAGAGTTTATGAGAACTCGAGTTCCATCAACTGGACAGGGGTTGCTTAATGATTCCCAATTCATTGCATGGATCGGGGGGAAAAGCGACAAAGGTCCAATTCTTGCTTTTGAAGCCAAACAGGGCTATGGCAAAAGTTTTCTTTGCTCCATGGTCATTCGCCATCTGTTTCACCTGCATCCTCCTGCACATCAGGACTCTCGAACCTCAATTGCTTATTACTTCTTCCAAAAGGAAAATAAGGACGAGAAGTCGGTTAACAAAGCATTACGGGCTATAGTATGGCAGCTTACTGACAATGACGTGGTTTACCGAAAGTGGGTTGCTGCTGCTTGTAATAAACCAGAAGAATTCGGAAATTCTTTAGAATTATGGAAGCAGTTGGTTTTTCAATTCTCAACAAAAACTGAAGCTACATTTTTTATTGTCCTTGATGGCATCGATGAAGCTGAAATGAGCACCGGCCATCCGCTTATAGAAATTATTCGAGATATCTCATTAATGTTTCGAGAGAAACGGCCACTGAGTATCAGATTGCTGTTGACCGGTAGACCAAGAGCCTTCATGGAAATTCGGAATGACCCAAAGATAGCGTTGTCGTCTATTACCTTGGGAATTAGAAACGAGGATGATATTGTCAAATATATCGATGCCCGAATGGATCACATGGAAATTCTAAAAAGATCAAGCCACCCGGATATTCAAGAACTGAGAAGTTGCATTCGGGTCAAGCTTACAGGCGGTGTTGGAGGTGACTTTTTCAAGTTAAATTTCATGCTCACCGAGATTAGCAAGAAGAGAAGACGAAAAGAAATCGAAGAAGTCTTGGAGCATGCCGATGAAGACCGACTGGACACAATCGCTCGTGAAATTGATCGACTGAACAAGACACTTGGTGAAGAGGATATCCAGGAACTTAACGACCTCCTAGGGTTTGTTATTACCTCCATCAAGGCCCCAACCCTTGAATTACTCGAGGCTGTTCTTCTTGTCAAGAACGGCGAAGGTTCACTTGTGCCCCTACGAGAGCAGATACAAGACAAATATTCTGCTTTCCTGGAGATAGCGTCAGATGGCACGGTTTCGATCACCTCGGATGCTATCATTGACTTTTTCCGTAATGAAACATTTGCTGCAAAGGATCTCACACCAGGGCGGCGTGGTGCCGCCCTCCATGAAGCCGAGGTTGCAATTATTAGGCGATTCTTGCGGAATGTTTGCGATGAGGAATTGTTCAACAAATTTGGATTCGAAGAATTCTTTAAACGCAAGTTGAGCAACAAGTCGGCTTGTATAAACGTCAATTTTGACCGCGCCAAAGTTGATATTGTCGCTTATTGTCTCGACGCCATTTGTGGTGAACCCAGCGACCAGACGGCCTGTCTGGTGAATTATGCTTCCTATTTCCTTGTATATCACCTTGATGATGTTGATCTAGATCTCATAGCCCCCGAACCAAAAAGCTATATCGGGTCTCGTCTTATCAAACTTTTTTCCGACGAAGAATGCATCAATGCATGGTGGGCACCAGAACGAATGTGGATGTATGAAATGTGGACCTATGAAGATGCCAATGTTATGACCATAATGAAATGGTTTAAGGACTCTGCTGTTGTGAAAGGCCTTTCGGGAGCGGAAAAAGAATGGCTTAATGGCTTAACGTCGAATTCAAAGCCGGATGATGATCTCCTTAGACCGACAGCGAAAATAATGGCAAAGCGTTGGTTAAGGTACTTAAACTGGGGTCTGGCAAAATCGGTCTTGTGGCTTTTAGGCTACGTCAATAAAGTATGTAAAGGACCCGCTGCCGTCATCAGTAAACTTGGATTAACATCGCTTTTAGATAAAATCCAGGATTGACGGTTCAGAACGCACGGCTCTGACTCCGTACCCGACCGAGGAACAGATTTTGGAGTTAGAAAGTTGGGCTGAGTCCGAGTTAAATGTCACAGAAAAAGACAAGTATTGGAAACTGCAAATGGCATTCACGTTCGTTGACTTCAGATTGGGCAAAAAAGCTGTTGAGCTCAGCCTGTCTTCTTGTGAGGATGAACCTGACAGCTGGGAACCTCAATTCTGTCTTGCTAGGGCATATGGCCAAATCGGCGAGCATAAAAAAGCGCTGCAAGTATTGTCTTCAGTAATTGAGGCGTTCCGAGAGGACCAAACCCTTCTGGAAGACAGAAGAGATTTTTTCTGCACGGAAGTGCTCCACTCGCAGGGGCTCTGGAGTTGCTGCATTAACGAATACGATGCCTCGATGGCTGCTTTTGCAGAAATAAGCAACCACCAACCAGACAACTATTGGAGTGTTTGCAGCATGATTGACACAATGTATAAAGGGGAGAAATATTCGGATATTATGGCTCTTCTCAAGAATATGCAACACCAGACGAATTCTGAGGGACTGAGCCGTGTAGTCGCCCTGGTACATGAATTTGCTTACGATCATGTGTACCACCTAAATGTTATCGATGCCGGCAAACATTCAAATCAGTGGGGAGTACTGAAGGAAATATACCAAATTTCCATAGATGCAGCCAGAAATCACCCAAACAAGAAAATTCTAACCTTCATCCGTCGTTGGTATGGTATCGCATTGTATAAGTTCCCCGAGTCAGAGGACGATCGCAAAGAGGCGATCTCTGTCTGGGAAGAAAATGTCGGCCTAGCCTCAACTTCAAAGGAAGATTTTTTGGGCCCTCTCGAAAGCCCAACCATCGATTATCTAGCATCCATATATCTTGAAAAGGCTAAGCATGAAGCCTTTGGTGGGCCTCTCGCCGAACACTACGTTGCCCAGCTCCTACGCCTTTGTGAACTGTTGCCAGAGAAAAGCCACGCAAACTTTGGAAGGCTTATTCTAGCAAGGTTGTATTTCTTGATGGGAAAGCGAGATAATGCTTTAGATGCTGTCAAATGGTTCGTGAAATTCGGCCTCGATCTTCTTTCTGATGAAGACCTTGCCAACGATTCGGACGGATATTACATACTAGCAACCTCCCTCCACTTTGTCGATGATATCAATTCGTTAGCTGCGTGGTCATTATTGTGCCCTCTAGTGGAAGAAACCGAGGACCAGGGTCAACAAACAGCAATTCGAGGTCAGGCTGATGAGATACCTGAACAGGATGCAGCAGACGAAATCAACCGTCATTCAGGCCCCGAAGAGCACACGCCATTGGATGTTCGTAGTGGAATGGCGGATAATAATATCATTTCAGCTGGGGAAGAGGAAGGATGTGAAGAAACAGATACCAGGGAACCACATTATTTGGGGGAGGAACCTGGTATTTTCTCCGATGCTGAAAATAACAACCAATTGTCCGCATCCGATGAAGATTCTAGGTCTCGAGTGCCGTCTCCATCTCCTTCTTTCGAATCCCGCGTAGGAACGCTGTACATCAGATGTGATGGTAACCGCTACTGCGACCGAACCTGGACCTTTGCTAATGACATATATGTGTGTAAGGATTGTTTGAAAGTGCATTTATGCAAATATTGCTTTGACAAGCTGCAGGCGGGTACCTTGCGAGATATCTGTTCCAGGAGATCAGTAGTTTGCGAGAAATCGCACGAGTTCTTGCATGTGCCAAGATGGAATGATGAGGAAGCCAGTAGGATACCTAACGGACATGTGAAAGTAGGTGAGAATGTTATTACCATTACAGACTGGGTGAATAATATGCGAAGCCAATACGGGCTCACCGTGGGAGAAAGAAGTGATGCGCAGATTGGTATGGCAGTGGAATGATGTTCCGGATAAATTTTTTCTAAGTGTTCTGGATTTCATTTTAAAGTTTCTGTTGTGATATCCCCTAGTTATGTTATGCTTTATTCATCCAATGTTCAAGCATGGTTTTCCTTCGAAGGAATGGAGGTGTAAATTTTGCCTCTTACAGAATGAATAGGGCCGGATGCAATCTAACTAATTGGCATGCTCAACAGTAGCTTGGATATGTATGAAATAGTTACAACTATATAGCGCTGTGCCTTTTTGCTGGGCTGCAGTCAAGCCTTTCTCTCTCAGGCATCGTTCGTTGGAAATAATAGTAACTATTGTGTTAGTTGGAAATGGCCAAGATCCGATCCTCCACACGGATGGCTGGAAACCTTGTGTAGGATTCAGGGTTGTTAGTGGGATAAAATCTAACTGATGGCGGGCGGATTTGATCACTTGTTAACAGGCTTCACGGCATCCAACTGGCCGCGGGCTCAGTCAGCTGCACCAAACCTCTCCTTTTTAGCTTATTGACTCCTTTCTTCCTTGCTGGAAAAACGTCATTATGCATGTCAGGTATGAAGGGGGAATATGTGGAGAGCTGAGAGCAAGCCCATCCACAAAACCATTTCATAGACACTCACCTCCTACACTGTGCAGGTTGCGTCAACCACGTTGGCGACGAGTTCGATATTTCTGACTACTATCATCCTTCTATTATCCTCTTGTCTTCCTTTGCGCTCTTATCTAGAATCAAACCCGAAACCCTTGCGGGCACCACTCTACACTAATCTGTAACACGACCCGTATGAATTAGCCAAGTTCCTGACTGCCGTCTTCACAAATAGCAAAAACCATACTTTCTCATGCTAGCCATCCGTATAATCAAACTATTTTTCTATCTCCCCTCGGCTTTCCGCCTCGAGGGGGCTATATTCTCGTCGCAACGGCGTCAGATCTAGAATCAGGAGTAACCACGCCCTTGCTCAAAGATGATAACCTAACGGGTTTCAACGGCGATGTCGATGGTGGCAATAACGATCGCGCTCAGATAATCAACACGAAGCGGTCGCGGAGAAGGAATAGACCTGATGAGACGGCTACCTCTAGCTCGTCTGCGTCAAGAGACGTTGCCCCCAAGCAGTTGGACTCGGAGGATGGTAATTCTATCAAGTATCGGACTTGCAGCTGGCAAAAGGTAAAGCCTCATTGGATTAAAGATGTCTATGAGCTGTCCAGGGTCGAGGGTGATATTACTCTGGAACAGATGGAACAGATTAACCATTGTCGCCATCCTCCCCTAAAGCCACAAGGGGAAAAAAATACTCCCCAAGTTAAAAACTCCTAGGAAAAATCGATGTTGACAGCTAACGTTGTACAGACTTCAGCATTGCTCTTCTCAGAATACATCTGCCTAGCCGTCATGTCATTCCCATTCTCGTATTCCGTTCTCGGTCTTGTACCTGGTTTGGTTTTGACGATTTTGGTGGCTGCGGTAGTTCTCTACACCTCATTGATCATCTGGTGAGCTGAAATAGGAGCCCTACAGAAAGCGCAATATTCAAAGTATTAACTGTTAGCACCATAACCAGGGAATTTTGTCTCCGTCATCCAGAAGTTCGAGACGTTTGTGATATCGGGCAGTACCTCTTTTACGATTCCCAACTTGCATGGTACCTTACGGCGGCAATGTTTTTGCTCAATAATACTTTCATTCAGGTATGTACTCTACGTACTTTCCACATTTCCACACCACCTTTGTGAGTGATTACCACAGGGTAGGGGAAATTTTCCCAACTAACTAACCATATATAAATATATCAGGGATTGCATTGCTTGGTGGGCGCGAAATATCTCAATGTGATGACCAATCACGGCGCTTGTACCATAATATTCGTGGCAATAACCACCATCATTTCATTCATTTGTTCTCTTCCTAGAACTTTCAACACCCTATCAAAACTCGCGAGTCTATCTGCGTTCTTTACATTCATTTCGGTAGCGTTAGCAACGATTTTTGCTGCTATCCAACCACATCCAGCGCGGTTTACTCCAGGCCCGGACAGAGGGGAAGGGGGCGGGGGAGGGGAGCCTGTTGTACTCCTCTGGCCGGCTGCAGGGACGACCTTCATTGCCGCTATGGGAGCGTTCCTGAATATCAGTTATACGTTCATTGGCCAGGTCACTCTCCCCAGCTTCATCGCAGAGATGAAGAATCCCAAGGAGTTCAACAAGTCTCTATATGTCGTTACCATCGCAGAGGTAATCGTATTCAGCATCGTTGGCTCTGTCATCTACGCATACACTGGAAATCAATACATGACATCACCAGCATTCGACTCGCTGAGCAACAGCGTCCATAAAAAGATCTCGTTCTCATTTATGGTTCCAACATTGGTTTTCCTCGGCGTCCTGTATGCTTCTATTTCTGCCAGGTTCATATTTTTCCGTTTGTTCGACGGAACCCATCACAAGGGGAATCACACGGTTGTTGGGTGGCTGTCTTGGGGAGCTATCCTGGCAGCAACCTGGGTCGTCGCTTTCATGATTGCTGAGGTTATTCCATTTTTCTCTGACCTGCTTTCCATCATGAGCTCGCTTTTCGATTCTTTTTTTGGCTTTATATTCTGGGGCATTGCGTATATACGCATGCGCGGAGTGGATTATGGTTCAGACTTCTACCGAAAGCGTGGGTGGCGTGGGTGGCTAGGATTCATTCTCAACCTCGCTCTCATTGGGATGGGGTTCTACTTTCTAGGTCCTGGAACATACGTAGGTCGCTAACTGTTGTGGATTGTTTCTTCTTTCCTTTAATGCTTATGAATTTGGGCAGATGATGCTAATACTTTTGAAAAACCCAGGCTTCTGTTGAAAGCGTCCTTCTTAAATACCAAGAAGGGAATTTTGGAAGTGCGTTTTCATGTGCGGATAATAGTTTATAGAAGCGGGCCTCACTGGATGACATTGATGTGATTTAATCATTTTTTGGATATCCCTCACGTCTAGAGGCACGATGGTTCAGTTTATCACAAAATTAGGATTAAATTTGATTGTTATTAGAGGTAGGTATCCCCAAACAAATCAAAAACATGGAAACTATGACACTAGAAGACTCAATCACGGCATACCAGAAACGAAAAGGAATAGAAACTATTACTGTGCGAGATTACTGTGCAAGGCGAGAGTCCACTATCACAAATCGAAGGTGATATCCCAAGGAATAATATAATTTCACCCATAGCGGACATGAAACACAGAAAGCCGGAGACAAGAGTGGTTGAAAAAAAAAGCAGGACATACTTGCAAATATGTCAAGAATTAGGCGGAAAATGCCGAAGATGTTTAAAGCATTCATCAGAATGCATATCAGAAATATTTGGAAAAAAGGGCGAAAGAAAGGGGAAACAAACTGAACTCAATATCAAAAATCGGGAGAAGTGGACACCTTCTCAAGAGGACCAAAAGAGAGGTCAGAAGATGAAGAAAGGAAAACGAAAGGTAAGAGAGAAGAAAGAAGTTTCCAATAAGAAACTATTTATCCTCATAACTCCGAATTATGCATATCCCATTTTTTTTTTTTTAAGCTTCGTTGTCCTCAGCAAACGTAAAAGCCTCTCGGATCGTCCAATGCTTCAATCCTTCAATGGGCTCCTGATACATCTCAGCCAAAAACTCACCTGCCGCAAAAGTAGCATAGTGTTCCATGTCCAAAGCCTCCTCAGCGTCTTTTATCCTTATGGGATGCACAGTTCTGCCGTACTCCGCATCTATGCCAGTGGGTACTACGGGATCAATAGTGTCTAGCAGTTCGAGCGGTTCGGGAATGAGCTGGATAAGCGGCTGATCCAGCTTTGTTTCCATATAATCTGCGTACATAGGCGGTTGTGGCCATGTGTTTTTCTTCTGCCTGTCAAGTTTCTTCTTCATGAGTTGCTGAACGTCGCAATTTTCGTCACCTTCGTCTGCTAGATCTTCGATTACTTCTGCTTCTTCCTCTTCTTCCTCTTCTTCTTCTTCTACTACAAGACCCTGCCTGCGCAACATGTCCTCCTCGTCTCTCTTTTTGTAATATCCCGCCCAGGCGCCAGTTGTAAGTTGAGGGTGGCATCCTGTGAGCGCGGAGAGACCGGGGACTTCCCTCCGGTACATTTTTACGTGCTTGATCTCGAGTTCCTTGGCTTGTACACGGAGAGTGGATATTGGGGGCGTGGAGCTTTTGCCATCCAAGAAGGACCTCAGAGCTGTTAGGCCGCGGGCTATTTTCTCCCGGGTTTCCTCCATTGTTTCCGGCAGGGTCGTGTGCGGGAGGAGTGGCTTGAAGATGGGGAAGAGAGCCTTAGAAGCGGGTCGTAAGCCTGCTCGCCGCGTTAGCTGATCAAAAGGGTTTGTTGGGGAACATGGGAGTAACAGTGGCTCCGTGTTAATGGATATATTCTGTGTGTCATGAGATTCGGGTTGGTCAGTTGCTGTTGACTTCTTTGGGAATTCACGTTCAGATTGACAACCAAGCCGCGGTCGACTACGGCAATCCACCCGTTTAATCCATGCGTCATACTGCTCGCGACGGCGAGCCGCAGCATATTTTGCTGCCACAATTTGGTCCCCCGGTGTATCTTTTTTCTTCGCTTCTCTAGCTTCAAAATAGCGGCGTACTTTCCAGTGCACCTTCCAGGGCATTAGTCTTATCGCCTTTTTCAAATCGAATTTGATGGGCTTGGGTTGCTTGATGATCGCGCAAATTGACCTTTGCCCCGTTGGTATTCGGTCTCTGCCATCCTCCTTCTCATGTGTCAAAAGGAATGAAGGTGGCACATCAACATCCTCACTGTATTGTGAGATGTCAACCTGTTTTTCTTTGCCCTTCGAAACAACTTTTGATTGTTCCAAGTCGTTGTCGGGAGCCAAGTCCTGGAAATTTGTCCTCTCTTCTGGAGAAAACGGATCGCAAGACTCGACAGCACATTCAGCATCATCACCATCCATGAAAATAACTGGTAACTTCCGGATCGGGGGCCGAGCAGGCCCAGGAACGCATGGCTCTTCGCTTTCAATCAAGGAAGGTGACAGTGGCAACTCATAACCAGTGGTCTTATATACATCAACTGCGAAGCTCAGAGAAGACATTACAGTGCTTAAATTGGAGAATCCTCTCGCAGGAATACCTTCCGTCTCCCTCATGATAAACCCACTGCAGGATTTTGGTTTCTTTTCTGCCAATCGATCATTTCCAGGTGTTGAATATAAACTGTGCCACCCAGGATAGCCTGCTACTTTGTCAACATTCGATTTGACGAACGGAGTTATGAACGATAACTGGTGAAGAATAAGTTCTTCCGTCCATTCTTTTGGGGCGTCTTTTGCATGATGATACCGACCAATTCCTGTCCTCGGATAGGAGGCGCCAGAGCGACCTATAAAATACCAGGACTGCTTAGGAATTTGGTCGTGACAATGTTGGGGTAGATGCAAACCTTTTTGTCTAGTTGCTTTCGTATTGCCAACTTAAATTGGTATCAGTATCCGAATTTGGGCCTATGGGACGCCAGCCAGGGTGTGTTATTTACTCACCATCCCCGTCACCGTCACCGTCACCCAGTTTCCCAGTTCCCATTCCCCCTTCCACTTCTTCCTCTTCATCGTCTGGCGGCCTATCATTAAGCGACCTATTTTCCTCTAGCTCTCCAAAAAACATATCCCATTCTTCGTCAGCAGACGTGCAGATTGTCCTGCGTCGCGTCGGCACGTTTGATGACTGCGGATCATCATTAGTACTGGATGCTGAACTGCGCATCTCCGCTATGGCCGCTTCCCACGCCCTAGCTGAAAGCTCATGTGCTTTCTCAAGTCGCGTTATATGCAACCTGTCCGCAAGGCCTGCACGTAGGTAGGGTAAGCTGTTCGTCACGGTCCTTTAAATGAAGACGTTGGGAGACGCATACCTCTCCCAAGACACTTGTCCAGGAGTTTATCCCACACACTATTTCTGATTACCGACGTGAAGCGCTCACATGCGGCTTCGAGGGTTAGAGACGACATCTCCGGATTATTAGGAGCAACTACATGGGTATGAAAATAAACTGAAAAGACATGGGTAGAGAGAATAGTGGTCCTCTTTTCAGAAAGGAAGTTGGAAAGGAACAGTGTACTGAACTGACAACACTGCAGTGCTAGAAATTTAGAAGAAAGAAATGAATCCTTCTAAGGGTAAACACAACAGAAGTCAACAACAGCACGGCTCCTTATAGAATGGAGGCAAGGGTCTGAAGTCGCCGAGTGATAAATTCTGGACTCTGGGTGTGCTCGTGAGGCCTGGGGAAGAAAATATCTAGCCTCGCCACACTAGGTAAGTGAAAGAAAGAAGGATATAAAGAAAAAAAAAGCAGTTGTATGTGTATAGTAGAAATATGCAAGAATCTACTACATTATATGTGAATATCCGCAGATGATTAGTGGCCATGTGAAAGATAACTTGTATAATCGCAGCTATAAGAACCAGCATGCTGAGAAACTCCAGTGCACAGGTCAGAAAAAGGCATGAATATTGCGGGTTTGAATGTCAAATAATATCTCAAAAAGCGAATGGGTTTGCAGCGTTCACATGCCATCTTTTTGATAAGGAGGCCACGGTATACTCCTGAATCTCATTAACAGACAGCTGCTGTGAGAGGTTTCGCATTGAAAGTCGAATATACCGCGTGATTCCGAGAAAAAACCCAATACAAATTGGGTAGAATGTTAACATTAAGTAAGGCCATAACATCTGCTGCATCCCATACCATTTGGTGTTTATATTAAATATGGTAGCCCTTCAATGCATCGTTTGGGGAAGTGACAACGCCCAGGGCAGGAGAGCAACAGCCGGCCGGCCCTAAAAGACATTGAAATCCCCAACATGACTAGCAATTGGGAACAGAACACCTATCCGACTTAAAATAGACGGCTACAGTATAATGTTGAAAAGCTTCTTGGGGATTGGGGTCCTTCTTTCAATCCTGGCTGTCGGCATTTGTCCCCTGATAACCAATCAATTAGCATGTCAACAAAGAACACAAAGGAAATAAAAAGCTAACTATCACTACACTTGCCTCACCACCCCTTCCCATCTTCCTGCTGTTTGCTCTCATCAATTGGCTGCTGTAATATCCTATTGATGTTGATGTTGGAGTTGGATGGTACAGATCAAACAATTGATGTTGGGATAAAGTTCGTCCGACGCCCAAGTCATCATCACCTTCTCTCCCCAGAAATCACGTCATTCCAACGGCGCATTTCATTTCTCTTCAAGGAGATTTATTCTTCTTAAATCACATATATTTTAGCTACGGACACCTTCCCATTACTGTCCATACTCCCTTTCTTCTCTCGGATTCAAATTTTTAGACCGATCTTCAACTTGCTACCCCGCACCCCGCCAATTGCTCGCGATCTAGCTTGCAGAAGAAAACCCCTACCGACGACCTCAACCCTCAATTGACCTACAAATAATTTCCCATACTGATCAAACTCAGTATCACCAACATGGCGACGTATGATTCCAGACATTTGATGGGTTTTAACCCTGCCATGAACCCATCTAATCCCAACCAAACAGCAACATAACATACCATCCCCCGCACCTAACTCGCGCCGAGCGCACCGCCCTCCGCAGACAACAAGGCCTCACAATCTGGCTCACCGGCCTCTCCGCCTCCGGCAAATCTACCATCGCCGTCGAGCTTGAACACCAGCTCCTAACCCAGTACAATGTCGCCGCCTACCGACTGGACGGCGACAACATCCGCTTCGGCCTCAACAAGGACCTCGGCTTCAGCGAAGCGGACCGCAACGAGAACATCCGGCGCATCGCGGAGGTTGCGAAACTGTTCGCGGACAGCAACACCATCGCCATCACCTCGTTTATCTCGCCCTATCGCAAGGACCGTGAGTTGGCGCGCCAGCTCCATGCGGCGGCAATTCATGGCGAGGGGGAACAGGAATCTGGCTTGCCATTTGTTGAGGTCTATATTGATGTCCCTGTTGAGGTGGCGGAGCAGAGAGATCCGAAGGGTTTGTATAAGAAGGCGCGGGAGGGGATTATCAAGGAGTTTACCGGGATCAGTGCACCGTACGAGGCCCCCGAGAAACCTGAGATTCATATTCGGAGTCATGAGGTTGGGATTAAGGAGGCGGTTGCGCAGATTATTAAGTATTTGGAGGGAAAGGGCTATTTGCCTGAAAGAGCCGTGCATAATTAGAGTTATTGCCCTGATCTTTTTTGTTTATATATATGCTTTTCAGTTTTCATCATGTTTTTGTTTTGGATCTATTCTCTTGTCTCATGTTCCGGGATGTGTGATGTCCAATTTATAGAGTTGGCATGAATTAGATACTAAGCATGTAGAATCACGAATATCTCATGTGATTAATGATACCCGATGAATTATGCCCGAAATATGGGAGATAAGAGCCTCACAAAACCACATCCATCGTCCAAGGGTAGCATGTTTGCTGTATTCTCCCCTATCTCTTAGCATGGACATTAAAAAAGAAGGGGGGAAAATCTAGGAGAAAATCGAGTGACAATTATAGCTATTAAGTCTGACACGGTGGGCTTATAATATATCATCAGTAGCGAGAGAGTCGCAGAAGAAATGTTCGGGGTGTAGAAGAATTGAGTCGAAACACTCCAACAAACTAAATATATGTCGCAGGTCCCAGATATAATGACAACATTGAAAAAGGAAAGAAAGAAACGGTGCGCAAGCACATTTGTAAAAATGTAGGCATTAGTAAAGAAAATAGAAACCGCATGCGATACAAATAAATGAAAGATCAACGTCACTGAGCGTGTCATCATCCAAATGTATTAATTCATCATTTTCCTTCCCATTTCATAATACCGTTAAGATTCGAAATGAAAAATGAAAATAGACGAGATGCCTCCTTTTATACGGCAGGATGTGAGTGAAGTCCGTTGGGAGCTGGCTGGCTTCAAGCTCACTCGAACTCTATCTCGTAATATACAAAAGCGGTATACTCACCTGCTCCGCTCTCACCTGCTCCGCTGACATGCTGCATATCCAGAGGATCATCTTTTTGGACACGGCCTTTCTTATCACGCCCGAAGGCGTTGCCCGCTAGGTACGAGTATGAGTCGTCAAGGAGACTCTTTGCTTTTCTTGCTTGTTTGTTTGTGGTCTGGTAATTTTTGTCCCCTTTGTTAACAAGGATAATCTCCGCGGGGAGCTGAAGGAGGAAGGGTCAAGGTAAAGGAGTGTGTTGGTTGCGATCGGAAGGTAAAAAGAACCAAAGGCGCTGCATGAAGGGGTTGCAGTGGTGGCCACAAGGGAAGCACAAAAAGGGCTGCAGACCGCAGGGACCAGCGAGGGAGAGTGTAGGAAAGATAAATCCACCAACCTTTATCAATGCGCACACAAAGTCCAGCGGCAACCCATATCTCAACACCGTCTCTACAAACACCCTCAAGACAAGCACATGCACCCAGGCCATCACAGCCTCGCTCCACCCGGTCCTTGCAAGCCGCAATGTCTCGCCCCAAAGCCGCCGTGCATCGGAATTAGCTTTATCTAGATCCCTCCGCTCCTTCTCCTCGATACCCTCGACATATTTATAATCTCTAGGTATCCACCGGTGTTCCCGGCACTTATGGATGAATTCAGCGCTGTGCTTTTTGAACGTCGTGACAGCGTAGAGGGTGGATTCGTCATCTGAAGCGACAAAGGTTGAAGAGCGAGGAACGACCATGGGTGACATGGTTTCGTATGTTCGTAGGAATTCTTTTGTGTCTCGTGAAGGGACGGCAATTAAGTGGGTTTCGAGGTATTCGGAGTCTTGGACGAGGATGCGGGGATCAACGACAGATGCGAGGGATTTGGTGGACAATGTTCCCCTAGGAAAGTGTCAGGATACAATTTGGCAAAATATGTGGACTACATTAGGTATATCCTCATACGTTTGTCTCCGTTGGAGTGCAGCAAGTGTCGTTTTTCCTTGGGTATATTGTGAGAATTTGGCTCGAACGTCATTGTCGATGCTTGCCGCTTCCTAGAAACAAGGGAAGAAGAGGGAGCCTCATCAGCAGAAAGAATCGGTTGAAATGCAATAAAACAAAGCACTTATCCCCCCGCACCTTTTGCAGCAAATCAATCAATTCTGCCAATGACCTCTCTGCCCGGTATTTGACCTTATTCCACTGAAACGTCCTTAGATACTGCTCAACAGGCTCTGGTAAATTCAAGATACATGTCAGCTAAAACCAATCTAGGCGTGGAACAATGAGGAGGGGAAGCCAAAAGAAACAAAAAAGAGGAATCTCCGTCACCATACTGTCATTGACCGTTTTCATATTTGCAATCTGCTCCTCATCCCCCTCCAGAACATTCTTCAAAACATCCCCCACCTTGCCCACGACGTTATGGCACAGGGCTTCTAGCCTCGCCAGCTCGTCCGCCTGCTGCACCAGCGTATCCAGTGTCCCGATTTTAAACTCTGGGATGGCAAAGGGGATGACCGTGCCATTATCTGAGGTGATGGTCTTGCTGATAGCTTCGAGAGCATCGTCACGATGGTGGGAGGGGGTGATGGAGCTAGGGAGGGAGAGGAGGATGTACTTGGGTCCCTTGGACATTATCTAGGGTTATGTATACAGAGAATCCTCACCGCGCTTTTTGGTTTGTTTTAAACGGCGGGCATAGAATGTACTGGGCTTTTTTTAATCCCCCTTTTTGTTCCTGGTGAGCGGAGTCAATAAAAGCAAAATACGATGGATTTCCTGATGAGAGTTGAAGCTGTTGAGTGAGATGTGGTCAGTGGTCAGCGTGTGGGCCAATCACGTTGCAAGTTGTAGCATCATCAAACCTAATGAATTATGACAATAACTCCATACGTTAAAATACTTTCTTCTTTAACAACGTTAATGATCTTATTTTCTGATGATGCAAATTCCAAAGTTATGGTATAGTAGAGCGTAAGTTACTCATGATCTCATTAATGTATAGCTTTACCTACTATTGAAAAGCGCAGCCGGAATTTATTCCTCTCCCGCGCATATTCAACACATATTATGTATTCCAGAATCCGACCCCAAAGAATAAGGGAATTCAAAACACAAGGGTCAAACCGGAAAATAACAATCAGAAAGAAATAGTCTAATAAACAGCAGCACCCATCTTTGGGGGGTGGGGGATAAGACAAAAGAAGATGAAATGGCAGTCGGATGATATCTAACTGCAAGCTTCGCAAAAATGGAATATATCAAGACATCAAGTCGGTAATCCCTATCATGACGGCAGACACGCCTGAAACCAGCATACGATGATGTTTTATGTCGATTTAAAAAGTCGTGGAAGAGACTATGATCCCGGGTTAACAGAACGATCCAAGACAAGTAGTTAGGGCAGAAACAAAATAAAGGGAGGCCACGTACAGCAGCATTCTTCGGCTCAACAAACAACGCTTTCGCCTGAGCCACAACAAGAGGCTCCTGCCCTTCATCGGGTAGAGTCTCAATCCTCCCTTCAACCCATGCCTTGCGCCCTTCAACCTTCACCGTATCAGCGCGCACAACGAAGAATGACCCCGCAGGCGCCGGGCTGCGGTAGTCTATGTTCAAATTTGCAGTGACGCCAATGCCATTGGGTAAAGCAGAGAAGCAACACCTCGCGAGACATTCGTCGAGAATGGTAGCGAGGAGGCCGCCATGGACAATGCCCGGGTGGCCAGAAACGTCCGAACCCAGGTATAGCATCGCAACGAGGCTTTTCCCACCCGTCTCCGTCCAGGTGTAAGGGGGTACAGCGATCTTATTGGCGCCAGACAGAGTTCCGGCAGTGAGGTTGTGGGCGCGCAATTCCAGGGGAATCTTAAGGTGAGGTCGCGATTCGGTGAAGCGCTCATCTGTTCGCAGAGAGCGAGCTATGGGGTGATTGTAGATGAAGTCATCGATATCCTGCAAGACTTCGTCGGGAGCTATGTATTCAGATTCCTCGTCGGAGCGGAGTTGGTTGACGACCTGGACCATGGTGGATACAACGGGGCTTAGGGAGATTCCAAGAGTGAAGGAGAATATTGCGATTGCTGAGAAACCTAGGAAGCTGCGGAATATGGAGGGCCTTTTGAATGAAGTATGGGAGGGAGGAGGAGGCAGAGGCTTGGGAGAAGATGGGTGGACTGTCTGGACTGTATAAAGGCATACGCAATCAGGGTCAGTTTATTTGACTTGATTGATTAAAGGTCCTCGGTAAATATATATATATATATATATATCACTCCGGAGTTCAATGGATTGAAATACAATGGTCGCATATAAAAAATTCGTCATACCTGAATAAGGTCTATTTGATGACGGGCTTGACGGCCGGGCTATGAAAAAGGAGCGTGACAAGGAAGCGCCGGAAGAAGTGGAAAAAGAAGAAACAGAGACAGGGAAGGATACGCGCTGCTTTGAGATAAAGAAAATGTGATTGCCTGGGGGAAAAACAGGACGAGAGCGGAACGGAGCCATAGTAATTGAGCTGAAGAGATGCTCCAGGGGACCGCGCAAGAACCAATTTCTCAAAATAGATGGTGCAACGGTGCGCTGGTGGGCTCCACCACTTCCATCGAAATCAACCGACACTAGATGGAGCAGCACAAGCGACGCCTGAAGGCCAGGGTTCAAAATATCTGAACGGAGTTCGGATTCTTGCCTAGAATTTAGATAGGGCGAGTCCCACAGGCCCACCAGCAATGCTACTTTCAAGGAGTTTGGATGCTGACCTTCAATTTTCCGGTAACCACTAGCGGAAGCCCGGGGGAACAAACACAATAAGGGTCCAATGCCAGCTGGGGGCATGGCACTTGTTCGCGAATCCGATATACGAAACTTAAATACCTGCAAAATTATCCGAAATCACCAACTTCATAGCTTACGTGGTTCGAAAAAAAAAAAAAGATGCTTACAAAGCCGGCAAAGGTCCCCTTTCAAGTTAAGCACGTGTATCTGCGTGCCGGAAACAACCAGGGAACAGCGTGCATTTTTCAGCCGCTCAGGAAGGAGAGCCGAGTTGCGAACGGCAATGAACCCAGTGCCTCAGGTGTATCGTTGTTCAGCCCGACTGCAGGGGAAGCTATGTGGGCTTCACTTGCAGGGAATCGGCTCAGCCTGCAGACAATCTACCTCGGCCCGTTGCTAAAATCGAAATTGGTTGGTTGGTTGGTTCTTTTCACGTAAAAATAGAAACTTCGTTTGAACACAAAGAAGAGCTAGAGAAAATAAAAAAAACAAAAAAAAAACAAAAAAAAAACAAAAAAAATAAAGGGCAAAAATATCGAGGAACGTGGGACTCGAACCCACAATCTTAGCTTAGCTTGGTCCCGAACTTCCCAGGCTAGGAGGGAAATCTTTGTCCAATCATAGGAGAGCTACGCATTACCCTTCTGCCAGTCCCTCAAGGCTTGGCTTTACCCATTACGCCACCAGCGCAGGGTAAGAGTTGCATGGACGGGCCACATGTGAATTAAGATGTACTGGGCCGCTGGTTCCTGTACTTGACACCTACCAAACAGGATAATAACTAAAAGAAAGGCTTGAAGACATCATAAAATACCTCTTCATGATTTAGACATTTATCTTTTTTAGCCTGCCATGCTGTATTATATATATTATTTCATTACGTTGGTTTAAACTTTTATCATATACATTTCGCTCCCCTATATGGACCACTGAGTAACGAACAAACAAGAAAAGCATTCATAAAGTGTTTGGCAGGAAATATAAAAAGAAAAACCTTCACCCAAACCAAAACGGAGATATCATAAACATCAAGTAATATTGTAAGGATACATAATCGGCATATATATGGAGAAACAAGCAACGAAACATCGAGGCGATCTAATAGCTGAAGATAGCCGGAACTACAATGCACATGTACTTAACATCGCATTTATTGCCCGGAATTGGAAATTCAGGGTCCCCTGATTTAGCGAGAAAGGCTAATAACCTTGCTTGCAGCTTCCTCAAACGAGTCGAAGGCATGTAGCGGGAGCCCGCTGTCGGCAATCTAAGTTTGGAGCAAAAACAATTAGTCCCCCCTGTGTCGCGCTGATGCACTTCCATAAAAATACCATCCCAAGGAACAATTGGCAAGGAAAAGGATCTGACATACCATCTTCTGCCCAAGTTCCTCATTGGTACCACGCAGGCGAACAACAACAGGTACCTTCATATCCAAATCGCGGAACGCCATGATGATTCCGTTAGCGATCATGTCGCAGAGAGTCAGGCCGCCAAAAATGTTGACGAAGATGGTTTTCACGCGAGGATCGGAGAGGACGATTTGGAATGACGACTTTACCGTCTCGGACGTTGCTTTTCCGCCGGTGTCGAGGAAGTTGGCGCAGTGGCCGCCGTGAAGAGTCAGAGCGTCGACGGTGTTCATGGCGAGGCCGGCACCGTTAACTATAAGCGGTAGGGGTGAGAATTGTGGCTTTTTCTTTTCTTTTCCTTTGTTCTGCTTTATTTTACTTTGCAGGGATTCTTGCCTTGCGTCAAGAGGGAAACATGAAGGGTTAAGACTTACCAAGTGTACCGATGCTTCCCTCTCCAGGAAGTCTAAATATCCTGTTGTTAGGATTCCATCGATCAAAGTATTTTTGGATAGCAGCACTCGTACTTGACATAGACAATTCCCTCTTTCTCAGCTTCAACTTCTTCCGGAACCTCTTGCGCCATATTTCGGAGTTTGTGGATATCTTCCTGTCTCTTCGAACTTTTGTATGCGGCATCATCGAAGCCGAATCGGGCCTCGGTAACCCGAAAACTACCATCGCTCCTCCTGGAGACTTTTGTTTCTAGCAGAAGAGCCTCCTTGTTTATAAAAATATCAAGCAAAGTCTGTGCGAACTTCGCAAGAGGTTCTAGAGATATCTCTCCAAGGCCGAGGTAGCTGGCAACCGCTCGGATATTGGCCTGATTGGCAGTGAAATGCGTCTTGCCATATGTAAATGGGAATTTCCTAGATCGAGAGAGAAAAGTTGCCGGATTAGTGGTGGGAGAAGCAATAATGCATGGTGAACGTGAGTTCCGATCTATAGAAATTCCAAAAAAGAAATCAGAACGTTTGTTCGATTCACCAATCGCGACCCCTTTTTCCCCTAGCAAATCAAATGACTGGGATTGTGTGAGGTAAAGGGTTCTGCGTTGTGGCATGATATGTTGCCGTCGTATGGTTGGTCGACGCAAAGTGTGGAATCCCCTCTGCTGTGCTGCAACCGCAACCGGGGCGGCCTATGTGCTGATGTCAGTGGGAACAATTAACTAGTTATGCATAATTTCATTTTCAGGCGCGGGAAGCTACCTGAAATGCGGGCCGTCCGCCCACATTGGTCAACAACGTTCTCATCCCTTCCCCGAATTTCTCTGGGTGGTCTACCATGACGGCGCCTGCATTTTGTAAAGCTCTGATCTTGGTTTGTGCATCGGGATCCCCCAGACCAGCCCATGCGCCTGCATGGCCCATGACCCGCCCAGGTGGAGCATAAATTCCGCCGACTACCGCCATGATAGGTCTGAATGCCACTACTATTAGTAAAGTAAACATTCCACAGGGAGCAAATGTCAGTTTTCATACTTTGGGTCTGCAGTGCGTCTTCGATAGTCGAAAATCCACTCTGCAGCTGCAATTTCTGCTGATCCTCCGATTTCTCCAACAATTATGATTCCATGGGTCTCTTCGTCATGCTCGAAAAGGTTCAGTGCATCAACAAAGCTTGTACCAGCTACAATATCCCCTCCCACGCCTATACAAAGACTCTGACCCAATCCTGCTCGTGTCGTTGCCGCAACGGTCTCGTAACCAAGAGTACCAGACTTGGCGACAATTCCAATATGCCCCGGCGCGAAACATGAAAGAGGTTGGAACCCAATTCTACATCTCCCAATAGCGGAAATGATACCAGGGCAGTTTGCGCCGACCAAACGAGATTTTGATTGGGTTTGAAGCATTGCGTGTATCTAGTGATGTCCGGTTAGATAATCTGAAATGCTTGGATATGTGGCCAGGTGATTCTCACTCGAAGCATATCATGAACAGGAACATGCTCTGCTACGGCGACTATGAGAGGAATCTCTGCTGCGATAGCCTCTTCAATGGCCTGTGCTGTTTGCGGCCCTGGCACGTAGATGGCAGTTGCATCTGGCTTCAGCTTCTCTTGTGCCTGGTATTGATTACACAGGTCAGTGTAATTTGCTTCGCAACGTATGTCAACCGATAAATGTACATACCACTTGGACTGATGGAAAGACAGGCAATCCAAGGTGTTCACCTTCCACACCCGGCTTTACACCGCCTACAACCTTGGTACCCCATGCTAACGATTCTTTCACATTCGCGGTCGCCTGCAGCAACTTTAGCTATACCAACCCCAAGGTGAGTCTTTATTGGAAATAGAAATTACCAGTCTACCTATTTTCAATATTTCAGCGACTGACTATAGAATTGCATACACCAGCGAGCAAGCCAAAAGGTGAAATAAAATAAAATAAAAATAAAAATAAAAAATAAAAACAAGTCAATCAATAACCAAGACACAGAGATACATTCAACACCGAACATACCTGTAAACCCCTGGAAGAGGACCCGAGTATGAGCACCAATTTTAAGATTCGGAAGAGTATCCGCATAACTCTGAATCCTCGCAGATGTCGACAAGTGGGAATGTAAACATTGGCCAATTCGAGCAATATGGCGTGAGTGGGGACGGCGAGATATCAGCGAAGCGGGTATGGATTTGAAAAAAATCATGGCTAGTACGTAACCTGAAGTTCGATTTCCGGTAGGAACATCAAGAAAGCTTAAAACCTGGGGGTTGCCTGACAGTAGGTAGGTAGGATATGGAAAAATACAGTTGATATGTTTCTAGTAATAACAACTTAAAGATAAAAGAGAAGGAATGGGATTTTCAGGGATTTATCAACTTTTGAGTTTGGTAACGGGAAACGAAGAAAATCAAGCGGCGGCTTTCTCCAAACAAATGTTAAACAGGAAAGTGGGTATCTCGCTTCATGTCCGTAGTCCAAGCTTCAATGTTAGTCAACGCTTGGGGATGGCGGGTTCGTGTCAGAGACATGCAATCCAGAAATGACCTTCGTGATCTATCCAAAGCGCAAATAAATAAAAAATGTTACTAGATGTTTTTCTCAAAAGTAAGAATTGAGATTACTTCTGAGTGGTCCATTATAAACGGAAATATCTGAGATAACTTGTGCTAGGAAGCGCATGCAGCATTTCCCAATCGATTTCGATGTCTCAGAGGCTTGCTGTTGAGAATGCGGAGTCATTTGTCCACGGCTACTTGGATAGAAACAATGATTGGATCTCGGAATCATAGCCTCGGGATTCAGCCGAAGCCAGCCAACAAAGCCTGAGCGCCGGACCCATGTCACACCTCCGAGATCCAGTTTAGATCAGCGGAACGGACCCTGACCGTGACGAAGTTCCTCAGTGCAAAGGCGAATAAGGATTATCTGGCGAGCTGGATTGAAGCTCCTACTACGATGGGTTGGTACTCGGAGAATCACCGACTGGTGGTGTGCGACAACATGTATTTATACCAAGGGGCCTCTACACAAGCAAAAGTCTTCCTTTTTAATGCTAATGTCTAATATATGCTTCTCCTTCCGGACATTCTATCTCTGGATAATCTTCATTGTTTCGCCACGTAGCTATGCAAATAACTATATTAACTAACTGTTGGTGAAGTGATTCTATACCCGACCAAATAGGTTACTTACATATGTTATTTATAGTGGCAGCGTCTCGGAGCGCTTACCCTATATTAGACTCTGTATCATATTTGAATTCGCCATCTCCTTTTTTAGTATTTGTGCTTGCGCCGAAACTTTGGCAATGTGTATGCATTGAGAGATTACACTATGACGAAGGGAGAATCTTGTGATTTTCTGGGATCTATGTCATGGATGGTAGGAGCCTGCATCACTGGAAGTCCCATCATACCGCGTATATTGATATTGATTGAATCAGTATTTAAGATGTATATTGTTGAAAACAGTCATATATTCTCGGATTAAGAAACGATTTAAATGAGGAATTCGCCAGAGTAGCACTGTGATCAAAAGCGCATGTTTTTCAGTAAGATAATTTAAATAGAGATATAGATACAAAAAGTAATTCCCTTAGAAGCTAACTTCTAGAAACACAGATAGGGTTGGTTGCCTCCTACACAATATTCAAACTGTTTGAAATGATGGATCCATGGATTGATCTGGACTTTCTATCTGCGTATCTCAAATTACGCAACACGTTGGAAGGGGCGGCGGTTGACAACGTCTCTGTGTATTATACGCTAGTCTGTGACAGGAAGTCCGCCATCTGCTGGTTATGTAATGTGACGAAAACGTGGGGTAGAGGCACGCCGTTGAACCGTACCTGCATACATTGTATACCCAGGTTGATCTGGGCCAGACTGACATTGTTGCTCCATATGGCTGAATATTATTCTAAAGGTATTTTTATTACACTCCTAAAGGAAAACCCCTAAAGAAAGCGAACAACTTTAAACCAAATTTGCAAACGATTTGACAAATGCATAACTATAGAAAAATCCATCCATACCTCCTTCAAATCCCTCTCCATAAACACGGAACCCACCGTTAAGAAAAAACCACCCAGGAAAAGATCCTCCCCTGTCGCAGAATCATGGGAAGACGAGCCTCTCTCCTCGTCATCTTCGGATGAAAATGAAGACGACATTACCCCTCCCGCCTCCGCAACTCTGAGATCCCCAATCACCACAAATACCACCTCATCAACAAGCAACAGCACTCCTTCCTCTCGAGTAGAAGTCGCCACCCACGCCCCCCCTCTGGTTTCCGATCTTCCATCGCCTGCTTGTACCACCCCCCCTCGTCATACCGCTTCCCCTCCCTATCCACGTATTTCCAGCATGGAAAGGAGACCAGAAAAGCAGACCGCCGTCGCGAGCCGTATGATCGCCGGCGCTCTGGGGATACGCGCTCCGAAACGCACGGAGGAGCAGAGGGCGTACGATCGGGCCATGAGGGAGAAAGAGGCGAAACAGCGGGAGAGGCAGAGAGAGCTCGAGGATTCAAGCCGGAAAGAAGCAGAGAAGGCGAGGGCGGCGATTTGGGAGGAGTGAAATCCCGGGGACGGGGCCGGGGGTTATTTACATGCTCTAAATATTCGGTTTTTATATATCGGGATTTTTCAGCATTCGTACCTTGACCCTATATATATTCCCGTTTCGTCGTTTTGGTAGGGAGGTTAGTTTTGGATGTTGGTCTTTCCAATTGGTATTACACATAGGGGCATATATCCATCTGTTCTCGATGGCCTGGGCCTCACCACTGTTGCACATTACTGCTGCTATTGATTATTTATTATGAGTTATGACTTGAATTCATTCACGATTAATGCTTATAACATTTACTAATTATCACATCTGTAAATATACATTTTCTTGCGTTCACGGGACAGAGAGCCATTTCATACAAGGAATCATTCAGCATAGTGTATGACATAGCCACTTGAGCGTAGTTGGTATTGTCAGAATTTAAACAGAAAGGAAAGACAAATATACATTTGCTCTATTCCACGGAAATAATAAATACCTTTATCCCTGAATCTCCTTCTCCAGTTTGAGTAAGATGTGACCAGTCAGAACGGTCAGGAAGAACATAACTGGAAAGCGCCATCCCTGACTGCTTCTCCCGACCCCATTTAAAAACTACACCCTCTCAAATCACAAGGCAAGACAGTGCAGTCATCCCAATGCTCCAATGAAATACAGATTGTAGAGAAGCAACTTATTAGAGAGAAGTACTAAATTGCAACAATAAGTGTGAAAAACAAAACACAATTCAGGCAGCGGCAGCATGTTTATTCAGATGCACAACTTCAATGATAGAAAATGATGTAAATGCTAAACCACATTATTCTCTCCCCATTTTTTTTTTTTTTTTTTTTTTTTCTTTAGCTCAGGATCGAGCATTTTTCCTTTCCCCCCCTCTCCCCCCGCCCCACAACCCTTTTTGTTTTTTTTCTTTCTTTCATGGTATTCAAGCAGGATATTCGTCACACTAAATTACAAAAAATTTTCAGTTGCATGTGCGCCGGCCAAATTCAAGTACAGATGACATAGAAATTGCAGAATATGTAGAAGGCGCTGTAAAGAAGAAAGAATTGGTCGAAAGAGGACAGGTATAATTTCATCAACAGTTAAAAAATGGACGAAAACAGTCAGTTGACGCATAAAAGTGGATTTCCACCGCGAGGACTATGAGAGAACATAGTGGTTAGTTAGGAGGTTGCTGTAAATTACCTAATGCCATATAGAACGAAAGGAGAAGTGTATTTATCTCTTTACTCACTTAGTTTTTGTCAAGGAAGATAGCCTCCAATTTGTTCTTGGTGAACCTCCAGGGTATCGCCATCGGCCATGTCGAGCTGTAGGCAAAGGATCATTTAGCAACTTCTAGCTGGGCAAAAAAAGACATTCTGTAATCCACTGGATAACGCGCCAGCTCACGCAAGATTGTCTGGTAGTGGGAAACTTACTGTATCTGGTGTATCGTCCTGCCTGACTCTTGTCCCATCAAACAAAAAACGTACAGAGGATAGATCCTTTCCTTGTCGAGTACAGAATGCTTCCATGAGTTTTTTGAGCTGGGTGGTACGTTTAATCTTAAAAAAAACTTCGTTGTTGTTATCGGTGACTTTTATATTAAGGTGTCCTGTAGCTGGAGGTGCTGTGGCCTGGTTTTCTTGCGGCGCCTGGTCCATGGCTTTTGATGAACGAAATTCGTCGGAGGGGCAGGTGGATTTATTGAGGCTATTAATAGTGAGGAAGTTGTTGCTGAGAGGGGTACTAGTATGTTAGATCGTAAAACTGAAATATCGGACAGGCTTACAAAACTCCAAGGAAAAGAGACAACAAGAAGGACTTACAGAGGATTATGGCAACAGAAGATTGTGGAAAGTGTTGTGGTTGGCGTGGTTGGTGTTGTTGCTGTCGAGTGATATAAATCAGTGAATAGTAACCCCACGGCGATGGAAAATCTATTTTGCCGCCCAGAACAAACACCAGTGAAACGATGAAGTGCCTGCCTAGGTATTTATGTTCAAAATCGATCCGCGTGATCCAAAATATCGCCCTCGATTGAATGACAGGGTTGCCGGGATCACAAGAGAAGTATTAAGATGGTATGGGAATGCTGCTCTTTTAATGCATTGATTTTGAAGATTTCCAAATAGTATGAATACAACTAATATCACATTTAGGGATTAAAAGAAGATATTGCATATGATCCACCTTGTCACCCAAGAGCAGTATGTGAATTGTCTAATTGTGACAAAAAATGCATTTCATGCTAGTCTGCTCGTTATGCTAACTATTCTGTCACTAATAAAAAGTGTGCAATCCAAGGTAAAAATATTCCCCTTGCACCGCACAATTTTACTGGCTCATGAACTTGACGCAACGTGCCAATAGCATGCCTCACCAGGAATTTATATAAAGAAGAAAAATGTCAGAGTCAAATAGACGCCCTATACCAATGTTGTAACGCATTTTATGAAGTACGAGGCGAAAACGCACGAACTCCAAGCTGCCCAAAACCCGAACTTCTAAGATTGAAGATGAAGCAACGAGTGGAAGCGAAGAACGCAAAGTGAGGATTTGAAGGTAGTTTCAGTCGAGAGAGAACAATCTTAGCCTGTAGCATTAGCAATCGAAGAGGCTAGGGAAGCCAAGCTTTCACTGTCGTTTGAAAATTAAAACTCTAGAAACCAATCTGTAACAATCACTCTTCTAAGTCTTCATGCTCTGCCAATAAATTGGATCCGACCAGAATATGTATAGGATTGTCGAATTCACTCTAAGACGCTCGTGAGCGCGCAAGAGGACCTCAAGGGACCTGAACAAACACTGAATGAGCTTCAATGAAGAAGTTCGTCTGACCCGAGACTCTAATGAACGCCTATTGACATTTATCGAAGAAAAAGAGAAGAAGGGGAAGAAGGGGCAGAAGATGCGGCGGAGTTTTTATGTGAGGTTAAGGTGCGACTAGTCCTGTTTAGGACTAGGCATCTTCGCGTCACGGCAGCTGAAAGAAAAAGGTTGCTTATAAGCTGTTATTGTTTATCCGAGCAACTTGAGCTCTACGCTTGTTGTGTTCCCTACGCTCTATTATCGGAACCGGCCGTTTGGCAACGAGGACATGGCACCATTTGCATATTCGTCCGGGTTCCCACTGGGACAACACAATGGATCCGTCTCTGTCAGTATTATTTGGCTCCTGCGACCTGGAATTGAAGCTGGCTAACCCATGCAGACCATTCAAGCTCCCCCTAGCCGCCTCCATGACGTGGAAATAATAGAAATTGATGATGATGATGATGACGACGACGAGGAGGAGGATGAGGATGAGGATGACAACCTAGAAGATGATTTGGACGATGATGATGAGGACGACGACGACGACGACGACGACGACGAGGAAGAGGATCAAAAAGAGGATGACAACGAGGAGGAAGATGAAGAAAACGAAGAAGAGGATGATATGACTGGAACTGATTCTATGGAGGAGAGAAGTTCGGATTTTGAAGAAACCGAGCAAGGTTCGTGTACTTCATTAATTAAAGAAATACGGAAGTCTGTGTGGTCTAAGTATTCCTTGCTGATTTACTTCAAGGAAATGCCATTACAATATCCTCTGGCTTGGCTTCCCCAAGCTTATTGGCGACCTCCAATATACAACAAGTTATAAACCCACTTCGAAATACAGCGGACCGTGTAGCAAGCCAAATCGAAGCCTTTGCCCAGAATTTAAACCAATTTAAGCAGCATACTCGTGCACGTCCAGGCGACCCGGAGGCGTTTCGCGAAGCTTGCAAATTAGTCCAGAAATATCAAAAAATTGCAGAGACATCTGCGAAAGAACTGTCAACGACCAGTACCTTTCGTAAAGCGAAGCAATCAGCAATTAATCGAGGCTCTGGTGCTAGCCAGGGTTCGAATGGGAGGCTGGATGAGCAAATAAGACGTTGGCAGTTAGAAGCTGAAACTTGGGAGCTACTGCTTCAAATGCTCTCCATTGACGATCCTGAGTCACGCGCTCGGGCACAACGAGCTCAACAAACTGTCTTCCAATCCCTGCATCGATACTCGTCCGACCAGGAGGTCTGGAATAAATTTCTCGAGGCGGACCATTTTGCATTGGAGAACTTTGTTGTATTAAAATGGCTGGAGAAAACCGCGAGGTCATCGCCCCAAGATATCGATGGTTTGATTTCGGAGTTAGAAACCCAAGCCGAAAGAGGTCAGGGACTTTGGGCCCATGGCTGGCTTTACACTAAAGAAGCTATCAAGGGCGCGAAACGACTACGATCGTGGCCACAGCCGCTGGAACCTGAGGATCCAGGACTGACGATATCACTGATGAGTGTAGAGAAACAAGAGCCCCTTGTCACTCAATTGGACCCAGACGCTGTTACCCGGCAGCGGCATGGATTACAGAAACAAGACCAATTTTATGAGCAGGCGGCCTGGTTAACATGTTGGAAAATGCTGAGGCAGGGTCAAAGCTGGGAAAAAATTCAAGAGTGGTCTCATGAACGGCTGGAGAATTGGAGAGCGATCAGTGTTTGCGGTACCCCTACCGATTATGAGAACAACGCTGCGGATCCTGGTCTAACTCGACTCATCAGCTGCCGATCTCAGGAGTCTTGGAGACGCTCGTGTTTAGCCCTTGCCAACAATCCTCAAACTAGCAACTTTGAGAAGGCTGTGTACGCGCTTATTTGTGGTGAAACGGAACCAGCTTACCCCATTTGCCAAGGCTGGGGTGACTACGTCTATGTTTTTATCAACCACTCAATTCTTGCTCGGTACCGCGAATTCTGCAAACAATTTCATCGAAAGCTTAGCTTTTCCCCCGCAACGGATATGGCTTTATCCGTTGAGCCTCCAGGGTACGACAGCGTCCATGCCTTTCTGGATAACGTAAAGCGGAACGAAAAAACTGCAGTTGAGGCCAGGAATCCGTACCGCACTATCCAAACGGCTATCCTCAGTAAAAACTACAATACATTCTTTTTTCATCAAGCGAACGCGGTTTCAAAAGCTGCCAGCCTATCCAACAAAGCAACTCTTGTTCCGAAAACCGTCATTGCTAATGCCGATGATGCTTGCCTTATTGCAGCTCGAGACGAAGATGCCATCCGTATCATCAGCCACTTGTTTCTCATTTTACAATCCCTTGGATATGTCCGTTCCGACTCACGTTTTGTTGAGACTGCCTCGGTCAATGTTATTGGCTATATCAACCTGCTTCGCAAAGCTGGCAAACTTGAGCTTATCCCGCTCTATGCATCGCTGCTTCCAGAGGATACAGCGCACATGGTTCTTGGAAATGTGTTGATTGATATTGTTGAGCCCGAGGACCGGGAGAGGCAGGTGACAATAATGAAGAGGCTAAATATCAATCTTTCCGCCATCGTTGAGTGCCAGTGGCGACTCGTAATTTCCCAAGCCGATGCAAAAGAAGATAAAACCACTACGATTCGACTGAAGAGGAGTGTTATTCATCAACCAAAAGGTCTAAGCAGAATCGGACCTATAAAGAAAAATCTCATTGGCCGGCGCATTTCGCATGAAGACGAGTATCTGATCCGCTGTTTGGAATGGCACCGCTATGCGGATGATCAACTACCAAATATTTGCCCGAGAGGTACACATTTATACAAACGGTTTATGGGTAAGAAATCCTTATTCAAGTTCCAATAACCTAATATGGGATTCATTAGTAATGCCGCATGAAATGAATATAGGTGCTGGGCGTCTTGCTGCGGCCCGCGAGCTTTTTAATCGTGTTCGGGTCAACATGGTGCCTGCCGACATTACAGGATTAGGTCACTCACCATTTGAAATATTGGCAAATGGCTCCGAAAATGGATTCGATGAACTCCCAAGCCCTGTAAAAGCAAGCCCGACGAAGAGCCCTAGGAAATCGGGCATTCAGAGAAGGCGTCCATTATCGAGCAATATCAGAGCAGAGTTATACTTGCAATCGCATACAATGCGTGATTTGGAATACCTTATCGCCGCGTTTGACTCCTTGGAGACTTGGGCTGGACAGATGGATCAATATGAACAGTAAGCGTCTAATCCTCTCCACCATATATAACATTTCGTCACCTTTCATTGTTTCCATCCTAACTTTCTCATTCTAGTCTCTCTGATAAGCAACAAGCGAAGGAGTTCCGGAAAACCTTACAGGTAACTATAGATACTATCACAGAACGTATCGAACCCCTTTGCGGAGAATGGCTATCGTACCCAAAAGATGGTAAGTAAGGCAGGGCTTCGGCCTTTGCTTCAACCGATCCTAGTTTAACCAATAATGAAAAGGCTAACTAAATATCTCTAATATTCAGACGCGGAAGCAACTGAACTCGAATTCATAAAATCAACATATCTTCCCGAAGTCATCCTAGCATACCACAGCGCGCTCTTCTTCGCCGGTCATACGATCGGGCGCGAGGTGCTTACGCAGTGTATGATGCTTTCCTCGGTGATAGCCTCATCGCCGTCCCTCACGAACAGCTTCATAGCATCTGGGCGCATGTGCGAGTTGGTAGATGCGCTGGCACTATCGAGCATTGCCATGATGAGTGCGAAGGACTCGAAATTGAAGAAGAAGTTGGAGGATGGGGCTTCGCTTGATATCTGGAAAATCAAACCGCAGCAGGATGTGGAACTTGTTTAGTTTGGAGCATTGCCGGGAATACAAGTCATGGGACAAGGTTAGGAAGCTTTGGAGGGCCAGAGGCTTTTCTGCTTTGTGTGGTTTTTTTTTCTTCTTTTTTCTTGCTGGGTTAGATGGGAATTCATGTACTCCATCGGTGCCTGGATGGTGGCCTTTTGTAAACAAACTTGTTTATTGTGTTATAAAAACGATCTCAACCCGACAAATTTAATGCATCTATCTCATCTTGTAGACATGCATACCTCCACCAATCCCTTTGAAGTATTCGCATTTCGTCTCCTCTGCCACACGAACAACTTTGGCCAACTTTGGCCGGACCCCTTAACAGTATACTACAATACCGATAAACCCCAAAAGTTCCTTGAGATTATTATCTGGGCAATCATATCCTCAGCTAAATTGACTCATTCATATTTCGCCATAAGTTTATTGCCCAGCACTTTGGCCGGAAACTCATCTTCCCCCAGCGCCGTCGTATGCGCCCACGGCTTCAAGCTATTCTCTTGTCGAATGGTAGCCGCGAAGCAATCTGCCCACTTCAATCGGGGAAACGCCACATTTACATTATAGATCGTGGATGGATGAACGAGGTCCTCATAAGTGCCAGTGTTGTCTGTTCGATTTTTTTTTTTAGTTCCGGAGGCAAACATCAGCCAAGGGGTGAGTGAGTTATTGTAGAGAAGAAAGGTGCGGGAAAAAAAAAAAAAAAAAAAAAAAAAAAAAAGGCAAATACGATACCGAAAATCGTCGCTAGTTGCAACAACTGCCCCACCGCCGTAATCTTCCCGACCTCACAAAGATCCTGATGTCGAATAATGGCCTCCACCACACTCTCAGCCTGCTCCACCGGCGCCACCAAGCCCTTGTCCCCCCCCTCAGTTTCCCCGGCTTTCCTCAACACCTCCATCGCCAGCATGCCCCCATAAAACTCAAAGCTCAACCTCGTCTTCCGCAGATTCTCCTCCGTCGTCCCAATATCATGCAGCATGCAAGCTAGAAAGTATGTCTCATCGCTGAACGACCAGCTGGGAAACCGCCAGCGTTTTATGGCCAGGCCGAAGTGGTAGACGCGACAGCTATGGTTGTAGGTCGGAGCGGGGAGGTGTTCGAGGGCGTATGCCTGAATGCGTTTAGCTAGAGGCGTGTTGGGAATTGGGATATCGAAGACGGAGAGCGGCGGGGCGGAGGCGGTGGGTGCGGGGTATTCGGGAGTCCTAGTGAGGAGGGCGGAGGCGGAGGCGGAGGCGAGGACGGCGGTGAAGCCGTGGAGAGTTACTGGGCTGTCGGAGGGGTTGGACATCTCTTCAGACCTTTTATATGTGGGATATGTTCAATTTTGGGGCTGGTTTATTTTGAAGGTAATATCCGGGAGATTGTGTCTGTTTTCTTGTTAATTGTTCGGGCGATGATATCTTTAGATCGATGACATCACCGGACGGCAATCCGTAGGTTATGTTCGAGTTAGCTGTTTGTTTGCCAGAGAAACAGAGGACGACCCGGTCCTGAGAAACACGGAAATATATGATACCGTAACAAATATATATCTGAAGTCTTACTCATCCCAGAGGTCTTCCCAGATCGACATGAAGCTTGGTAAGTCCACATTGCTCGGACGGAATTCTCCCGCCCGTGGGCAAAAGTCAATTAATCAACAACCAAGGGCTTTGACTGGGATTACTATAATTTAGCCTTCAACTGTTTGAAATGCCTGGAATCGAGAGGTGCATGGTACGCCCATCAATACTCCCTCTAACAACAAGGGCAATAGAGTGCTGCTCAACAACATCTATCTGCACGCTCCACCCTACGTAACTGTGTGGCTGAATCCACCAGTGGGCGGTGCAACAGTGTGAAGCTCCAATATCACCTTTAAATTAAGGGATAAAGGTATGGGATTATAGACAAGATGCGGGCATTTGCTGGGTGCTACGTAGCCTAGCCAGCAGGCTGTGTTCTGCCATATTGAGAAACTGAATCCCGAGACAGGCCTGAAATTCTTGCCAGTATCCAAAGTGATAACGGCAGGTAGTACGGCAAGGATGATTCAACTCTGGAAATATGCTCGTAGTCAATGAAGGCATACATAGCCAGTGCAGGGAGAACGGTACCCGAAGCCAGTAGAGTAAACATGGTGGTGAGCATTCCGATGGTGGATTTAAGGACGGGAACATATACCCATGGGCATTGTTGTCTGGCAGCAGGAATATGTTCAGAGATAACCCTAATGTTTCTTAGTGCTTCATCCACTACTGACCGAATATTTCTTCGACAAGCTGGCGCTTTTTGATTATCCAGATACCTTTGGCTCGAATGAACGTCCTATGCCTAAACCCATCACAACAGCTAACAAGCCGAAACGCAATGAGCAGACTCCTGGAGTAATGAACAGAAAGCTCAAGCTCGCCAGCGGTGCAAATCTTACTCGATGTGAAAGCAAGAGGCACCCAGAGCCATGGGCAAGTGACTGAATCCACCTCCCGGGGCCGTGCAACAGCACGAAACTCCCAATATCTCCGCTTGTGAAACAGTATTTTTTTCTTTTTTTAGATATCATGAGTGACTTTTTTTCTATTCAGAGCCCGCGGAAAATGAGCTAAGTACAACTTCGTTCACCTGGAGACCCATCTCCAATGCCAGAGTGCAACCCCTATGCTCATGCTGTACACGGCACGATCTCGAAAATGCCTCAGCGTTGAAGATCGAGTATGTCGGTGGGGTAGTGGATATATCATTAGTTATGCTGACAATGACTTGCGTCAGCATGCCTACATATTGCTGGGAGAATGCGATAGGTTTTCATCTGCGGCGATAAGCTGAATGAGAGGCAAAATCGGTATGAAGCGTCTAAACACTTTCCAATCAAATAGATCAAATACATTTCAAGCTTACCACTTTAAACCGCTCATGCAATTCTCTTTCTCTGGGCTTTCTGCCGTAAAGATTCGGTGGAGTGAACTTCGCCTCGTCCCCGACCCTTCTCTCATTTAGCAGGTTTCCTGAATAAAGCTTCTGCGGCCGAAAAAGTGTGGTGTAAAAATTGCCATGCGCGGAATTACCCTAATTGGGTTTCATCTGAGGATTATATCGGATCAAGCTTGGACATTTCCCTCCTAGACACCCAACGCGCCACAGACATGAATCCTCAGAAGCTAGGTTAACGCCGGATTATCGAATTTTGAACCCATTTAAAAATGGGCTGTGCTTCTTGAGAGAGACACAGCCACCATGACCAGCACTTGACCTCTGGTCTTGAGATATTTGGCGCACAGATTTTTCCAGTTGCAAAAAAAATTATTCCCGCGCCCCTCTTTCCTCCACCCTACCCTCCCAACCAAGAAGCAATCCGAAAAAAAAAAAAAAAAAGAAGAAGAAAAAACCCCGTCGGGGTCTGGCCATCAGACGAGCATGGTATGTTAAAGGCCTAGCTTCCATACACAGCTTTCGGAAGTAATAGCATCGGTTAAGTTGCACATTGCTATTATTGCATGTGGTGGAACAGGAAAGTGAATAATAAAATAGAGCTGTGCAATCCACTGCCACCTGGAGAGCAGCATCCTGCATGTGAGCGCATGATATGTACCAAAGGGTTTGAGATCTCAAGTTGGAAGTAGCACGAAGGTTGGCATGGGGATGCGGGTCCGAGTTGGATGTGCTAGTTTGGATTTTTGTTGATGATCTGATAAAAGTTATTGTCCCTGCATTTGTTCCTGTGCATGTGCTCCTTTATTCTTAGATGATGAGTGGTTAAACACACACGCGGTGGGGATGTGTGTGTGTGTGTGTGTGTGTGTGTGTGTAACAGTTGTAAGTAGCATATTCTGTGACACTCCCCAGAGGGGGAGATAATTAATTAAGCATCGCAGTGTCAAAGCAGGCATGATAGAAATCGCTGGTTGATGTTCATTATTCTCAAATTTTTAGACGCAATCAATCTGACATGGGAACAAGCATGTGGTGTGGCTAGGCGAGCCTTTTGTGATCAAAGAAAAGAAAGCTGTTAACAACATGGATTGATTCATATACTTTACTTGTGTGAGTTGATCCCAATGCATCTTGGTTTCTCCCTTTCAACCATGGTAGTTGTACTGTCGGACAAAGATCAGAGAGTGAAATCCACGGGTATCGTCAGCAGCTCAAATCATTGCATACCGCTGGCATTGAATTGGGATAGTTAGGACTGAGCATGTTGGATTGGTTGGCGGGGTGTGACCTGTTGGGGGAAAGACAAAGCACGAGCAAGGGAAATAGGTTGAAATCTCCTAAGCTGTGGTGCTGCGCGAGGCCTTGTTGCTGAGGATGAAGAGTAAGTAGTCTGTCATGTTGATGTGGACGAGGTCGGGGATCCAGGCCATCAACGACGAGCTCACATCATCACCGACGTGGCAAGTGATCAAGGAAACGCGCGAGCCGCCAAGCCGTAATATGATTGTGAAGGAGTAAATGCGTAATGGTTAAATGCCTAAATAAACCTCGTCATTTCAAAATGTCCGTTGGAATAAAAATGACTCCGCAACAATGATGATGAAAAGAAACCGAAAAAATCAGGGTTTCCATGGCTAGCCCTTGCACGGAAGACGTTCCAGAATAATCATTGATCCCTGAGGAATGAGACTAAGAAACCGGGATGCCCACTGGCCAGGCACTCTCGCTGGTCAAGAAGACGGCCCACATACGGAGTAGCTTGACGTTAATCCTTCTTCTCCCCTTTCAGGACCTTCTGCATGTATCTGGACAGTAGCTTGGCATTGCAACGGATTTTCGGTCCATCTCAACAACTCCTTTCAACAATAACAGCTTCAACAGCACAAGACGGTTGCGCCAGGCTTTCACGATGCGTTCAAGTAGGAAATCTCCTGCCTCATCTCTTGGGCAGCCCGTCTTCGCACCAATGAATGCGGTGAGGCAGTGCAGGCAATCCGTGCCGCTGATTTGCTACCTCCCAAGGCCGCTGAAACTCTGATCCTGGCGGCGACAAATGCTGCTGCGCCTTCCTCCACTTTGCCAAACCTTGGCGGATTTTGCCAGTTTCGAAGGAGAAAAAAATGAAAAAATGGAAAAATGAAAAAAAAGGAAACAATCACGGGCCAAGAGAAGGTTTCGCTTGCGGATGGCAAAGATCCCTTTCTATGGGACTGGAGAGAGAATTTGCATTACGGCGTACTCCCATGTTTTGATCGAATTCCCTATGTTGTTTTTCACCTAGCTAGGAGCGTTGGGCTTTAAAATCCGGATGTTGTTAGCTTCCGTGAACTGATCGCCAAGGGACTCTTTGTGAAATTTTCAAAAGTCTTTGATGTTCTGAGTGCAATTGGGAGTCTTCATGCATGCGGTCAAGCTATTCAGGGGAATGATGCTTGTAGACATTAAATCTGTCGTTGTGGACTGACACGTCTGACAGTCGCCAACAAAACAACAACCGAAAAGCCTTGTCCCGACAGAGCGTAGAGAGTCGTCAAAGCAATTGCAATTGAACCTCGCATTGCCCCGTAGACCATTCTCCAAGGGACCAGATGTTTCCCGGGGTACCCTTCCTTTGTTGCGAAATCCCATCCCAAGGCACAGCCAAGAAAGAGTACACTTGGTTAGTTCGCTAAACAAGGGCGAGCCCGCTAGATCTCCGTTCTCCCTCGACGTGAGACTGACTTCTCTTCCTCCCCCCCAGCAGGACCTTGGGCTTTGTTCAACTCCCTCCCTGTGCCATTTTCCTATCCTTCTTCCTGGCCCTGAGCTTGGCCGCTTCGATTAATATCCCTTGATGGCCAGATATCCAACATTGTCGTCTTCCATCCTATCGGCTTCCACCGCATTGGCCGAGTGTGGACTACCGTGTTGACCACCGTCCTCCTCGGGCTACTTCCTTCAGGAGAGTTGAATTACGCCATTGCTCGGCCATCTATGTATTTTGCTGCCGGCGTTTTCTAGATATTGTGCCAAATCTGGTGGCGAAAGTCGCCCCCCGGGAATAGAGGACAGTTTCGACGTTCGTGTGAAAATATCCCCAGCCCTTCCCGATTGCAGTTGACGACCTTGATTCCTTGATACCAGCGGGATCTATTTTCCACTCTTCCCCCCTCTTCCGTATCTTTTGGGCTTTCCACGCGTTAGTCCATTCGCTAGCTTCCTTCAGCTTGACCATGCGACGCTCCAGAGCTGTGGTGATATAATCAACCATCTCTTTGGCAGGCTGTCCGTTACTTCTCGACTCGACCCCCTACACTAACCTCTTCACTCTGCCACACATATCACGTAACAATCATGTCACAGCCGCCAGGAGATGATGGCTCCTCCCCTCCCGCAGGCCCTCCTCTACGGCGTGAGCGTGCGCCTACCATTACAATAGATACTTCCGCCGTGAGTGCTGTTGGTGAGCCATCCCAACTCCATGGACCTCCAGATGGAATACCGCCTCCACCGCGAATTTCCACCGAAAATTCAGATGAAGGCTCCAGACTCCCCGACGAAACCACACCCACTGCTGAGCTGCGCTCTGTTAATTCTTTTGAGGGAAGGGATAAGGGAAGCCGCCCAACGTCGCCCCATAACGTATCGTCGCCAGCTGCAAAATGGCCCGAAAGCCAATCCCATAACTTCTTAGCTGTTCCTGGGACTCGATCGCGGGGGAACTCTCTAGATTCGGAAGAGGTAAACAATTCTCCTGGTTCTGTTTGGAGTGACACATGTGTTGCGTCTGCACCTTCGGCTCAAGATCGCCCGTCTCGAGATGGTGATCGCGATGCACATGATATTACGAAAGACCCCAATGCACTGAAGCCGGATCCCGGCACGGAGGATGATTTTGTAGTCGAAAACAATAAATTCGCATTTAGCCCAGGCCAATTGAACAAAATGCTGAATCCCAAAAGTTTATCTGCATTCTACGCTCTAGGTGGACTCGCAGGGCTTGAAAAGGGGTTGCGATCAAATTGCCAGACCGGCCTCAGTCTCGACGAAATGGTTTTGGAGGGGAAGGTCAGCTTTGAGGAGGCAACCAAGCAGGGCGGCAGAAACCTTGATACGCAGGATCTAAAGTTGCGCCCCCGAGTTATGAGCTTGAAAGTGGACACCGATGAAAAGCATGCGAAGGAGCGCAGATACGTCGACCGAAAACTGGTCTTCAGTGACAATCGACTGCCAGCGAAGAAAGCTAAATCATTCTGGGAACTCGCTTGGATTGCCTACAATGACAAGGTGTTGATACTACTCTCTATCGCAGCCGCGATATCTCTCGCTCTTGGAATATACCAGTCCTTGACAGCGGAAGACGGCGAACCCAGGATACAATGGGTTGAGGGAGTGGCTATCATCGTTGCTATTGTAGTTGTGGTTGCTGTCGGTGCTGCTAACGACTGGCAAAAGGAACGGCAGTTTGTGAGGCTCAATAAGAAAAAGGAGGACCGGATGGTCAAGGTTATGCGATCTGGAAAATCCGTGGAAATATCTGTTTATGATATTCTTGCTGGGGATGTGATGCATCTTGAGCCTGGTGACATGGTTCCCGTTGATGGCGTATTTATTGACGGCCATAATGTGAAATGTGATGAATCTTCCGCAACCGGCGAATCCGATCTTTTGCGGAAAGTCCCCGGGATGGAAGCATATCGAGCAATTGAAAACCATGAAAGTCTTTCGAAAATTGACCCGTTTATCCTCTCAGGCGCTAAAGTTTCTCAGGGTGTTGGCACCTTCCTTGTCACTTCTACGGGTATTAATTCCAGCTATGGAAAGACCCTGATGTCGCTCCAAGACGAGGGAGAGACAACTCCTTTACAGACGAAGCTTAACATCCTTGCTACTTATATAGCAAAGCTTGGTCTTGCAGCAGGTCTATTGCTCTTCTTGGTTTTATTCATCAAATTTTTGGCGAGTTTGAAAAATATTCCAGGTGCTACTGCAAAAGGTCAAAATTTCCTTCAGATTTTTATTGTTGCTGTCACTATCATTGTCGTTGCAGTCCCAGAGGGATTACCACTCGCCGTTACACTAGCGCTTTCGTTCGCCACTAACAGAATGTTGAAGGACAACAACTTGGTGCGTCTATTAAGGGCTTGCGAGACCATGGGTAATGCGACCACTATTTGCTCGGATAAGACGGGTACACTCACCCAGAACAAAATGACTATTATCGCTGGCACAATTGGAACTGCTTCTCGCTTTGGTGATAAAGCTAGCCAAGACACCTCTGATCAAAATAACCTCAGTCAAAATCCTCCGGAAACGAACGACGTCTCGCCGACAGAATGCATCTCTACGTTATCATCCTCAGTCAAGGATCTTTTGAAACAATCTATTGTATTGAACTCGACCGCATTCGAGGGTGATGAAGATGGAGTTACAACATTTATTGGGTCTAAAACTGAAACAGCACTCCTCAACTTTGCTCGAGATTATCTTGCCTTGGGATCTCTTAGCGAAGAAAGATCCAACGCAACGATCGTTCAACTTATTCCATTTGACTCTGGTCGAAAATGCATGGGTGTCGTCATGAAACTCTCTGAGGGCAAATTCAGGTTACTTGTTAAGGGCGCTTCCGAGATTCTCATTGCAAAATGCACAAAAATTGTTCTCGACCCGGCCGGCGAGTTAGCCGAGGCTCCTCTCACGGACAGCAACAGGACTACTCTCAATAATATTGTGGACAGTTATGCATCAAGATCATTACGCACAATTGCTCTGGTCTACCGAGATTATGAACAGTGGCCCCCTCGCGGCGCTCCTACCCAAGAATACGATCGTAGCTTGGCGGTTTTTGAATCAATTTTCAAAGAAATGGTTTTTCTGGGTGTTGTGGGCATTCAAGATCCTCTGCGTCCAGGTGTTACAGATTCCGTCATTCAATGTCAAAAAGCTGGAGTGTTCGTCAGGATGGTCACCGGCGATAATTTAACAACCGCTAAAGCTATAGCCCAAGAGTGTGGCATATTTACGGCCGGCGGAATTGCAATGGAAGGCCCCGTATTCCGGACCCTTCGTTCCCAGCAAATGAGCCAGGTCATACCAAGATTGCAGGTCCTCGCGCGATCCAGCCCAGAAGATAAAAAGAAATTGGTTTCTCAGTTGAAAAGGCTGGGCGAGACCGTAGCTGTCACTGGCGATGGTACTAACGATGCTCCAGCGCTGAAAGCAGCTGATGTAGGTTTCTCTATGGGCATTGCTGGCACTGAAGTTGCTAAAGAGGCTTCTGCTATAATACTTATGGATGACAATTTCACATCTATTGTGAAGGCCATGGCTTGGGGGAGGACAGTTAATGATGCCGTAAAGAAATTTTTACAGGTGAATATTTCCCGCTAACTATGTAGTTGGCCTTTCTAATGTTGGGTTCCCTTAGTTTCAAATCACGGTCAACATCACAGCCGTTCTTGTCACCTTCGTCTCCGCCGTAGCCGATGACGATGAGGAATCGGTTCTCACAGCTGTTCAGCTTCTGTGGGTCAATCTCATCATGGACTCATTCGCTGCGCTGGCTCTAGGTAACTTCCACCACCCCCCCTAACAGAATTTACCACTTCCAAAGTTGATGAAATTGGATAGCTAACTCTTTGTCCAGCAACCGACCCCCCAACCGATACCATTCTTGACCGGAAACCGGAACCCAAATCCGCTCCATTAATCACGATAACCATGTGGAAAATGATAATAGGACAGTCGATCTATCAGCTTGTCGTCATATTCATTCTCAATTTCGCAGGGGAAAATATTCTTAATTACGAATTTAGCGGAGGGAATGCCGAGAATGAAATGGGTCGCTTCAAAGCCCTTATTTTCAACACGTTCGTTTTTATGCAGATATTCAACCAATACAAGTAAGGAACCCATCACATCACTGCGGCACCTCAAATTAATATGGAATACTAATACATTTTTTTCCCTTTCATAGTTCGCGACGTATTGACAATGGTTTCAATATATTTGAAGGAATACTTCACAATGCATGGTTCATCGCCATTCAGTTTGTTATCGTCGCTGGTCAAGTCCTTATCATCTTCGTTGGCGGCGAAGCATTCCATACAAAGCCCCTGAATGGCGTCGAATGGGCCGTCTCTATCATCCTAGGCCTCTTGTCGATGCCCATGGCTGTTGTTATTCGACTGATACCGGACGAGTTCATCCAGAAGTTAATCCCTCAGAGGTGGGCTCGCAAGAAGACAAGTCCACAAGTTGTCGTCTCAGACGAGGATCGCTTCGAGTGGAACCCTGCTCTACAGGAAATCAAAGATCAGCTGGCATTCCTCAAAACCGTCCGTGGAGGACGACTTAATCACTTAAAGCACAAGCTAAAGCATCCGGAACACTTGATCCCAAGGTCCAGGAGTGGTTCAAGGTCGCGGGATAGCTCTATGCCACAGACACCGGTCGACGGAGCCCAAGACGCCTTTCCATCGCTGGCCTCGGGAACTCTGGAATCACGCTCTCGCAGCAGCCGGTCGCGATCCAACTCAAATCTGAGGCCGGCAGCGGTGATGGCAGGTGTAGTTGCCGGTAGTATCGGAGGTTGGTCGCCTGTGGGACGAAGTCCAGGAGAGGCAGACGCTTTCAAGCTTTCACCCTCCAGTCGACATTCGGGTCTCGGGCAGCATCAGGGAGTTGAAGTCCATCCTGATACAAGAGAAGATGACCCGGTAATCAGTGACTACCCATATTCCACTCGCGTTCCTCCAAGTCAAAATCCAGACTTGGCACCTGATTTCCCCCATAGCCCTTCCCATTCGGGCCCGCCGAGTCGCGGCCGACGATCTACTTCGAGACAATCAAGGCAGTCACCCAATAATAATAACACTCCCCCAAGCCCAGCTGCTCCGCAGTCCTAACTCTTTCCTTGAACAAGGTTCAACACACGAAAAAATTTGGGAATACTGAAGATACGTTCTAGTCTACCATATTCACCACTTGCCCCGCTATGTCTTGCAGGTTTGCCATTTTCAGTCTCCATCAGCAGCCAGTTTTAATTTTAATAACTTTTGGCTGAGCCTAAAGTCATATTCAATTCGACATTCTCACCAGGGACGTCGCCCTCGAGTCCTACTTGCGCGGCACCGGAATGCGCGTTTGGGCCCAGCAAATTTTTCTGTTTGTCAAAATGAAAAAAAAAGAAAATAAGTAAAAAGTGCAGCACAGCATTTGCATAAGCATGGCGTGTGGGTTGTAGAGTCTTTTATTCTAATTTTATTCTTTCGCTCTACCTCGTTTGTTTCACCACTCGTTCCCTCCCCCTTATCTTAGCTACATTGGCTATCGATTTACTTACTTCCCTATGTTTACATCACACACCTTCGTTAGACCACCCTTTCGACTCTGCCCGTTCTTCTCCTTCCCGTCCTCCATTTCACTTATCTCATCCTTTCATTGTGGGTATTACATCTTCGGATTTCTATTTTTGCGTTTGGCATCGCAAACCACTTGTTCCTGCTTTCTCCTTTTTATTGTAACCTCCTTTTTGTTTCACTCAGCCGCGTCTTTTCTCTATGGTATATTTTCCTTTCCACCTATTTCTGTATAATATACAGATATACTCTCTTCACGTTTCTCTTTTAGATATTTTCCTTTTCGATTGTTTTTCCTTTTGAGGCTCCCTTGGTCGATATTCTCACAAAAAGCTAAGGGCACACCGTTTAATCCACATTTTTCCAACGCCGGCGCATTTTTCCTTTGCTCTTTTTATTCGATAGCCTCATTCACGATTATTTTGAGGGTCTCTCTCTTCCTTCATTCCCCGTGGCACGCCTATCTTCTCTATCTCATTCTCTCGCTTGGCCTCCATTTTGTTCGGCGTTGTTGAAAGGTAAAAGGATACTTCTGGTTTTCGACTTTTCTCTTCCTCTCGTCTTCATCCTTTATTCTTTCTTGATATCTTTTTGTACTCTTATCTATAGACATTTGGCAGTGTATCAAGAAATAAACACTTTCATAATCAGTTACTTGAAAAAGTACTACTACACCTTTGATTCTCAGGTTTGACAGATTCTAGAGAGCATCTATATTCATCATCACACTGTACAAACCCCGGGGGTATAATGTCGGTTTTAATTCCCCTTTATAAAATTGAGTCACTGACTTGGTCCTTGGGTTGTGCTCCGAGCAAAAAAAGCATCCTACGTATTTCATTGCCTTGTAGTTCTGACGTCAGCTCCAGGGGGAGGTAGGTATAGGTATCATGCAGGGATGGGTGTAGCCAGGGACTTAGGACCTCACCCCTTGCAAGATTAACGGCGGTCAGCACTTTGAAATCTAAATTCCATCAATCAATTGGGAACCGGAAAATGTTAAAAAAGCTTTATGATGATGGTTCTATATTTATATATATATATATAGAAATATTCCTGATATCCTTGACCAAGTAGCAAATCCTTACTTTCTTTACTGACCCAAAATTGGTGCTGGCGGCGAATCTAACTTATTTCGAGCGGAACGGAAAGATTTGATAAGACCGAGACTCCGAAGTAGTGGTGAATGAGTTATTGCCATAGTTAACGAGCATTTGCATATCGCTAGCTGTGTATTTTGTCTGCGATGAAGTGACTGAAAAGAAACTCAGGCCACATCGGGTACTTCCTGGCTTCCTCAAGTTCTGTTCAACTGTAACCTTGAACCTGTTGCTGGAGACTTTTTGACCTGTTGGAGACTTGTTGCCGGACACCCTCGCCGCATGCAAGGTGGCGGCTGCACAATATCAATTGAGTTACGGCAGAGGAAAGGCCCGCAAAGTGGAGAAATTTCCCCGCCGGACTTATGCATCGACACCTCACCCACATTGCAGTCTGGCATGCATAATGGACTCTCAGCAATCAACAGGTTAGAGATAGGTGAAAGATGGAGTTTGAGGGTAGAAATTGGGGTTGATTTTCTAAGAAATATAGTCGTAACTATAAAGAAAAAAGAAAGAATAAAAACCAAAAAATCTACCCCGCGGAGCCCACTCGATCAAGCTGGGGGAGAAAGGGATTGAATTTGTGGCCAGCGTTGATACTTTTAGCGGAGAATGTATATGTATGTACCCGAAATTTTGTTGAAGGTCAACCCCGCCTCAACCAGTAATCTGTAACTACTCCTACGCTGTAAGTTAGTACTCTGAACAGATAGCGCTGTGAAAAGTTTTGACTCCCGAATTTGAATTTTTACTGAAATACTTATGCCGGCATCAAGCATTGCCATTCAATCTCTTAATTAAAGAGGTATTAGACTTCAGAGGGCTTTAGGGGCAATTAATGGTGGCTTGCTTACTAGCTCACTCACATTGCCCAATTCCACAGGCATAAGATCCGAAATGAAATCTCAGTTTAGATTCTTAGTGAGAATCCAAACTCTTTACACGAGCATATGGACACCCCCCTTGGAGTGGGAGTTCGGAGTCCGAGATTTCCGCGAAGTGGAACATGGATGTTGAGCTAAGGGACGATGGTGACCGCGGGGATCAAATCAAACCCTTGGTCCTACAGCAAAGCGCGTGCCGTGGCTGCACACTCGCAGTTTGTTGCAAAATAATTGAGGTTCGCATCCTTGCTCACACATAATGCTAGGATGAGCTGGCCTTGTGGGTCGTCTGGACCCTCTACACCCCGGCAACTTCGTTCTCCTCCCCCTCAGTTCCTCGATTTCTGTTTTTTAAATAACACGAAGAGGAACTGATCTCTCTCAATTCTTCTCTTCCAAATTGCTGTCCAGTCACAATTTCGACACCAACTGAGCCGCCATGTCCTCCACCATGGATTCCTTCCCCATATTCTCCGTGGCCCAGACACTGCTCAGAACTGCCAAGGCATGGGTCCCCATTCCAATCCTGGGGCCAGTGGTCTATCTGGTTGCGGTAGCGGTGCTCCGCAACAGAAGAGTCAAGAAAGCCGGGAAGAAATTAAATTATCCAACTCGAGAGTCGATGGCCACGATGAGCAATGATGATGCGTGGAGAATCCTCCTGGATCTTGGCCAAATGGAGTTCCCATTCACCTATCTTAAGGCGTTACAATTCGCTTTGTTTAGGGTACGTCTAATGTCTTGAACATGCTGCGGTGGATGCAAAACTCTCTAGCCATCGCCGTCCTTTAAATTGTCTAACTGACCAAAATAACCTGGGTGCCATCTACTACGTTATGACAATAGACCTATGGAATCCCCACCATCTCCAAAACCCTAGTACAAACCGGCCAGTTCGCGAAACCAGAGTTCTCGATGAAACGTTATGCAGACACTTCTGTGCTAATTTCAGAATTCGTGGGCAACCCCCCTACTTCGGAGCGCGCCAAAGCTGCGATCGCCCGCATGAACTATCTTCACAACGGATACAGAATGTCTGGGAAAATCCTCGATGATGACATGCTCTTTACTCTCAGTCTTTTCACACTAGAGCCAATCAGGTGGATTAACAGATACGAATGGCGCAAGGCTTCAGAGTTGGAAGTGTGCGCCCTTGGCACTTTCTGGAAGAGTGTAGGCGATGCCATGGAGATTAGCTTCGAGAATCTACCATCATCCAAGGTAGGGTTTAAGGATGGTATCCAATTTTCGGAAGAGCTCAGAGTGTGGAGCGAGGATTACGAGCGGAGGACAATGGTCCCCAACGAGTGGAACAAGAAGAATGCAGATCAGACTACCGCAGTTCTCCTGTGGGATTACCCTCTTCTCGTGAGACCGATGGCTCGGAAGATGCTATTTTTCTTGATGGATGACCGTCTGCGCGAGGCAATGATGTGAGTGTTTTCTTTTCTATTCCGTTTAATTTTGCAGAAAATGCGTACTGGCCATTACTCTCACACGATATGCAGGTACGAAAAGCCACACGTGCTCTACAGAGTGGCATTTGGCTCAATTTTCAAGCTCCGAACATGGTTTCTCCGTTATCTCTCCCTCCCCCGTCCGGAGTTCATGCGGCTCCGCCGCGTCGCTCCAGGTACCAGCGCGGAAGCTCGCTATAACATACTTAACTGGGAAGGTGCTCCCTTCTACATCCAACCAACTTTCATGAATCGGTGGGGACTTCGTGCTTGGTTCGCATGGCTTCGCGGGATGCCACTTCCTGGCGATGATCCCAATCATTGCCCAAACGGATACTATATCCCAGATGTCGGGCCAAAGCATTTTGAAGGGAAGGGGCACGACCAGGTTAGGAAGACAATGAAGCGGTTACATACAGAGCGAACTGGCAAATGTCCGTTCCTTTTCAAATAGATATATGTCTATTATACGGTTTAGTTCGAAGGAGAGGTCATCCCCACTCCCAAAGGCCATGGCATGTTTCAATTGAAGGAGTGCTGGAGCAAAAATTGGAATGCGTTATGGTGGAAACATCTGTTTTGGCCGGTTTTGGCAGGCGTTAGATGCATTTCATTCTTCCAAAGGTACTGAATATGTTCCTTCTTTCGATTCTGCATTTCCGCAGAAGGACCATCTCTCTCCGACGCTATGCAAAAAACTTTCCTGAAATGGCAACGAAGATTATTTAACCTTTTGTGCTGCTAGTTATGAGAAAATGATGCTTATTCCTACAAAGAATGCATGTTGTGTTAGCGTTGCCGATTTAAGGTTTCTACCCCACAGCTTCTAAATCTAATCCAATGATCGGATAACCTTAAGTGGACCACAACCACCAGCTATCCGGGGTTAGCCGCAGCCACCCAGATCTGTCCTGTGCAAAAAAGTTATAAGATCAAGGGATCCTTGTAGAAACTTATATAATAGGCCTAAAGCTAGGTAGTTAGTTAACTAACGATTGCTCCCCTCATTTCCCCTCTTTTTCAGAATCATGGTGTTACAAAGTGCCAATAGGATATACATCTTCACAAAATCACTGGAAGGGACAGAAGAACCACCACCACCCTCTCTGACGAATTCCATCTAAACCGAACGGAAAACAGCAATCTTGTCATACTACAAGCGAAGAGACCATGGCCACTTTAGCCACTTTTAAGCCTCCCGCGGTGCAGAATGAACCAACTGTGAGTTTCGAGTATGCTCATTAGAAACTTGCTTGGGATGAGTGTGACCCTGGAAAGAATGCGTATCTGGGGGATGGTGAACGATTAAATCAAACTTAAGACGCGGATCACGGAAATAACTATCTAACTTCTTGCCCTTTGATGGTGGCGGGAAACTCCTACAAATAGCAAAATTACGCCAAAGGCTCCCCAGAGCGGGAAAAGCTCGCGAGTGCAATTGCGGCGTTCAAGAAGCAGGCTCCGTTGGAGATTCCACTTGTTATCAACGGGAAGCAGGTATGTTACATCTATTTCATTGTTTTTTCTTTTTTCAAGAATGGAAAACTATGAAAAAATGAAATGCCATAAAAAACGTACCCCACATTAATCATACCTTTTCTCTCCACCTTGCAGGTAACCACATCCTCCGAGCTGCAGACTCAACTAAACCCATCCGCCTACAAGACCACCCCCGTCGCCAAGTTCCACGCAGCTGGCCCACAAGAAGTCACCACGGCCATTGAGACAGCGCTGGCGGCCAAGAAATCGTGGGAGACCTTACCCTTCGCAGACCGGGCGGCGATTTTTCTGAAAGCTGCTCATCTCATCAGTACCAAGTATCGGTATGAGCTGATGGCTGCAACGATGGTTGGGCAGGGGAAGAACGCATGGCAGGCAGAGATTGATGCTGCGGCGGAGTTGTGTGATTTTTTGAGGTAAATTTGCATTCTTCATCTATTAGTTAAAGATTGTATATATATATATATATATTTCGTTGGATGAGGAGATGAGACGCTGATGTTGGTGCAATCTCTGAATAGGTTCAATGTTCAGTATGCTGCCGAGATCTATGCACAGCAGCCCATTCATAATGCTCCTGGGGTTTGGAAGTAAGTTACCTTCCCATTTTTCCTGTGTTCTTCTTGGTCGATCGAATTTACTCCGATGAAGTTAGTTTCTCCTAGCAATATCTAATAGCACTTATCATCTCGAAGCCGACTTGAATACCGGCCCCTAGAAGGTTTCGTCTACGCCGTGTCGCCATTCAACTTCACCGCGATCGGAGGCAACCTTCCCGCCGCCCCTGCCCTCATGGGAAACGTAGTGGTCTGGAAACCATCCCCATTCGCCGTCGCAGCGAATTTCCTAACCCACAGCATCCTCGTCGAAGCCGGCCTGCCCCATGGCGTCATCCAATTCGTCACCGGCGACGCCGAGCAGATTACAAAGACAGTCCTCGACCACCCTCACTTCGCCGCCCTGCATTACACAGGCAGCACGGCCGTCTTCCGCTCTCTGTACGGTAAAATTGCCCAGGGTGTTGCAGACGGCAAGTACATCGGATACCCGCGTATCGTCGGCGAGACAGGCGGGAAAAACTTCCATCTCATCCACTCCAGTGCCGATATCCCCAACGCGGTAAGAAACACCGTGCGCGCCGCCTTTGAATTCCAGGGCCAGAAATGCAGCGCTTGCTCGCGCGCATATGTCCCCGCGAGCATCTGGGCCGAGTTCCGCCGCCAGCTCATCGCGGAGACACAAGCGCTGAAAATCGGAGATCCGGAAGATTTCTCCAACTTCATCGGCCCGGTGATCCATGCGGCGGCGTTTAAGAAGCTCTCGTCCGCCATCGACGAGGCGAATGCGGATTCCCGCCTCGAGTTGCTGGTCGGCGGCAGCTACAGCGATGAGACGGGCTATTTCATCCACCCGACAATCTACGCGACGAAGGACACAGCTCATCCGATTCTCAGCACGGAATATTTCGGGCCCATTTTGGCCGTCGTTGTGTACGATGATACGGTTGATGGTGCTGGTGGAGCCAGCGCGTTTGAGTCCATATGCAAAACTATCGACGCAACTAGTCCTTATGCGCTTACGGGCGCTGTATTTGCGCAGGATCGTGCAGCAGTGTCGTATGCGGAGGACGTGCTGCGGAGCTCTGCGGGGAATTTCTATATCAATTGTAAATGTACAGGTGCTGTGGTAGGGCAACAGCCGTTTGGAGGGGCGAGGGCGTCCGGTACGAATGATAAGGCGGGGAGCATTGGGCTGTTGAATCGGTTTGTGAGCGTTAGAGCGCTGAAGGAAGAGTTTGAGGGACTGCAGAAGGTGAAGTATGTCAGTAATGAGTAGGGGATAGGGATCAGGGAGGAAAACTGCGTGTTTCGATTATATCTTTTATTCTCAAATTTGAGAGTTAGTTGGGGAGTATTGGGATGGAATCAATGAAATATATGGTGCTGAAATTAGATGACCTTCTGTGTATAACTGGATCCTCTGCTGGTATGTATGTACTAGGTACCTAGTTATGAAAACAAAATGAACAACAATAGATTTAACAACTTGTTCTCTTTATATTGTGGAAAATAATAATAATTAATAAATATAGCCCATATTGTGATGAATATGAACTGCATGTATACTCATGGAACAACTGGTAAATCTACCTTCAAACACCCGCATATTCGCATTCGCCCTGTAACCCCCGTCAACTCTCAGTGGGAGGCCACTATTTACCTGACTTAAAGAAGCAGATATTTAGGCCTCTCCCGCTGGACAATTGTCCCTGAAAGATGGGGCGATTCATCTATAGAGCCGATTAGCCCTCGGGCCAGTTCAACTATCAATAAATGGCCCTCGAGAATGGAGGAGAATGGCCACAACCGAGTATATAAGTATATATATATACCACACTTATTCTATTCAACAGTAGAGCGTAATCGAGCAAAAGCAAACCCGGGAATTCCAAGAGAGTGCCCAAAGCATTGTTTCGTTAATTGTAAAGCGGGACAACATAATCATTAATTAAAAAGGGCATTGAGACGAATAAATGGGTTTGATAATTATCGCGATATCCTGTTTGAAGATGCAGGGGCACGGTATTTCTGCATGCATCGATTGACCATGAACCCACGAAAAGAGCAAGACACTCTTGACAAAAATGATTCAGAAGTGTCCTTAGATCCTTGAAGGCCTTGTGACAATTGATTCGTTTCGCCAAAGTAGGGGTTTGATTTGATTCAGACCAAGGCTATCAGGCATGTTGTGTAGTCTGTTTGCATTTCAGTACTAGTAGCAAATGAAGATAACAAGGCAACAGTAGGAGCAACCCCGGGACGCGAGCATTGAATTCAGTTCCGAGCCTTGCTTAGACCAATTGTCTTTTTATATGCCCATTGAGCTAGACGTGACATTTCTAGAAATATATTTTTTTTGGTGGGGTTTAGATATGCTTTCCAGTAGAGCCTTCCTGGCGTAATATATTTTGGCAGATTGGATCTCTCTACTTCACTCATGAAACAGGAAAGCCGTGACCACTAGAGCAATCCTTTAAAGTTCAGGCCTTAACCCCTTAATATAAAACAAGTAACATTACCTTATTTGGAGAGAGCAAGCAAGAGTTTTGGCCAAAGCTTGAGGGATCCAAACAAGCCATTTATGCCATAGGTATGGTATGTCAAGTACCTAATTGCATGGCTCCCCAGTATTAATCGAGATTTCCAAGCTGAAAAGATGTACAAAGGAAAGGATGCTGAAAAAAAGCAGACGACGGCTGATATCAAAACTTGGTAGGCAGTTAGATGGTGGGTTCTCCTCTCGTGGGGAAACCCGTCTCTCTCCGTTTGATGGGATCCATACTGAGATTTCTGCTGTCTTTCCCAAAAGGCCCATCAAATGCACTGTCTAAAGGTCATCCAAGATATTGATAGTCGTGATATGCCCATAGATATAGACCTTCAACTGGCATTTTGGTTCGTTCCTGATTCCCAGACGTTTGGGGCCTGGAGACACACTAGTCCCAACCAGGACACCACTAGCATCATTTTAGGACTAGTGTGGCCATCAACGGGGTGCTCGGACAGCGACGCTAGTTCCAACCGAGACTAGTGCAACAACACAGAGCCCCCGTCCCAACCTGTTTGTTTCTCCTCCTGTTCTTCTGTTTCTCACCGCTTCCACTCCATCCACCACACACCACCACCTCCAACACCACTACCACTGCGAGATACATCTCCCATCTACCTGCTTGACATTCTGATATTGTCTCTCAGCTCTCTTCACTCCTCCATCTCTACACTCACAACCAACAATGCGTGAAATCGTACGTTGTTATTACCCTTCACTCTGCCGTTCTGACGCGTTCTTAGCACCCTTGTTGTCTTCCCCCTCCCCAACTCCATCCCCTTTTTTGGTGCCCAATTCTGTGTCAAACACATATATCTGCTCGCGGCATACCTTCTTAGAACAAATACTCTTAGGAACATACGATAATGGGAAGTGTGAAATTGGTTGCTAACGTGTTGTGTAATTTTATTTGGGTTGTTTTTCTAGGTTCACCTCCAAACCGGCCAATGCGTATGTCCCTTCGCCCCCCCCAACAACCCCCTAACCCCCGCGCGAGATGTTGATATCACTGCTCCTTCTTTTTCTTTTTCGGTTCCTGGTTGATATTGTCACTTGGAGGAAGTTCATTGTCTAACCTTTGGAGCTATTGGTTGATGGAATAGGGTAACCAAATTGGTGCCGCTTTCTGGTATGTCTACCATTCCTGGTATTTGTTTACCATACTTTGCACTGACAATGTTTCTTCTTCTTGAATAGGCAAACCATCTCCGGTGAACATGGCCTCGATGGCGCCGGCTAGTAAGTATTGCAACTAATATAAAATTATCTATATAATGACGAGAATCTCGACCCCTAACTCGGTAAATAGCTACAACGGATCCTCCGATATCCAGCTTGAGCGCATGAACGTCTACTTCAATGAGGTGGGAGAACGTTTCCCACCCCGCAAGAGCAGCCGTCAGTCTACTAATCGGAATATACCCCGTAGGCTACCGAAAAGAAATATGTGCCCCGTGCTGTCCTCGTTGACCTCGAGCCCGGTACCATGGACGCCGTCCGTGCTGGTCCGTTTGGCCAGCTCTTCCGTCCAGACAACTTCGTTTTCGGCCAGTCTGGTGCCGGTAATAACTGGGCCAAGGGCCATTACACTGAGGGAGCTGAGCTAGTGGACCAGGTCATCGACGTCGTCCGTCGTGAAGCTGAAGGCTGTGATTGCCTCCAGGGCTTCCAGATCACTCACTCTCTTGGTGGTGGTACTGGCGCTGGTATGGGTACCTTATTGATTTCCAAGATCCGTGAGGAATTCCCAGACCGTATGATGGCAACTTTCTCCGTCGTCCCTTCGCCAAAGGTTTCTGACACCGTTGTTGAGCCTTACAATGCTACCCTCTCCATCCATCAGCTCGTTGAGCACTCCGACGAGACTTTCTGTATTGATAACGAGGTATGATTCGATAGTTTCTTGATCCTTTCGCGGCCAATACATTTTTACGAGATCTTCTAACCGGATATACAAAGGCTCTGTATGATATCTGCATGCGGACTCTCAAACTCTCTGAGCCATCTTATGGTGACCTCAACCATCTCGTCTCCGCCGTCATGTCCGGTGTGACCACGTGCCTGCGGTTCCCCGGTCAGCTCAACTCTGACCTTCGGAAACTCGCTGTGAACATGGTTCCCTTCCCTCGTCTCCACTTCTTCATGGTCGGATTCGCTCCTCTGACCAGCCGTGGTGCATACTCCTTCCGCGCTGTCACCGTTCCGGAGTTGACCCAGCAGATGTACGACCCTAAGAACATGATGGCTGCTTCTGACTTCCGTAACGGCCGCTACCTTACCTGCTCCGCTATCTTGTAAGTTTTCTTGAATCACCTCCCCGGCCTCGTATTTTCCTTCTAACGCAACTGTTTTTCTCCCAATTAGCCGTGGTAAGGTTTCCATGAAGGAAGTCGAGGATCAGATGCGCAACGTCCAAAACAAGAACCACACCTATTTCGTTGAGTGGATCCCCAACAATGTCCAGACCGCTCTCTGTTCCATTCCACCTCGCGGCCTCAAGATGTCATCTACCTTCGTTGGAAATTCAACCTCCATCCAGGAGCTCTTCAAGCGTGTCGGTGACCAGTTCACTGCTATGTTCAGGCGCAAGGCTTTCTTGCACTGGTACACTGGAGAGGGTATGGATGAGATGGAGTTCACGGAGGCAGAGAGCAATATGAATGATCTCGTTTCTGAGTATCAGCAGTATCAGGATGCTAGTATCTCGGAGGGAGAGGATGAGTAGTAAGTTTCTGTTCCACCATTCTTTTGCGTTGAATTCAAGCCTTAGATTACGCCGCTGCGCAAATGTATATCTTTAACTACCTATGTCACTAACCGGTTGTTTTCTTTTAAACAGTGCCGAGGAAGAGGTTCTTGAGGGCGAGGAGTAAAGGGGATAATAGGAAAGCAACTTCAAGAGAAATCAACGTATAGCGAAGCGAGCGTACGAGGCCCGCATTTTTGAAACCAATTCATCAATTCTTTTTAGTTTTGTTTTTAGTTTTCTTGTTCATTCATTCAATTAATTTATGTTCTGTGTTCTCTTGTTTTCTTTTTTCCAGAAGCGATAAAATCAATTCTTTTTATACCTGGACTACAAATCATGATAAAGTATCACCGCTTTTGTGTCAGTTATTCATGGGATATGAAAAGTTTCACATATGATATATTGTATGTTCTTATGTGTAGCCCTGACTTCATGAAAGGGAGTGGTAGGTAATAAATAGTACGTTGTATATGATATGGCTATGAATGAAAACGAGAAGGAACATACTGCCACTTCTGAGAGTACCCACCCAGCACACCATCCATCCATCCATCCATCCTTTATATATACATTTTTTTTTTTTTTCAACAGGCACATGGGAGACAAGACGCAATACTCACTCACTCCTTTCACAGGTAAAAACAAAAACCTAGAACATCAACTAGAAGAGTAGCGACGATAGTAGAACAACACTCAGGGGGCGAAAAGGAAATTAGAGAACAAAAGCCGGGTCTGTCTCTCTCTCTCTCCCTCTCTGCCTCGGATTGGGATTTTTTTTAAAAAACGCAGCAAACCGGCATTAACTAACCTCCAACATCCTCTGCCCAAGCCCATCAACATCTGAAAAGTAAGGCCAATCAAGGCAGGGCAGGGGGGGGGGGGGGTTTGGGGGAACAAATCCCAGGACTTCAACTACTCCAGCGAGTATCCGGGTAGTTAGATAGCTTCCGAAGCATATATTTAGCTTGCACCATCTGCAGCGCTCTCCCTAGCCGCTTCGTCGTCGTCGCCGCCGCCACCACCCTCAAGCCATGACCCAAACTTATCAAGCCGCTCTGCTTCTTCCTCGTCAGCCTGGTCACTGTCATCCTCCGCATCAACGCCAGCTAGAGTAGTTCCGGCAGTAGCGGCGTGTCGTGAGCTCGATTTCCTGAACCTCTCGCTGCCATCGGCTATGTATGCCGCCACCCGTGTGCCTGAGAAGAAGCGGCCGTCCATTTTCTGGGGAGATGGGGAGGTAAGTAAGTATTGTAATTGTTTAGGAGGGTTGATGAAAATGAAATGTAGGTCCGAACTCCTCCTCTCTCTCCCCGCCTTCTCCTCCCCTCTTTCTACTCCTCTTATTTATTGTGATACGGGAGTGATTAGAAGGAAGGAAAAAAAAAGGCACAAAAAGGATATTTTTGGGAAATTATATAACGGAACGCACCTGAACGCAGATTTTTGCTGATTCGACATCGGCGAACCGGACGCTCGCGACACCATCTTCCTCCTTATCATATAATACGACGTTAGTGACGTCGCCCAGCTTCGAGCATTCTTGTCGAATGTCTTCCTTGATATCTAGGATTGCGGCTGGGTCCTCCTGTGGAGTATGAAACGCGGTTTGAGTCAATATGGAATGTACGTTTGATAGGAAAGTTGGCTTTATTCTCCTGCCCCTCTACTCTTCTTATTTGCGAGGAGATTTGGTTTTCTGAACGAAAAACATAAGGAGTGAGGACGCGTACCTCCAGTTCTTGTAATGTAAACATATGTTTCAAAATGACTACCTTATCCCATCGAGATGAACTTGGCGGAGCCATTGAGGGTTCGTCATCGTCCCAGTCCGCAAGTTTGCTGTTGACACGCAAAAAGTAAAGGAGAAAAAAAAAAGTGAGCATCAACTTGCATGTAAAATACGTCTGAACAAGGTATGCCGAAAAAGGTAGAAGGCGGAAGGCGAAAAGAAAAAGACACTACAAACCTATTCAACCGCTGAGTTTTCTTCATAATTTTTCGCTTTTCATTCATATTTGGTTTGGTCGGTGCATCCTTTTGCACTTTGAATGAGTAATCTGCCGTCTGAACCTTCATCTTGCCATCTGGACCTGTTTCTCCAAATCTAAAGTCCGTATCATCAAGCATCTGGATAGCAAGATTGACTGACTCGGGACGGAAGTACACGATCAGAGCATCGCCCTTGAACTTCCCTTCGTCGTCAGTATACATTTTTATCCGTGGTCGTCGTCGGTCGATCTCCTCGGCGATGACGCCGCACTTGCTAAAAACATTGTTCACTTCTTCAATCGTGGCATCGAGCGGGATTGACGTGACGTAGACGGCGGTGTTTACGCGAGATTTTTTGGCCTTGTGCGCCTGAGACTGTTTGTTTTCCTGGACAAGCATGGCCGTAATCGTATCAGCTTCAAAGTACATTTGATAACAACTATGCGAAGGAAAATGAAAATTGGGGTTCCAACTGACCTCTTCACAATTGGTATAATTCTTCCGTTTCAATCGTCGCTGCTGCTTGAAATCGGCGGGCTCGTGTTCATCTATACCTTCAACTTTATACGCCTCTCCTTGTTGTTCTAAGAGGGCATTGTCCACCTATGTGCTCCACCCAACAGACCAGTCAAGCAATTAGAATACTGTCCAGCATCCAACTGGAGTGTAGGATGATATTGATTTTCCTTGACCCATTGATACCGTAGGCTTTCGGGAAACAAGTAGAGTAGCGTGCAATGACGGAAATCTTCAGCAATGCATTTTTTTTTTTTTGCGCCCAAGGCGAAGCCTCCCCGTGTCTTTCCTTATTTGCCGACAGCACATTGTGGGTTTCTCGATCGCAAGATGTAGCCATCATTGGGACGAGAGAAATAACCAAAGCAAAACATTTTTGTTTCTTTTGGGCCAACCAGTAGGGAGGGAAGAAAGCAAGAGTTTCATGAACTGCCTACCATTGGGACCCATCTCTTCAGCGCATCATCGTAATACCACTCTGATCCATCCTCCGCCTCCAGAATATACTTGTTTTCAAGTTTCGAATAGGAAATCCTGTAATCGTCATCGAACTCGTCAGGGGACTGCGGAAAGCCCTTTCGAGTGGCGGTACTTTGTTCGTGAGGAATTGGAGGTGCCTCCATGGTGTTGGCGGTTACTTCGTAGAAATATAGCGTCGAAGTGGACGGTTGGCCAGAAGAGAAGAAGACCGATTAAATGTGCAGTGTATGTGTGTATTATGAGTAGGTATAGTTATGCTAAGATGATTGTAAGTTGGTTATTGGGGAGTAAGCTGGTTCAAGTGGTTGGATAGCTTCCAAGCATGTTGGTTCACGCCGGTCTAAATAGGTTTAGTGTCATGGGCCGTTGACACCAGCACCAACCACGTCCAGTTTTAGTTCGAGCTTCGGCAGGGGCAGCGGACGATCGCCTGTGCAGCTATGCGACAGTTTAGTTCCAAGGCTCGTTTGAATAGACACGGATAATTCGAGATCAATTGGAGTGATGCGGCGAAGCTGTTCCGTGTTTACCAGCATCTCCATGCTCAGTACCAGTATGTGGTTAAAACCCCTTGATGCGCCCGCAGGCTCCTGTAATATCTGTGGGATGCATGGAACCGCCTGTAGTGTCTCAATCCACTATAGAAATGTTTGTTGTATTTGTTTCGTGGGTACATAGCCCTGATTTCGTGATTTATTTGACGGAGTATGGTACTTAGGATTTGCTTTCCTCGTTTTTATGTAGTGGTTTCGTGTACAGGACATAGTAGTATTGCGACTTAAAAAATCCCCTCCTTAGTCAGAGCAACTTTGGATTGGAAAAAGGCCTTTAGAGATATTTTTAACCCGTGCGTCATTCTCACTGGGCAGGACTCCAGCCAAAGTACTGCATCCTCATGATAATTGCAGTAAAGTAACAAGGAATCAGTTAGAGATGACTAGTATCTCCACGCATACATAGTGTGGATTATGAAACTACTGGCCGATTGAAATAACCAGCCCAATGTCTTCTATTTTCATCATGTAGGGGATACTTGTATACTAGTATGTCATATTGATATTTCTCGATTGGATTTGGATGGAAGAATGTCATTATATTAAGTTCTTGACTTGAGCTTTGATGCCAGCCCCTGAAACAATGGTTATTCTAATACCTGCTCGCACCGGTATAATTTTTCTTGAAAATGGTCTTTTGCAAGAGCAATGAGCTCATCAGTAGTAAGTGGCATGTTTTGTAGTTAACTATATTCTATCCAATAACTTTGTCATCAGCATCATTTCTAGGTAACTAGATCTCACAATTCCTTCATTCAGCGACATGTGAATCCTCCGAGTGCTCTGACTACTTTGGCCGCCAAATTGGGTGCCAAGCCCCTTGAGCGTCAGACTTCCCCGCGCCCTGCCACAGTGGCGGCGACTATTGGTTTTTAACCACCACACATCCCGCAGCTGGAGCTTCCGTTGCCCCATCTGGCTAGTTCTGTGGGCTCAAACCCCTAGAGATAGCTCCGGACAACCTCACCACCTAACCTCAGGGTACCGAACCGCCCGCACGGCGCTTATGGTCGAATCTACGAGCCATGGACCGTCCTGACTCTACTTCCACCCCTGATACAGAAGCGTCTAGGTCTGGTGGCTACTTTTCTTCTCATCCGCCGTACGCCGTTCCAGAGCGTGAGTACGCCAACGGCCGGCAACAGCCAGAGGGCATTCAAACCACAGAAACCCCGCGCTCGTCGAACGCAGGGTTTTCATCTGTCCCAGTCCCAGCTTCCCAGTCAGCTTACTCGTCATGGTCTCCAATTCTGACTCGACCTCGGGGTAGCAGTGGCAGCGGTGCTTCTATGAACGGGCTTGAAACACCTCTTCCTCCAGACATGCCCGCCATCAACGATCGTGACGTGAGACCTCAGCGTCCGTCTGGGCCTGCAAGGACCCCTTCTAACACATATGCCCCTGCCCGGAAGCCCCCTCAATTCACCCCGCTTCCCTCTAACAACCAGATACCCGTTGCTACCAAACGTCCATCACGGCGAGACCCTGATGCGAGATATCGTGCCCAAGAGAAGGCCTACGTGCAACGAGTGCGCCAGGGACCTAATGAATGGTTCAATTTTGAAACTCAGATCCCCGGCCTAAATTTTACCCCAGATTCCGAACCGGAGGAAGAATCTCCATCATCAGAGTCGCAATTTGATAATGACCCTTTCGATCCGGACACCCACCTCGTCTTGGAAGATGACGATGCCCAGCCCACCCTTGAGGAGCTGCAGGATCCCAAAAATAAAGAAAGGCTTGAGTGGTATTCCATGCTGGCCTCGGTGCTTAAAGGTGATGTTATCAGGCAGGAGAAGCAGAGGCTGATTGGGACGATGGAGCAGAAAAGCCGCGAGGTATGGAATTTGGAAATTTTTGTCGGGGCCAGAGCAGCGAGGTTTGGACGGCCGATACCCTTACAGAAAAAATTCGTGGAGTGTCAGATAAGCAATCTTGGCCCTCTAATCGAGGACATCATATCCTTTGAAATCAAAGGGGAAACTGAAGTTGGGAAACCTCCTCTGAAACAAGTTGAAGATGTCGTGGAGAAGATCGAAAAGTGCGAGAGCCTCTACCCTAGTAGGCGAATTCTACAAGCGGAGCATCCTCGCGCTGCATCGGAAGAATTCCAAGAAAGTTGTGAGGCCATCATCGCGTGGCATAATACAACCATGTCCATTAACACAGAGCTAGCCATCCTGAAAAGATGGGTAGGTAATGAAGAACTGGATTTCGCGAAGCCGATGACGATGCCGTCCCATGCGGCTGATCTATCAGACGAAGGCTCCTTCCTCGACCGGATAATGAAGGAAGACGGTCTTAAAACACTTCAAAGCACCGAGAACATATACGATAACGATAAGAAAAAGGAGCCTTCTATCCTGGACGGTATTGGTGGTGTCATTAAAAAGGCGAAAATTACCTTAATTGAGAACGCTGAAGCATTTGCAAAACGCCATTTACCACCCTACATCGAGGAGCTGTTGACGCTGATAAACTTCCCTTCGCGACTTATTCAGGAGGTCATCCGACTGCGGCTTTCCTATGCTCGAAAAATGAAGGACCCCGCATTGCAATCTCCCATCTTAGTTGACCAAATGATCGTACAGTTCCAAATATTGCTGAAGGTTGCCGTAGATATTAAACAACGTTACCTCGTTATCTCTGATCCCGAACCTGGTTGGGATCTTCCACCATGCGTTGATGAGAACTTTGATAACATTGTCGTTGATGGACTGAAGTACTATTTCAAATTACTAAACTGGAAGCTGAGTGCCAATAAGAACACTTTTAAAGAGGCGGAAATTCTGGAAGGGGAATGGGAGTTCTCCAATGAAATTGGCCGCCAACTTGAGAATGGAGACATTGAGGTGGCTGAACAATTTAGGTATGCATTACTTACTTCTTTGGATCCCTAGTAGGAAGCGGATATGGAGATCTCATCGCTAATTTTCCCGTAGTACTTTAACAGCTAAATCCCTACAACGATTGATGATCCACTTTGAGCGGGAGTTACATAGTAGACCGGAAGAAGATGCTGTCGAGACAGAGAAACGTTACAAGCAAATTTTTGATTCGGTGCGGGTTCGGCAGCGAAAGCTTTTCCGCTTTTCCCGTCTTTTGCGCCAGCGATTCGAGAATGCAACAGAATTCAATTTACGGGAAGATATGGTTGAAACCTTGTCGGAGGCTCTCCTGGCCTCGGGTCATTTCTTAGTTACTTCGAACGATTCCGTGGGCCAGAAAGGTGTTCATTTGATTGGATCGCCTTCACTATATGGGAGACCGAAGGATATCCAGTCTATCCTAGGCACGTCTTTCCGTTCTGAGGACTCTCCTGAGGACCCTTCCAATCCCTACATTCTTGTCGTTCGCCCTGAAAAGGGATTCAGTTGGAATGGCAAAAGGATGGAAGTGGACCTTTTGGAACATCCAACCGATGTCAGATATGGCAAGTTACGTCTCGTTGCGGACGGATCTCAACAACGGCTTCAGAATGCCCGCCTCGCTCTGACTAGACATACTGGGCTACAGCTGGATATTACCATCGAACAGCGCGCCAACCTGGGTCGAGTGAACGTTGAACTGAACAAGATCAAGAAGACTGCATATAAACTTTCAACGGGTATCATTGACAGCGTCGAAATCATCAGGCGACAGAGCAAAAATGCAGACAATCACGAACTCATCCAATCCTGCTTCGCATTCGCGACGGAATTTGGCAAGCGATCTTTGATGTATATGGACGCCAGCCGACGTTCGTTGAACCATTCCAAGCTTATCAATTTGGCGCTCGATTGGGTTTCCTTCATATGTGACGATTGCGACGCTGCAGATCGCAAAACTTTCAAGTGGGCTGTTGCCGCTCTTGAATTTGCTATGATTGTAACTCATGGGCAGAACGTACTTGCCATCAGCAACGAAGATTACTGTCACCTCCGTCTTAAAGTTGCTGGCTGCATGTCACTTTTAATCTCCCATTTCGATATCATGGGCGCGAGATCATCGTTAGCTGCACAAGCTGAGCAACAACACGCGGATCCCTCGGGACAAGGGTTCAGAAAACTGGATCTGAGCCGGATTACAGATGATGCGCAGGCATCACAAGAGGTACAAGAAAGACGGGAGCAGCTCTTCGCGGAAATTGACCTGGCTAGAATCGAGGCTGATGCGAAGCGTCAAGCTCTGGGCAAAGTTCTGGAAGGCGTCAATGAAGCAGATCGATCCGTCACTTTTCTGTCATCATCGGCGACAAATATCACAATGCGATGGCAACAAGGCCAGTTTATCGGTGGAGGGGCATCTGGCTCAGTCTATGCTGCTATTGATTTGGATACCAGCTACCTGATGGCTGTGAAGGAAATACGCCTCCAGGAACCGTCCTTAATCCCAGGAGCCGCGCAGCAAATCCGGGATGAGATGGGTGTTCTCGAAGTGCTCGACCATCCCAATATCATTTCGTACTACGGCATTGAGGTGCACCGGGATAAGGTATATATTTTCATGGAGTACTGCTCTGGTGGATCTCTCGCAAACCTTTTAGAGCATGGCCGTATCGAAGACGAGACGGTCATCATGGTATACACCCTCCAGATGCTGGAGGGTTTGGCTTATCTCCACCAGGCTGGCATTGTCCATCGGGATATAAAACCAGCTAATATCTTGCTCGACCATAACGGAGTTATCAAATACGTGGATTTCGGTGCGGCAATGGTCATCGCCCGCCAGGGCAAAACCTTGGCTGCCATGGATCATTACTCGTCTCACGCACGAGATGGAAAGGGCCATGTGAAGGACGCATCCGGGCAGAGGAAGAACCACAAGTCAGTAACAGGCACTCCTATGTACATGTCGCCGGAACTGGTCAGAGGAGAAGTCGGCCACACCTCTGGCCGCCATGGTTGCATGGACATTTGGTCTCTTGGTTGTGTTATCCTCGAAATGGCCACGGGCAACCGACCCTGGGCAGGTGTTGACAACGAATGGGCCATCATGTACAAGATTGCACAGGGTAGCCAGCCGCAACTTCCCACACCAGACCAACTTAGCCTGGAAGGTATCGATTTCATCAAGCGATGTTTTGAGATAGACCCCGTCAAGCGGCCAAGTGCGACAGAACTTCTCCAGCATGAGTGGATTGTCAACATTAGGCAGCAGGTCGTTGCTGAGCCTCAAACCCCTAGCAGCGACGGATGGAGCACTAGTGGTAGTTTACCGCCGAGTGGTGTGACTACTCGGCAAAACTCAAGCAACTTGCTTTGAGAATATATCCATCCATCCATCTATATATATATATTTACTATTTGATGTGCAACGCGCATCATCCTAGCTTTCCAGAGCCTACGAACCTGTGAGAGTAATCGAAACTACAATGTTCACCTATTCATATATATTTACATCTTTCCCTGGACATATATTTTGCTCGAAAATGGAGAAAAGAAAAAGCACCGAGCCTTCGTTTTCGAGGGCTCACATGAAAGATCGACTTGGAGATGTTTTATAATAATAATACGTCACGACCTTCATTTCTTGTGTTTGCCATTCATTTGCCCAGACGACGAGATACGTGTTTTTCCCCCTTCTCCGTGGCTCTCACTCTCATCCCGTTATTGTCATCTACTTAACTCTACTTATTCCTCAGGTATGGGTTTGCTTCTTGAGTGGAATATTTGGGATGGATCTTTGTTGGTGGTGCTCTAGGGGTGGTGCTTTAAGTTTCATTTATCATGTTTGCTTTCATTTTTATTTTTATGTTACTTTTCACCTTCTAACTTCCGATTGAAGTCTGGATTTGTCATTTCGTTGCTTAAGCGTAACTAAACAAACTACTTATATAAATATACCTGTCGCCCCTCCATGGGTGTGACAGGTCCTTTTCTACTTAGGGCGTGTGCTGAAGGGAGAATCGTTTGGCGTTGCTGTGTTGATTGTATAGAAAGTTTGTTTTCCCTTAAGGATGGTGAGAATATCGTTACAACTCTGTATCATGTAACCATCAATACAACAAATTTTCCTCTGATATATAATTTTAAGATGTGGCTATGAAAGAATCTCATTCGTTAAATCTGCTTTTGACAGCTATTTGTTAAGCTTGACGTTTGAAAATCTACATTCAATAGCAAGCCATAAAACGTCATATCATGTCTTGGAAACCATCATGGACGTGAATAAAACACAGTTTTTCCTCGTTTCAGTCATAATCCAAACATTATTTAGAGTTTTTGCATTTCGACCTACATGAATATGTTAGAAGATCGACTTTAAATAAAAAAAAAAAAATTGTTGGGTGAGGGAATGCTTACAAGATCAGTTGATTGAACCCAGCCTTCTTCCTCTTCGACGACTTCTCCCTCCTCGTCGACAATTGCTGGTTCTCTGAAAACACCTTCTTCATCGTCGCCGAAATACTTCTCGATATCTTCTTGGATATCACTGACAGAGATCTTTTCATCCTCAACGGTAAAGAGTACCTGGAGTTTCTTGATACCATAGCCAATGTCCTTCATTTTATCAGCGCTATATACAATGCCAGGTCTGGCCTCACGTTTATCTTCGTCCAGAGACAGTCCGTCATTTTGAGGAGGCCCAGCTTTTAGGAGGAACCTTTTGATTTCGTCCCGTAATTTTGTCATGGGGGTTCTACTGCCTGGTGGGGGATTGGTTAGCTGGAAGCATTTCCAAGAATGACCACGACCAAATAACTTACTGGCGGGTTTGATCTCGAGCGTAACAAAGGATTTGGCGATCTTCTGCTTCGAAGGCCGTTTCCTATACTCCGCAAGATTCTTTTCTCTTTGAGCAATGAGCTCTGCATCTTCGTCATCATCGCTGCCGAAAAGGTCCATGTCATCATCATCATCGTCATCCGCCGCGGCTTTCTTGCCGATCACGGGGATATCAGCAGAGCTAGGGCCAAACGAAGTGTACGACCGGGATGGATCACCCTTGAGGGCAGCGAATTCCGACTCGTACGAAGCAATGTGCTTATACCAACGGGCGACATGAGGGTATTTGACTGCGTCAGGGGCATTTTTGAATGCCTTGAATGTGACAACATCAGCTTGGGTGGGGGCATAGCTGAGTTTAGTTAGTATGTTTTGTTGTTGTTGAGAAAGCCTGTATCTTGGGTATGGCGGGGTAACAGACGGAAGGAAAAAGAATTCAGAAATGCGAATTCGCGTTGGGAGTAGTCATGCAGCGGTGTCTTAAGCCGCCTCATAAACACGGACCAATTTATTTTCATCATGAGAAAGGCAAGGAGGAATAACTGCAAGAGGAATAAGGATCAAAAGGGAATGAGATGACAGGACTTACCCTTCCACGTAGCTTCGGGTAGAAAAGAAGTGATTGGCAGCTTTTCATATCCAGGGTTTTTCAAGTCAGAATAAATACATTGAGGGGACAGGAGGGAAGACGAAAGGAGTACGTACTGGCAAGGCCAGATTCCGAAGAGAAATCAGTGAAACCCATTGTCAACAGGAGGGAGGCAGTAGCTCTGGAGCTGGCTGGGACACGATTGCAGGCGCTGTGGAGGGGCGATGAGGAGATGAGTTGAAGCAACACAAAACAAAAGAGGAGCCAAGGTTTTGTGGACAGCGGGACGAAAATTTTGCAGCAACGGGAAGGCTGGATGACTCAGCAGGCATGTGCGGGCTTACATGATCTGATCCGATCTGATCTCGCCGACAGTGTTTCTTCGAGAGCTTTTGAGAAATGCATGGATCCTCCTGGCTGTCGATGCTGCTGTCTATTAGGCAGTGGATATGATGCCTGTCGTCGTATTGAGTGTGCGATAGCCGGCCGTTTTCTTGCGCTCTTTCTCTCATAATTTGTGGCTATTTTCTTTTGTTTTCCTCTCATCTTCTGGGTAACAATGCAGCTGTTCAAGCGTCATGGCTACAGTCCTCGACTGCTCCGGGCTTCCGCCACAGGTGTGCGAACTCCAAGACCCACACAAGCCTCGATTTCCCGGGCTATATTATGCAGTCAATGGCCATCTTCTACCCGGATCACATACGGACCTCCATATTACCGGCTTCCTACTATCCGCCATTATGCCAACGGGAGGCCACACCCGCCGGGCGGAACACACCGTATGAATTTGGGTGGCGAACCGGAAAAGCCGGCTTTGGAGGCATATGGAGTCGATCTTACTGCTAGAGCAAAGGATGGGAAGCTGGACCCAGTCATTGGTAGAGATGGGGAAATCCAACGAACAATACAAATCCTTTCAAGGAGAACGAAGAATAACCCTGTCCTAATTGGTTCTGCCGGTACCGGCAAGACAGCTATCCTCGAAGGCCTTGCGCAGAGGATTGTCAGAGGCGACGTGCCAGAAAGCGTTAAGGATAAGCGTGTGATTGCTCTGGATTTAGGCCAACTTATTGCAGGCGCAAAATTCAGAGGTGATTTTGAAGAGCGATTGAAAAAAGTTCTGAAGGAGGTGGAGGATGCTCAAGGCGGAGTTATCCTTTTCGTGGATGAGCTGCACACACTACTCGGGCTTGGAAAGGCTGAGGGAAGCATTGATGCAAGCAATCTTCTCAAGCCGGCTTTATCGCGAGGTGAGCTGCAATGCTGCGGTGCTACGACATTGAACGAGTATCGGCAGATCGAAAAAGATGTTGCTTTAGCGCGACGGTTCCAGCCGATTCTCGTTGAAGAGCCATCAGTACCCGACACGATATCGATATTGAGAGGTATTAAAGAAAAGTATGAAGTTCACCATGGAGTAAGAATCACAGATGGCGCCCTTGTGGCTGCGGCCACATACAGCAACAGATATATAACGGATCGCTATCTACCGGACAAGGCAATTGATCTTGTGGACGAGGCCGCTTCTGCCCTTCGATTACAACAGGAGTCAAAACCCGATGCTATTCAAGAACTCGACAGGCAAATTATGACAATTCAAATCGAACTTGAATCTCTTCGCAAGGAAACCGATATTACCAGCAAAGAACGTCGGGAGAAATTAGAGGAACTTCTGAAAACAAAGCAAAACAAAGTTAAGGAGCTTACTGCTGTTTGGGAAAAGGAAAAAGCAGAGCTTGATACCATCAAACAGGCTAAAGAAGATTTGGAACGCGCGAGAGTTGAATTGGAGCTCGCTCAACGCCAAGGTAACTTCGCCAAGGCTAGCGAACTTCGATACTCTATAATTCCAGGACTTGAGAGCAAACTCCCCAAGGAGGGGTCTGAAACGGCAACAACCACTACTGCAGATGGCGAGGTTCTTCTTCATGATTCTGTGACAAGCGATGATATCGCTGCCGTGGTATCCCGTACCACGGGCATTCCGGTGAATAAGCTAATGGCCGGCGAGATCGAGAAACTCATCAATATGGAAGACACCTTGAGGCAATCGGTGCGTGGACAGGACGAAGCACTTTCTGCCGTCGCCAATGCCGTCCGCATGCAAAGGGCAGGGCTGAGTGGAGAAAATAAACCACTGGCATCGTTCATGTTTCTGGGCCCGACAGGAGTCGGCAAAACGGAGCTCTGCAAGAAGATGGCGGGTTTCCTGTTTTCGACCGAAACGGCAGTTTTACGTTTTGATATGAGCGAATTCCAAGAGAAACACACTGTTAGCCGCCTCATTGGCTCTCCTGCTGGATATGTTGGGTACGAAGATGCTGGTCAATTAACTGAAGCTGTCCGAAGGAAGCCTTACGCTGTATTGCTCTTCGACGAGTTTGAAAAAGCCCATCGTGATATATCAGCACTTCTCCTCCAGGTCCTAGACGAAGGCTTCCTCACTGATGCCCAGGGCCATAAGATCGACTTCCGGAATACTTTGATTGTTTTGACCTCCAATCTCGGTGCGGAGATGCTTGTTGCAGCAGACTCTTCCGTTGGGGAGGAGATCTCATCTGATATAAAAGCGGCTGTGATGTCCATTGTCCAGTCATCGTACCCTCCCGAATTTTTGAATAGGATCGATGAGTTCATCATTTTTAAGCGACTTTCGAAGCCTGCGCTTAGGGATATCGTAGACATCAGGTTACAGGAGCTTCAACAGAGGCTGGACGATCGAAGAATAACCCTGACGGTGGAGGATGACGTTAAAGATTGGCTTTGCGACAAAGGCTACGACCCTCGATATGGAGCTCGCCCATTAAATAGACTCATTTCAAAAGAAATCGGCAACCGTCTGGCGGATAAAATAATCAGGGGTGAGCTTGTCACTGGTCAGGGGGTGAGTGTCATTTTCAATGCTGACAAGTCTGGACTTGACATCGTATCTACAAAAGCGACGTAATGGTTTGTGCATTGCATGTATTAATGTTTCCGTCTTGTCTCCGTTTAACTACTCGTTACCATTGGGATATTGAAAGCAGCCCGCTTTTGGCGTAAAGTGGCATTTTGGTGAGCATTCTCTTTGTATCATATAACTTGTATGTACCATCACCTATCTTCCAAAATACTGCACCTAAACCCCACTCAATAATTTCGGATGATATCTCTTCTTCCAAAGTGCGCATTGTCTTCCTAGCCAAACCTGTGATATCAGTGCGATGTTCACGGGTTGGGTCCCAAGAGAGGTGTTTTCCAAATTGGGATATTCAAACCCCCTTGCGGCTCCTCTGTCTTCACTCCACCAGCTTTCTCGTGAGTGGCACCACGTTAAGTTTTGTATCTTCCACCCAAATCATGGCTCCATCTTCCTCAACAAGGAAGAGAGGAGGCCTCCATTCCTTTCGTAGCAACCGGCAGCACCGGCAACGAAGGCGCAACCAACGACCCTTTAACTCCAGTTCCAGCAGCAGACGCGACGGGATAGCATCGTCCGCGAGAGAATGCTCAGTTGTGGCGTATACCGAGAACTCGAATAGCGAAATATTAGACAGATTGAGCCAAATACAAGGCAATAGGGGCCAACAGGATCAGGATGATGAGAATGAAGAGCTGTGTCATATTGTGATGGCTATAGACATGAAGGAGACGGCCACTGTTGGTTGTTGTTATTATATTGCAGACGAGCAGAAGCTGTATCTTCTCGAGGACATTACCTCTGGGGGCCTTGAGGCAATTGAGGCGTGTAAGTTTTGTCTTATGTCTTTTTAAAAAAAAAAGATACTCTGCAGCCCGAAAATATTGCCGTGCCGCTCTGACTAGGCTTTTTATTTGGATTCAATAGTAAAACTTGATGTTAAACCAACGCTTGTTCTCCTATCAACCAGGGCCGATCAAAACACAAGCAGTTTTGGGCGAAATGGGCAAGATGGCCATACGGCGGACAATGGTGAATATTATTGTTCGCCTTGTTGCTACATTGCTAGACCGTCACTTACAATCTGCCCTTCAGATGACCAGTTCAAACTGCCTTATCACCTCGACGTCCGCCCAGTGCAGGAGTTCAATTTCGAGGGCGCAAAACTCAAACTTGCAAACCTTCGACCTGATACAAGTAGGGATGATACCCGATTCCTAGTGCCCGGTGACACTTTCTCGCCGAGCAGAAATGGAGACGAGAACGATTTAGGGTTTACTGATCATCAAGGAAAGCTACTACACCTTTCTGGCTCTATCGATCTGGATAACCATATTTCTATCGGGTGCGCCGGCGCTCTCATCACCCACCTACAGAGAAAACGAGCAGCGGAATGCCTAGCAAGGGAGGGCGCTGGGGACAAGTTGTTGAACATTAAATCTGTTGAAATGAGGACTCTAAAGGATACAATGTAAGGCCATTTCTGTATAAAAATTGATATTAATCTTTCCATACTAATGTGCGTTGAAGGTTTGTTAATACCGATACGCTCACTTCACTCCAAATAATCCAATCGGAGTCTCATCCAAATGTATTCAACCAAGGGCCGGGTAAGAACTCCCCTGGAGCCAAAGAGAGCCTTTCAATATATGGCCTATTCCACCATTTTGCTAGGACACCGCAAGGGAGGGCTCGTCTAAGGCAAAGATTTCTCCGTCCCAGCACGGATGAAACTCACATAAAGGAGGGACATGACTTTATCAGCACATACCTACGTCCCGATAACAGTGAGGCCATTGAAAAACTCACCAAGAGTTTGAAAGGGATCAAGAATTTGCGCCCAGTGATGGTCCATGTACAAAAGGGTATCAGTTCCGGAAATGCAAAGTTCAAAGCGTTCAAGAGTGGAGTTTGGGCAACGCTGTTGGAGGTCTGTATTTGGAATTGTGGCATGTGGGTACATGCAATCATTGCTAATCTAGAGTTTGCAGTTCGCTTTCCATGCTATCGACGTACATGAGACGATACGGACGGTGTCAGGGGTGGAGAATTTGGATTTGCATTTGAAGGTGAGAATTTCTCAGGGCCATGTAAGAATTAGCTAAATATTCCTAAATAGGCACTTGAGAAGCTAGACGTGACTGTCCTACACCAGGTTGGAAGAATAATCCATGAAACGGTGAGAAGAACTTCTAGTATACACAGGAGTAATGGCTTCATTTCTGATCTGTAGCAGGTCGATTTACAAAGCTCGATTGAAGAGCACCGGACTGTGGTTAAGCCGAAAGTGGACCCCGAGCTGGACGATCTGAAAGAGACGTATAATGGCTTAGACAGCTTGCTCAACCAAGTAGCCATAAATATTGCTGGTACTATCCCTAGTAAGCTTAGTAACGATGTTAACGTCATTTACTTTCCCCAACTTGGGTTCAACATTGCTATGCCATTGGATGAAAGAGGTCGCCCTGTTTACGATGGCGGAGAGCAACCGTGGGAACAGGTATTTACCACAGAAAATAGAGTATATTTCAAGGATTTCCGTATGCGGGAGATGGATGAGAGATTTGGAGACATCTATGGCCTTATTTGTGGTAAAAATCCCCGAGGCTGCAGTCTCTATCAAATTCTTATCAGGTCTCAGAAAAGGAAATTGAAATTGTGTACGAGATGGCGCAAAATATACTTCAGCACGAAAAAATGCTTGTGGAGGCTTCTGATATATGTGGAGAAATAGACAGGTATGCCTCAGTGCTGCACTTTCCGGCATTATCTGACAGATTACCAGTCTTCTGGCTCTTACGCAGGGGGCCAGTTTATACAAGCTTGTACGACCGCAGATGATGCAACACAACAGTATCGTAATTAAGGGCGGACGGTGAATGCAATACCTTAGCTCTTTAGTGGTCATACAGCAACTGACTCAATATAGACATCTTTTGCACGAAGTTACCGTTCCTACGTTTATCCCAAACGATACTTTAATCGTCGGCGGAAATGGAAGGGAAAGATCCCCTCCAAACACATCCTCTCTATCACTAGACACTTCAGTTGGGGTTACTGACACTGAGGGACCGAGCATGATACTACTGACTGGACCCAATTACTCCGGCAAAAGTGTTTATTTGAAACAGGTTTGCTCCTATATCAAGCAACATGAGATATGAATTGAGCTGATAGTTCGCATATAGGTAGCCTTAATTGTCTACATGGCCCACATCGGGAGGTACTACGCAGCCCTGAGCCTCCTACCTTAACCTTATCATAAACTAACCTCGATGTAAAGTTTTGTCCCTGCGGAAACTGCCAAAATTGGCATCACGGATAAAATATTGACACGAATTACAACAAGAGAAACTGTTTCCAAGGCAAGATCTTATATTTGGAGGAACATAATTTCTCAATATGCTCATTTCAAATAGGCCCAAAGCTCCTTTATGATTGACCTACAGCAGGTATCCTTCGCGTTAGTCCTTGCAACAGAACGCAGCCTGGTGATAATCGATGAATTTGGCAAGGGAACGGAATCAACTGGTTTACCTCTTCCTAACTCTTGTTTGCTTTGGGCACTCTATTAGAAAGCTATGTCTAATATAATGCGCTATACGGAGTAGATGGTGCCGGTCTCGCTTGCGGGCTGTTCGAATATTTACTCAGTCAAGGTGAGAAGAGGCCAAAGGTACTTGCCGCAACGCATTTCCATGAGATATTCGAGAACGGGTTTCTACCCCCAAGGAAAGAGCTTGGTTTTGGGTATATGGAGGTGCAAATAGATCCGGCTGCGAGAGACATGGAGAATGAGGTCACTTATCTATACAAGTTGCGTACCCCTCCCCTGTATTATTATTATTATATTTTAGTAGTTAGCGTTGAAAGGTGGCATTAATCACTAATGCAGCTATGCAACCTAGTTTCCGATCTGGACGGAGCAATGCGAGTTTTGGGACAAAGTAAGTTTGTCTTCAAATTAAGTATCCGAACTCATTGGTTAATCCCTCTACTCCCCCTGGTTTTGCTAACGGAAACCTCACCAGCTGTGCGTTGTTAAGTGGCATCGATCCAGCCATAATCTCGAGAGCAAACGAGATTGGCACCCTCGCTGCCCGTGGTGAAGATCTGGTCGTCATTTGCGCAAAGATGTCTGTGGACGAAATAGAGGAGCTTGGAGCAGCGGTAAGCGACTATTCAAAATTGTTTTTGGGCACGGGGTTTTCCCGTTGATGCTAAAGATAGATTCTATGCAGGAGAGTATGGCCAGGAGGTTCCTTGGAGCGGATTTTTCACATCAACCTAATAATTCCGGTGTCGATAGTGGGGATAACAATGAACGACCAGAAGTTTTACTGGAAAATATCATTGGTGAGGGTTATGGCAACACGGTAGTAATAGGATGAGGCTGGGAGGGTTGGAGAATGAAGCGTGTGATTCCCATACTGTATCAATATTTCTGCCATTCTACCAGGGGGTTCAAATACACCCATACATTATAGCCAAAATTTGGCTGAGAATTTACAACAAAGTGATATAACTGACTACGAGGATGTATTTTATTTCTAAAGTCAGTCCAGAGTTGCAACATAATTAACACATATATCATCTATTAAAAGTGCATTTCCAAATTTCAGCAGAGAATCATTCTATAACCTCATCATACTCAAAGTTGGTGGTATATTGTTTTATCTATCCAGTAGTACAAACAGAGGAGCCCATAAGAAAACCAACACCAACCCTTCATCTATGAGGAAAAACCAATCATCCCTCGTTGATTTGACATAAAATTATAATTTCACACTCCTAACCAAGTTGGTCTTGATACCAGTAAGCTCCCCACCATACCCACCACGCTTTTCACCACCTTTATAAACCTGACGAATACTGCCCAACTTTTTCTTCTTCTCCTCATATTTCTTCTTCTTCTTAACCCTTGGATTCCGCACATCCTTACTCCGCCTCGGCGTCAACCCTTTATTCTTCGCGATCGCATAGGTAATGGCCCGTTTGCCATCTTCCCCGATGGCCTCCTCGACTTCAAACCGCACTCCTTCCCGCGCAGCCGCAGCATGCTCGTCAGCAAGTTTCTTCTTATCTGCCTTTTTCTGCTTTGACCGTGCAGCAACCATATCATAGTAGTCGTCTGAATCTGAGTCCGCGCTGCTCTTATTATTGTTCTTATTATTATTGTTGTCTCCTCGTACCTCGCTCGCAAGACGACGATCCTCGTCGTCGCTATCTCCGCCAAGCGCGTGGAGATCATCCGGCGTGCGTTGACCCCTCTTCTCAGCCTGGGCATTGAGACGGGCTTGACGGTCCTTCAGCCGCTCCCGGTATGGTAAGTCTGTATCACCGCCAGCATCACGGCCAGCAGCACCGCGTTTGTTGGATTTCTGTGCGATTTGTGAGGTATAGAAGCGTAGGGATTTTTTCTTCTTGGCTTTTTCTTCAGCTTCGAGGGTGTCGAGGGCCGCTTCGTCGCCGAAGTCCGAATCGTCGTCCTTTGATGTGGATTTTTGAGCATGCTTGGATGTTCTTTTGGTTGATTGGGCATTAAGTAAAGTTGAAAGGTCGGCCAACTCAGCCTCGGTCTGGCGTAGTTTCTCAGCTCGTTTCTTTTCTGAGAGTACTTTGGCATCTTCCGCGGCCTTCTGGGCTTTGGTTCTTTTAGATTTGGAGACCGGTGTGGGTTCGAAGGGTTTCTCATTCACCCCGGCGATTTTCGTGGCTGGTGCTGACAGAGATGATGTTTGGTCGTTATCAATGCTATAATATGATTCCATTTCAGAATCCTCAATTTCTTGTGCATCCTTCACTTCCTCCCATTGCTTCTTACAGTTGATTAGGGTTTCCATGATTGGATGTTCTCTTAGCTCAGCAGGGGACATTGCGAGGCGCGTTTCTCCGTTTCTTGAAGGGGATGTCAGGAGAAAGAAGTACATGCTGATAGCGCCTAGATAGGCAGAAAGAGTACGGAATTTAATCACTGGTAGCGGAACATGGTCACCACCGACTTGATGTGACAAACCTCTGCCATTCACAGAATTCTCTGCATTTTGTGCTGCAACTGCAAATTCCTCATGCAGGTGTTGAAGAGAGAGAAAGTCTTTCGAAAGAGGTTCGAATTCAGGGTATCGTTGCTTCACAATCTTCCGTCGTTCGTCGACACTCATATCGTCTGTCACCTGCAGCTCAGGTAAAGCCTCTATGACGACATTGTTCTCGCCTTCTCGGCCATGTTCACCATCATTGACAGAGGTGGCCCATTCGCTCTCATCGAATCCAAAATCCGCTTCATTCATCGCTTGTAGTCGCTGTTGTTGGATCTTTTTGGCTTCAGCTTCCTCCTCAAATGCGTCTGCCTCTGTTTCGATAACGTCGGCATCGTAGTAATCTTTCTTCGATGAACCCCATCCTTTCATGCCTTCATCCTCTTCTCCCTTTCCCTCCTCCTCGTCGTCATCATCAACCGGAGTGGCAGCATTGAAGGGACGTAGCTTTGACTTCTTCAGTGTAGATGGTCCGGAATCACTATCCTTCTCTTCCTCGACATCAACATCGTCATCGTCAAAACCTTCGTCGTCTGTAGATTCGGATTGATACCCAAGCACTTCTTCATCGGAGAGTACAAAAAATTCCTCTACAAACACCATGTTAATAAATATGGAAGAATGGGTCATCAGCGAAAGAGGGGGTTTAATGATTTACCTTGCTCTGCTAATTTACGCCTCCTCTTTGCCTCGGGGGCTTCTTCCAAGAGAATGCGATCCCGACTCTGTTCAAATTCATCCTCCGAATCGGCGAACCTGGAATCCGCTTCAAATCTGGAGGTTTGATCCGGACCGCTCTGCTTCGCGGATGAGAGCTTGCCGGCTTTTCTTTTCTTGCCCATTGGTGCAAGGGCTGCCTGGGATGGCCAGCAGATAGGTGGTTGAATGCGCCAGTAAGCTGCTGCTGGAATTGGCGACTCCCCGAAGATTTCCTCTTTTGCATGGTCGAATTTAAAAAATGGACTTCGGGATATCTTGGCACGAACTCCGACTCAATAACCACGCTAGTCTCGATTTGGGACACGATTTAAAACTCCCTGGACAGGGATTTCTCCATCTCCTGACGAACCCTGGCACCCTGAACCGGATTTGTACCTACCCGAAAGTGCGAATGGAGAAAGCCTCCACTCCAATCGCATTGCACGACGAATTATTTCACTTAATTGGGATCGCTGTTGGAAAAATTCTTATGAAGAATAAATACTAGAAACAGGCAGGCCAAGCACTTTTTTACATAGAACGGCGTATCTCATAGGCATGTATCTTATGATGTATATACTATATATATTAACATTGCTCGGTTGTTAACATTAACATTTCTTGCGTTGCAGGCAGAAATAAGCAGTTGGATATTGAACGTGGTGGGAAGAACCAACGCCTCCCAGAACGCCCTTTCCTCGTCGTGCGTCGCCGTCCGATTCCTTCTCCGCGATGCCGGATTTACGCGCCACTCTGCTATCCCTCTCCCCAGTGGGCTCTGATGTTTCGTTGTCAAAACCCCAGCTAGTCGCTTCAGTCATTCTTTTGATAGTATCCCTATGCTTAGCCGTCAGTATGCGTAACTTCTACAAGACCACAAATGAGTTCGTTGTGGAGAGGAAGGTTTGTATTTGGATCGAATTTCGTTAATCTTTTCGTTTGCTTTTGTTCCCAGTAGCTGACGCTGATGGCGTATATAGATGGCGGTTGTTACGGGTGGTTCGGATGGCATGGGCAAAAGTGTCGCTATGGAGTTAGCCAAAAAAGGGGCCAGTGTAACAATCGTCGGCCGCGATGTGAACAAGTTACAAGCTGTCTATGAAGCCATGAAGGTAGGCTCGTTCCTGCTTGATACATTATCATTGTCTCCGAAAAGACAGTATTGGTGACGCGAAAACCAACGGTTAGACATTCGCCCCTCCTATGTGCGATCAGAAATTTCACTGGATCAAAGCCGATTTGACCGACCCCAAGGAATCTGAACGTGTCATGGACGAAGTTACCGAGTTCAACGACGGAGTGTATCCCGATATTGTCTGGTGCTGCGTTGGACAGTGTTTGCCTGGGTTCTTCCTCCATTCTTCTCTTGAGACCTTGAGAGCGCAGATGGACACCAATTTTTGGACCTCAGCATATACTGCAAGAGCTATTATGAAGCGGTGGCTAGCTCCGGCCTCTACTGGTCAATCTCCGGAACAGCCACCTCGTCGTCATTTGATCTTTACTAGCTCCACTGCATGCTTTGTCCCGGTGGCTGGGTACGCGCCATACGCGCCAGCAAAAGCAGCCCTACGCGCTCTCGCGGATGCCTTGACTTCTGAGATCGAGATTTATAATGGCTCCCGAAGAAACCCGTCCCTCAACGCTCCTGCTGCGGATGTGAGAACTCATATCGTCTTCCCGATGGGAATTTTGAGCCCTGGATTTGTCCATGAACAGAGAATGAAGCCTGCCGTGACAAAACACCTTGAAGAGTCTGACAAGCCACAAACACCAGACGAAGTTGCCGCGATTTCTATCAGGGGGCTCGAAAGAGGCCAATACATGATTACAACAATGGCGGTAGGCACGATCATGAAAGCAAATTCAATGGGGGGTAGTTATAGGAACAACGCCATTTTCGACACTTTAGCCACCTGGATGAGCAGTCTTATTTTCCTTCAGGTTGTTCCGGACTTGAGAGGGAGGGCCTTTCGATGGGGCCGAGTAAACGGCATTCCCAAGAAAGGGGAAGACAATAGCTTGGCACCTCAACCCGTGATGGGAGACTGTGTCGACGGGGAGTAAAAGTGATAGAACTCTGTAGCACTTGCCCTATGCCTAACATCCTCTTTTCCTATTAGACACTAGCACGCCATTTCCTATGCATCAATAATAACAATTCCTTCCTTTTTACTTCTGCCATTAATGTTCCTTGTGAATAATTATCTGTTTGTTGCGGAGTTGTGGGATACGGTCCTCTGCTTTCTCACTTACCTGAGTCACCTCTATAAAACCATTCTTCTAGAAAAAATGCATATACAAAAGGGTCATATGCAAGGTAGTCAATTTCATCACCATCAGATGACACCGAGCCCTAATATTGAAAAGAATACTAGTAAGCTTTCTACTCTTTCACTCTATTAGACCACGATACTGGAGTTCAGTGAGAAGATCTTGGTGCTAATGCTTGTCAGCCAACCCTGGTTTTCGGGTGGTTTAAAAAAGCTTGAGCGTGGTTCAAACCCACATGGTTCAAAGTTGATCAGGGTTCAAAAATTGCACACACATAATTTTTTGAACCACGACCAACTTTAATTTCACTAAAACACCACCTAGATGATCATTAATCATCCTCTAGGAGGGATTTTTTGATTTTTCTCGTGCTCTAACCCCCTAACTAACCCCCTTACTTACCCCCGTAACCTTCTATCCCCTAATCTAATCCCTAACCCACCCCTAATTCTACAGTGTTGGGGTGGTAATTAAATCACATGATCAGAGTGGGTTAAAATTGGAACCACGTTCGACTGTGCCCTGTTGAGTCCCTGAACTTTAATCATTGCCAGAGCTCAAAACATAGCATCGATTCATTTTCACAATATTCCTAATGCCGCTCTCGATCTTCTTACCACTCTGAACAAAGGATGATGGATTGGTTAGGTCAGGTTTGAAGGTTAGGTATGAGGATTAGATTTGAGGTTTGATTGAAGAGCTCGGGTAGGAGAAAACCCACATTCTGATAGAGGTGGAAGGTTTGCGAGCGCAGCACTGCTTAAATAGGTGTGGTCACCAGCACATTCAGCCTATCGACTTTCCAAGGCTCTGTGCAATTTGGGAGCCCTGTTCAACTCTGATCTTGCCATGGCTCAAGGTTGAAGCCCCACCAAGGGCTATTCCCGGCCGAAAATCCAAGCCCTATTCAGTTTTTTTGATGTCTATTCCACTGTACGCCGACCGCGCGAACACAGAAAATATTTAATATCCTCTTCTAATCATACCTATGAAGGAACCCCATACGATGCTAATTCTCCCCCTCTGAATCTGTTCGAAGTCACTTATGTGATGGGCTTGATGGCAGCTGCATGGGCGATTCTTAGGACTAAAAACGCCACCGAACTCCACATTATCCAAATGCTAAGCCGTATAAGGAAGTCCACGCGGTCTCAGAGCTTTGGGTCAGTATAAAAAGTGTAGTTCATTCAAAACCCTAAAATGGACATCTTTAGCATCAACATTTATTTTCTCCAATAAATCAAGAAGACAATGCTTTTATTTTATTAATTTCATGGAAAAAATAACTTTTGTTATGCTCTCTACTCCAATCTACTCCATAAAAACCTTGAAGAAAGGGTGGATAAAAATACTAGTATTGTATAAATGGATTGATCTTTATAGTACTAGTATCTAGTATCTTTTTCTATGTGTCTTTACAAGTATATAAAGATACCTGTTTCGATAAATATAGCTCTTCTATTTTTAGTAAACAGAGGCACGAGTAGGTTATGTCTACTCCATTTGATACCTTTCTTTATATTTTGAACCAACTTCTTCTATTACCCAAGTCCAATATCCATATCTATTAAATATCTGCCCCAAACACACTGTATGGAGCTGGATGGTTGAGCTTCAAATGTAGTTGGGCGGCCAAAGAGGGACGATCTGCGACTCAACCTGGAACGGAGAGCACTTACAGGACTCCTACTCAACCCCGTCTATTTCAACTTCAAACCCCTCCTCATCTTTTGCGCTTGATGCAAACTTGAGCTCAATTACTGCCGTCCAGAGTTCGTAGTTACATCCCAAATAAAAATGAAGCTGCTCATCATCTTCGGTTTTCTTACCCTTACCGCTTGGGCCTTGCATCCCCTCTCCCCGCAGGACCAAGGGGACCAAACAGTCATTACCGTCAACGAATTAGCTGAAGGCACCAATGACGACAACTTCTATGGTACCAACCCCGTGGATGGATGCTGGGAGACCCTCGACTGCTCCCTAACCGAAATCGAAGCCATGTCTATGCCCAGCCGGCTCGAATTTGTCAAGTACATGAGCACCTGGCGCCTGGATGTGTTGCAGTCTTCGGATCAATTCCACATCTTTGAAGCGACCATCGCCTTCTTCATGAGGAAGGATATCGGTACCCCAGGTTCGTGGTTGTCACTTGTGCATGCTGCGTGTGTCGAGGCGCTGCAGAGGGGCGCGGCCATGTCTCTGGGCATTTCAAATAATCCCGCTGGGAATCCTGCGAGTGAGAAGTGGGCAGACTTTTTCAATCAAAGGAAGCATGGGAGGCTTACGGATCGGAGTGTATGATTGCCCTTCCCCCTCCCCCCTCGGGCGCTTGATAGTCTAGTTTCCGGGGGTTTCATATATCGCAAATCAAGGAAGACGGCTAACAATGGTATCTATCTCTCCCTCACGGTTTGTCGTGAGTAGGCCCACGACTTATCTTGGGCGATTGCAGAACAAACTGCTGTTGACTATGGCATTCGCCGCGCTGACTCATCGCCTTATATCGACAAGCCCTCTGCGCGCATTCTACGCTGGATGCAATTCTCGCGCATATACAGAACAGTCATGCAGTACCGCCGTACGATCTTGTGGCTTATAAAAATGTATGTCCCCCGGTCCCCCCTTCCCCCAGCCGCACCATAAATAAGGATAAAATAGACTAACTAGTCTACCACTATCCTCTCAAATATTTTATAGGGGATTCTCCACAACCCCCTCCGTGCCCATTGCCGCGGAAGCTTTTCTAGACTGGGTCACGGACGTTACAGACGCAACCTCTACCAACTTCCTCGCCGAAATGGCTTGGAGCCTATCCTCGCTAGGGCTATCACAGGATGGAGTTGACCCCGTCGCTGACTCTGAAGTGATGTTGAAGATCATCACAGAGTTTTGGGGTGCATTTCAATTGAGGCGCCGAGATGAAGGTACAGCGGAAGAATGCATTTCACTACGGAAATAGACCGGATCTTTTACCCCAGGGTTTTTCAAAGACGGGGTTGGGTGTGGTTATGTGTGGGAGGAAGGATACTTGATGTGGATGTGGTAGGATGTCATCGAGGGAGAAATAAAACACGGTGAAGAGAGAGGATAGAAGAAGAGTGCCGTTTATATATAATGTGTAGCTTAATATATCGGTGAGTGATGTGATATGAACCAAATTAATCCGGCAGATGATGGTGATGCATGAATGTAGTTCGATATCGAAGGTTTTTATTTTTATCAGTGAGTTCCAAGTGTTTTTTAACAAAAGTACGCTTCGTGATGCTATTCTTCAGTGGGGGATATCACAAATTAAAGTGCACCAATATCCCTTCCTCGCATTAGCAAACGATAGTTCAGTTATATAAGCATAATTGTAGTAACTAGTTATATGCACATCTATCGGTTTCATTGATTTTGACCCACACTAAGAATTTAAATTGAAACTTCAATCTTTGGCTTTGGCCGCGTGTTTAGAGGCATTGACCACCTACGAAAGTTTATTGAATATCTCGTTGATGAAGAAGCTCAAAATTTTTTAGTGTAATTTTAAACTTTTGACAGCCGCTTCTGTAACTAGTGTGCCGTACTGACATCAGCTAAGGAAAAAGGGCCAGCCCTATTCGTTGAGTTACCAAGAGACAGACTAAATCACGCAGCAAATCTTTTGGCACTTTCTTTTCTCCCTTGTAGAAGCCGTTGTGGCGGTAAACGACTGTTTCATGATGTCCCAGATTTCTTACTTGGAGGATTTGTTACACCTGGATTTGGTTATTGTAGGGTCAAAGCCCCAGATCGCGCGCGCCGTCATTTCAGTTCGCCGTTTACTACCGAGCGAGCCGAGCGCTTGACAGAATAAGCGAGAATGACGCACCCTGACCAATGCAACAAATCCAGCTGCCAAAACATCACAACAAACCACGCGCGACAATAAGAAGCCAGAAATCCTCTGCTCCCAAATTGAATTTATTTTATACTTTAAAATATTTGTAACTAGTTGCATTTATTAATATGAAGCTATGTCTTACATTCCTTGATTGATTGTCGCACAAATCTTTTTTTCCTTCTTATTGTCGTTATTTTTTTCGTTTTTCCCTCCTTTCCCCCCTGATCCCATTCCTTCTTTATATTATAGGAAAGGGTTGTAAAACCAACACCGTCGCTGAAAATGCTAGACCTCCTCCTCTCAATCCCTATGATCTCCTACCTCCTTATCCCAGCCATGTCCTCCTACCCCACAAGTCTCAACATCATCTTTTTCTACATCACCTGGATCACGCTAGTCATGTCAAGTCCCCCGTTAAAGGTTGAAATCGTAGGAACACTCGCCATCCGCGTGCTGCTCTACCTGGTTCCGTCCGTGCTATTTTTCCTCTTTGATGTGCTGCTTCCGTCCGCTGCGGTGGTGATAAAAGCGCAAGGTGCTGCGGGCCTTCCGGTGAACAAGAAGGGGAAGAGGTGCTGGAAACGAGCGCTGAAGGTGGTGGCTTGGGCGGTGTTTAATTTGCTCTTGGGTATTTTGCTGCAGGGAATTGTGGAAGTGGTGTTGACGAAAGTTCTCCGGATGAAGAGTTCGATAAGGGTGGTGGCGAGGTTACCTCTGCCGTGGGATGTCGTGAAGGATCTGATGTTGGGGTTTGCGGGGAGAGAGGTATATTTATTTACTTTTAACTACCTATCTATTTATCTACCTTAGATATCCACATCTTATAACTTCGATAATTTAATGTGAACAAACAAAGGGCCCAAGAATAAAATTGAGCTAATCAAATTAACGCCGGTTGGCTTAGGTCCTCCAGTACGTCATCCACCGATTCCTCCTCCATTCACCAATAGCCTATGTCGCAAAGTGCCATGATGAATGGTACCACTCGTTACGAAGCCCTTACCCGCTAACAGCACACTACGACCATCCTCTCGCCTACCTCCTCTCCCGGTTCATACCTACATTCCTTCCCGCCGCCGCCTGCCGTTTCCACCTACTCACCTACCTCATATTCGTCGCCCTCATTTCGCTCGAGGAGACTTTTTCCCACTCCGGTTACAGAGTCATGCCCACCAGTTTCTTCATTGGCGGCATGGCGCGCAGGGCCGATTTGCACCTGCTAAGCAAAGGTTGTGGCAATTACGGGTCATGGGGGGTCATGGATTGGATATGCGGGACTACAGTGGGCCACAGTCGGTATGCACCTGAGGGAGAGGACGCGGAGCATGAAATTGATATTGATGCTGTTCTTGATGCGGCGGTTGAGGAGCCAAGGAGGCAGGTTAGGGGGCTGAGAACTCGGGGGCGAGGGGTAGTCCCTTCATAATTGGGGACGAGTCGTCTTGTACATATATATATATATATATTGGGACTCCCTTCAAGATAATTGATTGGGCGATGGGGTTGCGCGCGGCAAGGGAAGGTTTCGCTTTGTAGTTATTCTGGTTTGTGAGCTTGAATATCAGCGTACATATTAGGAGTATTCATGTCGGCGGCGAGGCTTGGTCGATGTCGGCGTGTACGTGTTTAAACCTCCTATGGGAATGGATGAGATCTTGGAAATGTGAGGACCTGCAATAGTTGATAATGAGGATACAACCTGCCGCATAAGCAAGAAGTAAGAACCAGGCCCTCCAAAGGGCAAAAAACAAGGAGCTTCGGATAAAGGTATTGCATTGCAAGCGGCGTGTGCTAAGGAATGCCTTTGCAGAATAAAAAAAGAGGGCGTGTGGGGGTTCACCAAATGGAATAAAGGGATTTTGATGAAACCATCAAATTAATTGTGAGAAGAGTCGCCATAGCCATGGGATTGTACATTATCTCATTGAAAAGGAACCTTTGGAAAGGCTTGGTGTAAATTTTTAATATTTTTTTCCCTTTTTTTTAATTGCTTCCGAAGAGCAAAATGTTTCCCCAAACAAAGCCCACACATGAAAACAGACAAAAACAGAGTGAAAAAAGAAAAAAAACACGCCGCCAATTTCTTTCTATTTCCATTTCCTCGTTTGACAACGCACCAGATTACCACTTCATCTCGTGAGGCTTGTCGCCCTTCCGTAGACTGAAGCTGGAGGAAAGGTAACTGGCAAGGAACTGCTCCTTTTTGATAGTGGCCAAAAGGGGTTGGTCAATAGCCTTTTGGTCATTGGCACGGGCGGTGGCGACTTTCTTCTTCTGTTCCAATCATGCCATATGTTAGTAACCAGAATATCCGGGCATACGCGCACCATATAAAAAGTCATCCCGAAGAATAACGTAAAAAATTATTACCATGAAGCCAAACAAGATACATCGTTCGACGCACAAAAGGGGCAAAAACATACCTCGGGCTTTTCTCCCTGCTTGAAGAACGCTTCCTCTCCCTTTTTCTCTGCCTTCTTCTCCCGGTTGAAGTAGTCAGATTCGGCAGCTTTTTCTAAAACCTTATCGTCAATGCCCTTGAGATCAACCTTTGCGCTCGTGGCAATGACGTATCTGGCGTTTACTCTTCTGAGAGGAACACCATTTAGTTTGAAAGGACCAGTAACGAGGAGAACACCCTGTGGGAGGTGCTTGAGGAGGATGACGCGCTTGCCACGAAAACGACCAGCGAGGAGGATGAGGATTGTGCCGGGTTGAAGACTGGGCCGGGGCTTAGCAGGGTGGTTTGTCTTGCGAACCTGTTTTGATATCGTTCTTGTCAGTTTTTCTTAATTGTGGAAAGCCCTTAAACTTGAGATTTGATCTGTGCCGGATCGCAAAATTGTGCATGTGTCAATGAAATGCCTATCAACCCCGCCGATATGCATTGTAGACATTGAAGAAAAGCTTCTCAACAATGGCAATAATTCCCAGATAGATTTGTATTCTGGCAGTAGAAGCGAAGGCGATAAAAAGATACTGACTTTCTTCGGTTGGCATTCATCCTCGGTGGGATACCACTTTTGTGCCTTTTGGGCGGGAATGGTCCTCTCGCCCTTTCCAAACTTCTTCGTCTGGCCAACAGACTTTGAGTCCAAAGTCGCCGACATATTGGATAATGTGACGAAGATATGGAAAAGAAGGAAATTGAGAGTTGGAGGAGATCCAAGTTGTCGATGGTCGTTGAGTGTCGGAGTCGTGGTGTACGTAAAGGCACGGTGTTTTTGTGGGATCCCTTGCCCTACACATTAGCCGAAGGCACTAGTGCCAATCCGGAGCTCCAACCACCTGACTTGGCACCTTCTGCGCGTATACAACAACATCATCAACGACACATCAATCGGTAGCATCGCCATCGTAGGTGTCTACTCGATCCCGATCACATAACTCTCTCCGATAGCAATAGTGGTATATCCTTGATTGCTGGCTCGCCACGAGACACCTACTGCAGCCATGTCGATAGCGCCTCTCATCACCTTCAAAGCCGGCCTCTGTGATCTTGATGTAAGTAGTTCGCTTTAATGGCTGCTTTCTTTAATGTTCTTCAATGGATCCCCGACGTTTGGTGTCCTGCCCCAGACACTGGAGGTTTGTGACATTTAAAAAACATCTGACGAGCCACTACCCAATATAGACCTCTGTTTCCCCGCCAAGAGTAAAACCTAAGCCCGCTCCTGGCTATATTTACCTCTATTTAGAAGATGACCTGGTACACTTTTGCTGGCGTCGACGATCTGCGTCGCTCGATGAACCAGAGCTAGATTTGGTCATGGTCCCATCCGATGGAACTTTCACCCCGTACAACCCCACCAGTGCACAAAACTCGTCTAACACCAACAGACCCACCAACGGAAGAGTATATGCGCTGAAATTCTCATCCAGCTCGCAGAGACACCTTTTTTGGCTTCAATCAGGTAGCCAACATCCGAATGGAAACCCAGCTTGGTTCAGCACAAGGGACCTAGAAGTGGGACGGATCGTGAACGCTTTACTACAAGGCGAGGACATCGATGTTGCCCATGCCATCTCCAACCTCCCTCGGAATAGTCACGATGGCAACGGGGGTGATGGTGATGAAACCATGGAGGATGTCGAAGGCGCAGACCACAATCCGATTCACCGAAGAGGGGGCAGCGGTGGCGCGGGACCGGGTGCTACTGGAGGAGACATCCGGGAAGAGGGCCAGGAGTCGCGGGAAGGCGGAGCGGACGGTGGAAGAGCGTAGGTACACTTTTCCGCAATTTTAATCGGAGGTTCTATAAAGACAAGAAACCAAACAAACAAAGCAGAAAACAAAATGGGGTGGTTCATGCTTGCATATTGCAATCCATACCATTATGTAATTACACAGATATCATGTTCATGGCTCAAGCAACGAATTTTAGAACTTATATCCCAATTTTTTAACCTCTTTCAGCTTCGTTGTTATGGTATATATGTTTTGTTCGGCCGCTGACTGCCACAAAAAGCGCAACTACCTCGTCAGATCCATCCTCGGTTATCCAAAACCTCCTCAGATCTCTCCAACAATCCGGAAATCAACAGTCGGGGTCAGAAACGACCGACAACCTATTCACAACACTTTCAGATCTCCTCCAACCCTCATCAACGCTTCCATTCATTGAATCAGCGGACTCTGAAGCGGCCAACCATCTCCTTAGCTTTCTTCCTACATGTCTCCTCTTCCTTTCGCAATCAAACATCGATGAAATACCCAATAACATCGAGCCTGGCTCCGAAGCCGCGAAATCTGCAATGCAAACCTTGACTCTTGAACAAAAACGAGATATCCTTAGGAGGGTTTTACGTTCCCCGCAATTCACGCAGAGCCTTGGTAGCCTCACTGTTGCCTTGCGCGATGGTGGACTACCTAGCATCAGCGATGCGCTGAAAATCCCAGTGGCAAACAACGGGTTTATGCGCCATGGTGGGGTCCCACTTGGAGGAGGAGATGCCGTTCGCGCATTTCTAGAAGGGGTCAAGAGACATGTTGAAGAGGCGAGCAAGAGTGGCCAGGATAAAATGGAAACAGACTAGGGGTATGCAGAAGCTACTAGTATGTATTTGAGTTGCATGAATTTTTGTAGTGACTGGTATACAAAAATGGAGAATTCCGGACTCCTATGTTTCAGGAATTGTAAAGGTGCTTACAAGGCTGATTATTACGGGTGTTCATTTCCTCGTAATTTTTGTAGGTAACCTCGTTATGCTAGAATATTTTTAGAACAGATGTACATGTATGTAGAGGTACCTGTCATGTCATGTACAGTACATAACTCAAGAGAAATGTTAGTTGAAGAAATTTTTAGTGTTTTATGTTTACTTTGGAACGCATATAAGGCCTTTTTTTTGGCCGATAGGTATTATTTTTTTTAGATGTCCAAATTGCTTGGGTTATGATGCCCTTTTTCTGGTTGGTGTATTCGGGGTACATGGCAGAACATGTACCGTATTGTATGGACTTGAGCCAGATATGTAACTCCTAACCTTCCATTCTCCTGAGCAGCCAACAGACAATAATCCAAGATAAAATATCATGAAGCTAACTGTATGATCCCCATGATGCGAATTTTTTTGCGCTGTTCATCAGGAGCCGAATTACCGCAACCTCCCTCCCGCCAGAATAACCAGAGCGCCGGTTAAATCAGCCCACTGATAGACACCACCTTTATTGATTTCGCAGCCCAACCCCCCACCCATTACATCTACTGTCGAGCATACTATTTACGTACAGAGCAATTTGCGCGCTACTGTTCATTTGCACACACGCGAAGAGGTGGCAGCCTGTGACAATTCATACACCCGGATTGGACTTTTATTGGGGTTTCCCATGCGGTTTGCATCGTTCGCATTTTGAGATGTCCTCCCCCAGATAGCCAACGCCAATCAGCATGGCGTCGCCGCACAACTACAATAACGACTGCTATGACCCGCGTAATTATGACTCCGCTTCCCTTCCTGTTAACCAGTCGATCCCCTTGCAAGACCTCTCAAGACCCCCAGATATTGTGACACGAGATGGACCAGAGCAGCGACGCAGAAGAACGAGCAGCAGCAGCAGCACTGCGGGACCCGAGGGATTTCCTGTCCAGAGAACGTCGATAATAGGGCGCAGGGGCATTGGGAGGAGATATGAACGGATAGCGGAGGATTCTCCCGGTCCGACGGGGCGGAGCGGGATGGATAATTTCCAGACCGTCAATTTGTCCCACGATCATCTTCATCATAATTCCCCTATATCCCATGCTGATGATGACCAGCCGTATACACACAACAGTTTTCAGGAAGCCGTAGCCTCCGTTGGATTGGCCTTCGATGGGTCATCACCTTCGCATTTCTCGGGCCAGGATTCAGCTCAGCAACGCTCTTACCAAGCTAATGTGAGGGAATCTGATGACATGACTCCCTTTTCCTATATGGGCAGCCATATTCCCAACGACGAGGAACTTTACATGTCCCCGACTGATACGAACGAAAATGACACCACACCACTTACAGATCAGAGATATCAACAACCCATTGACGGCGTTTCCACCTCGCATGGCCAGCGACATGACAGGCCCAGCGTGCACTTCGCTAAAGAGCCGACAGTCGCTGGGACACATCTGGGCGATGATCTACCACACTTGGAAGAAGGGAATAATAGGGTGCGTAGTGGCTCCAGCAGCCCGAATTTTCCAGGTCGTAGGACACGTCAGCTCTCGCCTGCTCCCAATTCCGCACTATCAAGAGCGGGCTCGATGATGAAAATGATGTCGCAACGTGTGGTGAATATTAGTCATGAACCGGAGATCGTTGAGCAATCACTTCGGAACAAATCATCGCTTAAGAATGCCCGACTCGAGGCTCCACCATCGCTACCTGCAATGACGGAGTACGCCCATGACATATCGACGCCGGGGCTAGAGGACGATTTCCCACCTGAAAAGCGCCCATCGCTTTTCTCCAAACTACGAAACCCAGATGCGTATCAGAAAGAGGAAAACCCGCTCAAAGGCAATTCGTTGGGTATCTTCACTCCGAACAATCGACTACGGAGAGGGTTGCTGGAAATCCTCATCCACCCCTCAATAGAGCCGATAATTCTCGTCCTCATTATCGTCCAGACGGTATTACTAGCTATTGAATCCTCGGTATACAAAGGCGAACGGGGGAGTCGCTGGGGGAATCCCCCATTCGACTACGCGTTCCTCGTTCTCTTTATCATTTATACGCTCGAGATCAGCGCAAGGATCATTGTCTCTGGACTTATATTTAATGCAGATGAATATAGTACCTTGGATCGATCACTTGGTTTAAGAAAAGCTTTGGTCGCAAAGGGGAAGGATCTTTTGATGCCACAACGACAGTTTTCTAAAAGGCACTCGAGCGAGCCGGTCGAACCTCAAGTATCCGTTTTAAGGTCGTTCACAGGTATTCAAAACACAACGGACCCGTCTGGGGATGCTAACTCCCTGCAGCGATTCCGTCTTGCTCGCCGGGCATTTTTTCGTCATTCATTCACCAGGATAGATTTTCTTGCTGTTGTATCATACTGGATATCTTTTGTCTTGTCAAACTTATCTCTTGAGTCGGGGCATCATCTTTATGTTTTCCGAATGCTGAGCTGCCTTCGAATTCTGAGACTTTTGGGTCTCACTAATGGTACTTCGGTATGTTCTTTTTATCATTCAGAAATTTCTATTTCATATACGAACTTGGGCATTAACTGACATCCTATATAAATTCTAGGTCATTTTCCGAAGTTTGAAAAAAGCTGCCCCCCTACTGGTCCATGTTGCTTTTCTCATTGGTTTTTTCTGGCTCTTGTTCGCCATTGTAGGCGTCCAAAGCTTCAAGTCCAGCATGCGCCGGACTTGCGTCTGGGTTGATCCCGAGAACCAAAATAACTTTACTTTGAATTCTGCGCCTGATAAGATCCAATTCTGCGGGGGTTACCGTGAGGTTGGCACAGGTGCCAGTAAGCCCTGGATTTTGCCTGATGGACGAGCAGGCGCGGTCGATGCAAAGGGTTACCTTTGCCCTGAGGGTTCCCTCTGTGTGCAAGGCAGCAACCCTTATGGCGGAACTATCAGCTTTGACAATGTCGCCCATTCCCTGCAGCTCGTTTTCGTAGTCATGAGCTCAAACACTTTTACCGACATCCTTTACTACATGACTGATACTGACTTCCTTGGCGCTGCTTTGTTTTTCGTCGTCTCGTTTGTCATCCTCAGTTTGTGGCTGGTCAACTTATTAGTTGCTGTCATCACGTCGTCATTCCAAGTTATCCGGGAAGAAAGCAGGCGCAGCGCATTTGCCAGTGAACAGATTGACGAGAGAGAGTTCGTGGACGATACCCCTCGCAAGCTACGTGGACTGAAACTTTTCTATGATCGAACTTACTGGCTTTGGATTACTGTGATTGGATTCGGTCTTGTAGTTCAGTGTCTCAGAAGTTCCTCCATGGGGCATGCCCGGCGACAACTTATCGACAGGACTGAAATATTTGTCACCATTATTCTTGCTGTTGAAGTATGCCTTCGATTTGCGTCTGACTGGAGGAATTTCTTTAGAGGCTCCCGTAATTGGGTTGACTTGGCGCTTGCGATCATTACCTGCATCATTCTAATACCGCCAATACGATATTCCAGTCGAGCATACGCCTCACTTTCAATATTTCAGGTATTGCGTATATATCGCATCGTTCTTGCGTTCTCCGTGATGAGCGATTTGATCAAGACGGTATTCAAGAACGTAGTTGGCTTGCTCAACCTCATTATCTTCGTGTTTCTCATTACATTTTTGGCCTCAATATTCGCTGTCCAGTTATTCCGGGGCCAGATACCTTCGCAGGATATGGATGGGAATGATGTACAAATAACTTTTTTCGACATATACAACTCATTTTTGGGAATGTATCAAATACTTTCCAGCGAGAACTGGACGTCGATATTATACTCAGCAGTCCAATCTACCTATCCGTGGAACACAGGCTGGATCTCAGCTATTTTCTTGACTATGTGGTTCATTCTGGCTAACTTTGTTGTCCTGAACATGTTCATTGCTGTTATCCAGGAGAGCTTTGATGTGTCTGAGGACGAGAAGCGGATTCAGCAGGTGAAGGCTTTCTTACAACAGAAGCAGCTCAGTGGGTCTTCTCAGGGGAATCTTTCACTCTCAACTATATTTAGACTTGGTCGCAATTCTCAACGATACCGAGACCCACTCGATCATGGCCCTGCGGCGCTTGAAATGCTACTGAAGGATGCTGTCGTCAACGAGTTTCTCGATGAGCAGCCGCCGCGATCGCCACCTGCAGATATCCCGCCAACGGAGACCCAACCCAGCCATCCTGAACATAGTAACGGCACTACCAACATTTTCATCTCACTGAAAAACCGGATCATGAACCGAGAACCCAATCCTTTCTATTCAAAACTGAAATTTTCCAAAGTTTATGACGACTCAGATCCAACTGCAATGGCTAAAGAGGTTCTCTCTGCGTCGGAGCAACGGAAGCGTGCACAACGACAGTACCTCCAAAAATATCCTAATTATAATGTCTCGTTGTATATCTTTAAGCCCACACATCCTTTACGACGATTATGCCAGAGAATTGTTGGACCGGGTCGAGGGAGCAGTCGTTTCGAGGGGGTAGATCCTTACAAGCCAGTGTGGTATACCTTTTCAGCATTCCTTTATGCTGCGATCGTCGCCATGGTTTTGCTTGCTTGCGTATCTTCACCCCTTTATCAACGAAATTATCTCCAGACTCATAAACCTGGTCTCAGTAACTGGTTCGTCTGGACAGATCTAACTTTTGCAATTCTTTTCACTATTGAGGCCGTGATAAAGGTTATTGCAGATGGCTTTTTTTGGACACCAAATGCATACTTTCGAGGCTCTTGGGGTTTCATTGACGGGGTCGTGCTGGTTACGCTGTGGATCAACGTTGTATCGGCAATATTTAACGCTACTGCCACATCGCGTGTTGTGGGTGCGTTCAAGGCTCTGCGAGCTTTGAGGTTGCTAAATGTCAGTGACAGTGCGAGAGAAACTTTCCACGCCGTGATTATATTGGGTGGGTGGAAGGTTATTTCTGTAAGTCGCATATTTTCCAGTCTACCTCTCCTTTTCAGCATTCTCACAGACGCGTATCTAGGCGGCATTTGTGTCAATGAGTTTCCTGGTCCCATTCGCTATCTACGGCTTGAATCTATTCAACGGGCAGCTCAAATCTTGCAACGATAATAACTTTGGGCACAGTTCATTGGACCACTGTGTGGGCGAATATATGAGCTCCCCATATGCATGGAATGTTTTGGCACCGCGGGCGGTTTCGAATCCGTATTACAGTTTCGACAATTTCGGGGAATCGCTCTTCATTCTTTTCCAAATTGTGTCCCAGGAAGGCTGGACTGGTGTCTTATGGCAATCGATGGCAATAACTGGAGTAAACCAACAACCTGAACCCCTTGCATCTCAAGAAAATGGCCTTTTCTTCATCGTTTTCAACTTGCTCGGCGCTGTCTTCGTGTTGACACTGTTTGTCTCCGTCTTTATGCGAAACTACACTGAACAAACCGGGGTAGCATTCTTGACTGCTGAGCAGCGATCTTGGCTGGAACTTCGCAAACATCTACGACAAATATCACCTTCCAAACGGTCCATTGACAAGGATAGCAGTAAAATCAAATCGTGGTGTTACAAAATTGCAGTCAAAAAACACGGACGCTGGTCAAGGTTTATTACAGCCCTTCTGTTATTCCATCTCCTTCTCCTAGTTCTTGAATTCTACCCTGAATCTGTCTGGTGGGATAGAACTCGAGGTACGCCTTTCCCTCCTTCTCACAATGCTTAGGAGTCGCAACTCATATGTTACAGATATTATATTTTTGATTTTAACGCTATTCTATATCGCCAATATTTTCATTCGAATTGTCGGCCTAACGTGGCAACGATTCAGTAGAAGTTCGTGGGACTTATACTCGATCGTTTCGGTACCTGGAACCTTTATCACAACAATACTCTCAGTAATTCGATACGAGAATATCGTCTTTACACGTCTCCATAAACTATTTCTTGTCTCTATAGCTTTGTTGATGATTCCTCGGAATAGCGAGCTCGATCAGCTATTCAAGACCGCTGCTTCCAGTCTGACGGCCATTGGCAACCTTCTGGCAACCTGGTTTGTTCTTTTCCTTGTCTATGCAATTGCCCTCACTCAGATATTTGGCCTTACCAAGTTTGGGAAAGGGGAAAATGGCAATATCAATTTCAGAGATGTTCCAAGGGCACTTGTTCTTCTTTTCCGTACAAGTGCTGGAGAGGGTTGGAACGAGATAATGGAAGATTTTGCTACCATGGCGCCACCTTACTGCACAGCCGAGGGACGATTCTTTGAGAGCGACTGCGGTAGTGCCGCTTGGGCCCGCGCTCTTTTTATTTCCTGGAATATTCTTAGCATGTACATTTTTGTATCTCTCTTCGTATCGCTTATTTTCGAGAGTTTTTCTTATGTCTACCAACGAAGCAGCGGGCTGTATGCAATCAGCAGAGAGGAGATCCGGCGTTTCAAACAAGCATGGGCTACCTACGATCCTGATGGAACTGGATATATCTCTAAGGAAGCTTTTCCGAGGTTGTTAGGGGTAAGCCAAGCCAGATAACCATTAATTACTGTCCTTAATTCTAACATTAGTATGGTAGGAGCTATCTGGCATATTTGAGATGCGCATCTACGACGGTGACTTCACAGTTGGCCGTATCGTGGAAGACTGCAAAGTCCATCGCAGGGAATCAAGTCAGACGCCATATGTACGAGCCATTGATGGAATTGACTTGGACAAGTTGCAACGTAGGATTGATCGCATCCCCGTCCAGCAAATCCGCAGAAAGCGCGCTCGCATGAATGCTTTTTATGAAGAAGTCCTCGTTTCGGCAGACCCTGAAAGAGGCATTTCCTTCACTTCTTGCCTGATGATTCTTGCTCATTACAATGTGATCACTGATAGTAAGAGTTTGAGGTAAGTCCCAATATCCATGCACTAGAATTCTTCAAGCACCACTATTTTTAATATATTTTAACATATCCCCTACCCTTGCAGACTCGAGGAATTCCTCCGTCGCCGAGCTCGCCTCCAGCGCGTAGAAGAAGCGGTCCGACGAAACGTAGTGATTGGTTTTTTTGACACATTGTATTGGTCCCGAAAATTCCGTCGCCGCTATGAACCTGATCATGACTCCCGCCTCGGCTCTGTGCCACAGTTTGCTGTTCCAGAAATTTTTGTGGAAGATGGCGAGCAAGATGAGCAACCGCAGCAACAACGCCAAAGCAGGCCATCGCAGCCCTCGGATTCAGCTTTGCCTTCTCCCATGCTCTCGCCAGATTCGTTAAGTCGCTCCTCCCGCGATGAGGCTGGTCGCAGACGAATGCTCAGCCCACCTTCTATTGACACAAATATCTCCCAAAGCTCAGGCTCACAAACACGCAATGCCGACTGGGCAAGTAGAAGTCCTTCATCGTCTCCGCGCCTAAGCCGCACGTTCTTTAGTTCCACTCCTCCCGGCCCAGATGATATAACAACCCATCGACCGGATAATGACAGCTCTGTCAGTGTGCAGGGCGTCATGGAGTCGCTAGACAATTCTGCATGGGGCGAAAGTATCAGACGGAGTTTCACGATGCGTCGGTCGCAGGGCCGGGAATAATCGCTAAAGCAAAGTTCAAGTGCATTTTCCTCCTTTGCCCATTTACCAGGACCTATTCCAGATTCCACTAATGATCCATCCATGATCTCCTTTTTTTCTCATTGCTACACCTCCCTTCCCTCTCCCTTTCTTTCGCTCTCACTTTTTTTTCTTTTTTTTTGCTTTTTTTCACACCTATACATCTATTTCCACTATTGGCATTTTCCATGCATTTTCAGCTATTCTCCCCTTCCCCTCTTCACATTTGTTTTATTATTGAATCTTTCTCCTGCAGAGTTATGATAACCCACAATACTCCCTAGAGATATACTTTTACGTGTATACAATCACTACTTTATTAAAGAACACATACAGATAACGATATACATGACAAGTTGAGAGGGGACTGGACGACGGCTGTGACCGAAACGAATTTGGGTAGAGGGAAAATCAGTCGATGTGACCGCCTTTCCCCTGATTTATCCACGTCCTTCTTTCCTCCTTTTTTGTGGTCGTTTCTAGTTACGGTATTCTAGATTTCAAAGCAACACAAAAGTGGTTTTGAGAAACAGCAAATATGCGCATTGCAGCGAAGAAGAATGCAGGATTTTTATTTTCATTTTTTCATCCTTTGATCGATTTCAATTCTCAATTTTGGTGTTTCAGTTCCTAGTCGTTGAGTCCTTATTCCTTTTTTTTCCTGTTTCTTTTTAGTTTTCATGTTTGTAGATTTTAATGCATTTTTTTCTTTTTCCTTTCCCCCTTCTCTATTACCCTTTGCCTGTTATGACTTTCATCATGCCATTTTTTACATATGTCTTGCTGGTTGCATTTATTACCTATTTTATTCCCTACTTGCGTGTACATGTACTATCTGATTTTGAATGACAGAGAGCGAAAGCGGTGCCTTTTTCGAAGAGAAGATACCTATATAATTTATAACTAATTGCATCTACAGTGCGTTTACCACCTACATGCCCATGGTCCGAGGGCGGGGGAGTCGGTTCTTCCTATTTTTCCCTGCCGTGTCTCCTTATGCTTCTTTAAGGACTGACAAGCTTCGTAACGCTGGTGCAGCGAACGTAGATCGACCTTGAAAGATAAATCATGGCGTCAGCAACAGGGGCAGGTTGCTTAACCACTAGTTCTGTGCATATACATATATGTAACTCTAACAACAAGAAGAACTTGATGTAGGATTGTGTTGAAGGGAGATAGACAACGATGCTGTCAAATGGAATTTACGACACACACAAACGTTGTCACTGAAAACAAACTCCTATCCTCATGTATCAAAAGTGAGACATGAGTTCATTTTTTTTTCCTCCTTGAACTTAAAAGATCATATATTTAAACTTTCCTTACTGTGCCGTGATGCACCAAACAGCATTGACAATCCTTGGTTCAAGCAGACGATAATACCGAAATGAAGGGACAGTGTGTGCTACCTACCTTGAAATACGGAATAAAAAAGTAATAAAATAACAAACAACAACAAGCAATAAAGGTTTGGACATGGCAGGTAGAAATCTTCAACTCGGCTATATAACTCGTCATCCCGTCCCGCTTGACTTCTTTCCTTCTTCCTCTCTTCACCTTTGACCTTCAGCGGTTCATTCCATCAGTGCTTGGATCTTCTCGATGAAACAAGTAGGGAGAGATGAGGCTGGGAGAAAGGCTACCCGGAGGTTCCCACCCACCTCAAACAGAAAGCTGTATCAAATGCTTCTTAGTGGGGCAGATAAGGAACAAGGTGGTTGGGATTTCCATACTTTTTCATTCTTGGTAATTTTTCCCTTTTTATCCCTGCTCGTGTAAGGGGGGTTAGGTTCCTGCAGATACTTGGCAGGGAGAGAATGAATGCTTGGGGTTTTCAATAATACCAATGCAAGCTATGAGAAGTGATGATAGTTGCTTGATTCCCCGCAAATGGACGTTGTCGACGTGGCCGAATTTCACAGCAAGCATTAATATATTCATGTATATATGTATCTTCCTACCATGGAATGCGAGGTATCGGATTTGACAAGTTGAAAGTATAAATATTCCTGTATGGCTACTATGTAATTGACTTTTTGTTCTCTCACACTATCGGTTTCTGTTATCTTCGCATGTATCAGATCTGGATTTTGTCCATGTCGCTTCAATAGCCTTCCCATATTCTCCGTTTACCCTTTTTCTTTTCTTCTTGACGACTTAAGAGAGGCATTCCCGGTCTTTATTTTCTCTGCTTTATTCGTCGTTAGTTATTGTTGTCTTTCGCGCCGTTTGCCGTTTGTCACCTGGCTTAACTCTTCAAGAGCTCAGGACAGAGCAATAACTTCTGCTGGTGGCTCAACTGCCACATGCCACGTTCTTCTTGAGAAATCACTCGATAATTATTTGGCCTTGTCATTCATTCCTGTTTTTAATACCGTTCTGCACTATCCCGCCATTCTCCATCTGATCAATCCGCTTAGTCCACTCAGACCTTGTTCTTGGGGGCTCTTGCAGAGTCACCCCTCATTTCCTGCGATCTTAGCTGTGATCCGATTACAATTTCACTTCAATTCATAAATTGTGAAAATCGCGTTCAGCTCCCAACACAATTTTGCGGCTGCTTTGAGCTACAATATCAGTCATTGCATACAACCTTTCAGCGCTCCAGCCCAGCACGAAACGACCTTCAAACGTTTGAAAATTCATAGAGAATTTCCACCCTCTTTCAGAATGGGCGACATCGCCGAGGCCAGTGAACTCCTCCCGTCGCCGTGGACCAGTTATACACAACCACCACCACCAATACCACGGCGAAATCCATTCCGCTACGCCAGGAGCATGTCGACAACAAGCAGCCCCATCTCTTCTCCAGACTCTAGCCCCACAAGCTCAAGCCGGCGGAACCATTGCTCAGCATCCCTGAATCGTATGTATCACCGTAGCCGCAGTGGCAGCCCGTTCACAATGCGTTCTGCAACCTCATCATTTCGACTGTCATCTCTACTTCTCCGTCGTCGGCCGTCTGCTGTGGATTTGGCGCTGAGTGAAGAGCGTTATCGGTGTGCTGAGGACTCGGTCGAGAAGATTGGGTTGGGCCTTATGGAGCCGCGACCTGTAGATCCTATCCCAGCGCCAATGATCATTGGGGATGCGGAGGCCAACTTCAATTGGAACATGAACATGAGTATTAGACCGTTGTCTGATGTTGAGTCAGATGGTGATAATACGCAACACGTCAATTCGTTGCGGATAGGTATTAAACCACGATTTGTTATGGGTGGGATTTTCGAGGTCATGGAAGGGTCGGCTTAGAGAAGTCTCTAACTAACGGGGATACAACTAAATTTACTGATCCTGGCAGCCTGAGTTGTGGGACATCCAAGTGGTTGTATTAGTTAGCATGGAGGCAGCTGATATGTGCGGTGCGCAAGTCTGTAATCAACAAAATTAGCACAGCTATCTTCGGGTGTCCTTACTAATTTCACATGCTTTCAATTTTTGTCCTTTGTGAGACAGGAAAGGCGATGCAATCTGAACCATTGTTATGGGCTGTACGCAGGGATCAGGTGGTTGCATTTCTTGACAGCATACTGCTTAATGCAATTAAGTCCTCCCCCCATACCACACCACAGAAGATTGCGAACTCGACTATAAAACGTTTCGATGCTCATCTAAAGATGACATATAATATCCGTGGTGAGGAAAGCGCTGCTGGTGGAGGTGAAGAAGAAGAAGAAGATGATGAAGATGATGATGCAACATTTGATGTTATTGAAGTTGATGGTTACTCGACCTTGGTATCTCACCACAGTGGTGACTGGCGTTGAAGTTTGAAACCTATTGATTGCTAGAATGGCTGGTGTGGGTTAGCATCTAGCTCTGTAATGTCATGTATATTTAACTGTATATATTGTTTATGATGGTTCTCAATGGACTACAGCCCGGAGATTGATGATCTGAAAATATGGGAGAAGGATTCATACTGGACATGCATTGCAATATGAAAGTCCAAGAGTTTCACTTCCTTTTTATCTTGTATTTAGCAATCATGGTCAGTTTGTTTTTCTTTCAAATCAGAAGAACTGACAGCTTCTCCGGCTACTTTGAACCATTGAAGGTTCAATATATCTAATACTGTGGATTTCTTTGCCAGACAGATGAGTTAGTTAATGGGCTCTCTTAGCTTCATTTTAAGACCGAGTAACTTGACTGCTTGTGTTTACCGAGATGCGGAACAAGTATAGACATATGAAGATCAGTAAACGGTATGTGTAAGTAGGGATGAGCCTGAGCTGAACATAAACCCTCCGTCCGTAGTCCTGGCGCACGGCGGCTGGCCCTGGCATTGATTCCTCCCTATTTGCATGGGTACGTTCCCAGATGACAAAAGCCCATGCTTATTTAGTCAACACCCCGCAAGTCAGCGCGGGACGTATATACAGCGTATGTATGCCGGCATCTACTCCGTACAAGCGGCGACTTTTGCAAGCGTTTGGGCTCCGCTAGCGGGCTGAGACCAGCGCAAGTTCTAGCCTTGCCTGTACCTTGAGAAACACAACTGCAGCCAAAACCTTGATCATTATTTATTTTCGCTCTCGCCGCTGCCATTTTTCTCCTCATTGTTTATGCCGTTCCCGTCGATACACGTCCCTCGTCGCCAATCTCGCTCAAGCCCGTAATGATAGCGCAGTGTATTACGCTATGACTATTGACACCGCACTCGATGCTGGTCTGTCCGGCGACAACGGGATGGCGTCGGTCACGGATGGCCTCCTCCAGTCCAACTCAGAAAACAGCGCAACGCTTCCCGCGGGAAGAAATGTTTTCTTGACTCTGACAGATGATGCGCTCATTGTTGCTGGTAAGTATCGCAGAGTGCAAGACATCCGACTCCCAGAAACTTGCGAACAGTGGTTTGGCTTACTGGGGAATACTTTCTTTGTAGATAAAGGCATCAAGTCGAAGTCACAGCGCCGTTGCTGCAGTTTTCCAACCCCTGGTGAGACTCGTTTCTCTCGCCCAATTATTATTACTATTATTTCTGGGCTCTTGAGGTTCCTCCAAAATTTTTGTCTTTCAACAATTCAGCAGACGTCGCTTCTGACTCCTCTCCTCTTTCGAAGGCTCCGCTTCGCAATCTATCCCGTATTTCAACATCCTCTGGGCTGAACTTTCTGACGACTATATTACGATTAAATATGCCGACCAAGTTACCAAGAAAGATGTCACCCTTCGTTCAGTGCAATATTCAGTCAACCTTGAGAATAAATCCAAAGCTAAAACATGGACCCAGGAACTTCTCGACTTGGCCTACGGCAAAGCGCAACGGCAAAAGCGCATTAAAGTCCTCATAAACCCCTTTGGTGGAAAAGGCCACGCCCCAAAAGATTACCTCAGATATGTTGAGCCAATTTTCGCAGCCGCTAAATGCCAAGTCGATGTCGAATCAACAAGTCACCGAGGGCACGCAGTCGACATCGTGGAGAAGCTTGACGTCAATGCATATGATGTTGTCGTAGCCTGTTCGGGAGATGGTATACCTTACGAGATCTTTAATGGGCTAGCCAAGAAGCCAAATGCGAGCGAAGCTCTGCGGAAAATTGCCGTGGCTCACATCCCTTGCGGGTCGGGAAACGCAATGAGCTGGAATCTCAATGGAACTGGCAGGGCCAGTCTGGCCGCCGTTTCTATTGTCAAGGGCTTGAGAACTCCACTTGATTTAGTCTCCATCACTCAAGGTGATAAACGCACAGTGTCATTTTTATCCCAGTCCTTTGGTATTATAGCTGAATTAGACCTGGGTACCGAGAATATCCGATGGATGGGCTCTGCGCGATTCACATACGGATTCCTGGTACGACTGCTTGGAAAGACAGTCTATCCCTGCGACCTTGCTATTAAGGTCGAACTCGACAATAAAGAATTGATTAAAGATCACTACCGCGCTGGGTCCCAAAGAAGAAGCCTTGACCAACTACGCGATGAAGAATCATCAGACGCTGTCGGTCTCCCACCATTACGGTATGGCACCGTGAACGACCCGCTACCCGAAGGCTGGACTCTGGTGCCACACGATAAACTAGGCAATTTCTACGCGGGCAACATGGCATATATGGCTGCGGACACCAACTTCTTTCCCGCCGCACTCCCCAACGACGGATGTATGGATCTCATCACAGTGAACGGCGACATTAGTCGACGGACTGCAATCCAGATGCTTATGTCTGTTGAAGATGGCGCGTTCTTCGATATGCCCGAGGTCAACGTGCGGAAAGTTACTGGCTACAGAATTATCCCCAGAGACCGGAAAGAAGGATACATCAGTATTGATGGGGAGCAGGTGCCATTTGAGCCTTTCCAAGCGGAAGTCCATAAAGGACTTGGAACGGTCCTATCCAGATCTGGATACAAATATGAAACTAACGGATTGAAGTGAAGATGATGGGTGATGACATCATCTCACCCCTTTTTGTTTCACTGCTGCTGCCTTCACATTGATTATATTTATCTTCTGTGATGGGATACAACTAGCTACGGGTTTGTGTTTTCTGATTGTTGCTTGTTGCCTGTACAATTGCGCTTCTCTTTATTCTTTTCTCTTCTCTTTTGCTTTCGTTTAATGCTGTTCACTACAAATACTAAACCGAGCTCTATATCAAGAAAAAGATACCCCTGCCCCTGACTGTCCATCATGTATATGCAACTTGGCTCCAGCATCCCTCTTCTCTAGTTCTCATTCGACTTGCATAAATACGCTAGACACACTGGTATAACTCTTTACATCTTTCCCCTCTCCCTTGCGTGTAAAAACTTAGCGATAGGTAGTTACTTTTCTTAAAACTTTCTCTGTATAAAAGAATACGGGATGTTGGCATTCGTTCTTAATGGTAGTAACCATTGATAGATACATACTATTTCACTTGGTTTCCTTTCTCGTTGAGTGATTTTGATTTTGATTCTTTTTTTTCTTCTTTTTTTGATATTCTCTCTCCCCTCCCGAGGCATGTTCCCTTTCCCAGAATATATTATTTATCATTCGAAAGATCTTATCTCGTATGTTCCAACACCCCGTTTTGTATGATAATAAATGTATCGTCAGTTTCATTTTCTGGATGTCGCGCAAAGGGGCATTGAGTGATAAACACAGGATGAGTGAAATAAGCCGTTTTATTGTGACAGTAAATAAAGGGTTCGTACACCTGAACTGCTCTTAAGTCATGAAAAGAGAAAAGTAAGCTGATAATGAATTCATCAAATTAAACAACAATCACCCTTCAATACCTCCCCATCCTTCCTCCTCCTCATTCTCCTCCTCATCGTCAGTTTTCTTCCTCTCCCTAACTCCCCACTCCACCAACCGCTCATCATCTAATACCACCCCCGCCCGCTTCCTAACCAGCTTCGAAATGCTCTTCTCCTGTAGCCTAACAATCGGACGAAGAAGTAACTCCATCGGCACTCCCGTTTTCAGCTGCCCCTTCTTCTCTTTTGTCTTCCCGGCAACTGTCGGGCTTCCCGCCTCATTGCCCTCACTACCCTCACTACCATCTTGCCCAGTCTCATTCCCATCCCCATCAGCCTCAACCTCGACAACAGCAACCTTCTCAATCTCATCCAACCAAATATCCAACAAATGATACCGCAACCCATCAGGCCCCTTGTGCATCCGTACAGAAGGATTTTCATTGCCATTGTCATTTTCCGGGTCGAAATTAATCGGACACAGCGGGCCCTCTTCCAGCATGTCAAGATATATTCCTAGCTCCGTCCAGATCCCCAAGTCTCCAGACTCAGCGGTCCCCACGCCATTTTCATCCGCTTCTTCACCCCTCTTCCGCTTCCCTAGACTCCCTTCCCGCTTTCCAGAACCCTCTTTTTCCCCCTTCCTTTCCCCTTTTCCCTGCTCCTTCTTCACTCCCGCCCGCGCCCCTGACAAACCCTTCTCCAAAAACACCTCAAACGCAACACCCACATAACACCGGATTAGATAGAGATATTTATCCAGCCGTAGTCGATCTAGGGAGTGGAAATCGCGCGACATGGTTATCCAGAATGCTCGCAGGAACGGTTGGAGGGTTTGCGCAGGGAGAGAGGGGACGAGTGTGAAGGAAAGCGAGCGCGCGAAGGATTGTTGGGTTAGAGGACGGTCGGAGTGGTAGAAGCCTGTTTGATTTTTTGATTTGATTTCTCTAATATTAGTCATGTTTTCTTCTTCTTTTTTTTGGAGGGGTTAACATTGGGATTGGCGTGCAAGGAATGAATGTGCCATTTTTGGATAGGGTGGGAGACGGGAAAGAACGCATACAGAAGAATAGCCCTTTCCATATCTTTAATAGCTCGACAAGCTGCAAATCTCTCCGGCTTTGGATGAAGCGGGTTAGCGATTCAAGGGCCTTGTCGCGGGTTCGTTTATCTGGAGGGAAGGAGGAAAAGGTGATAAAATTAGCCGCTTGTTTCTAACAGCCTTTATCTCCATCGTATAATTGATCATACAACTTTTTTTTAATTTAAAAACAATTATTTTCATGTCGAAGATACAATTGAAAGCCCCTTCTTTCGAAGACACATTGGATAAATGTATAAATTCAAGCCAACATACCGCTGGAGGCTAACTCCCGAATGAACGGAGTTTGCGCGACGTTCTCCATCTCGACGTGAACTCCAAACAGGGAGCTGCGCAAAACAGCAAACACGCTGCTCCCGCTCGGACTTCTTCAAAAGCACGGGGTGTGCCAATAAGAAAATTAAATAAGTTGAAAGGCGATCAAAAAAAAAATAATAAAATTGGCTCCGGCCGCACAATACTACTAGTAGTAATGTGGAACTGCGTCTGTTCTCGTGGATAGATTTTTTCTGCGGTGTTCTTCTTTTGCTGCTTTGCTTGAGGGGGCAATTGAGAGGTCGGAGTGAGATATCAAATCTGGAGGTCCAGATGCTCCGTGTATATATCGGCTGGTGTAGAACGGAGCTATTATTTTATTTTTCTCCCACTCGTTCTGCTTCATCGAGTTCTATTTTTTTTTTTTTTTTTGGTGGTAAATATTGGATGTTTGCACTGTTTGGTCGCCGGTCTTGGCACTCTCTCAGTCGGATACCAGATCTAATCTGCAAATTACCAACGAGATGACGACAACCCTAACCAAGGATATCTAATAACCGGGGCATATACGTCAAAAAAATAAGTATAATCCTTTTTTGGGGAGGGAAATAGAGAAAACACAACAAGAGGGTCAAACAAAAAAGGTCTCACTGGGATTCGAACCCAGGTTACCGGAAGTTTTGATGCGGTCGTCAAAATCCGGTGTCATAACCACTAGACCATGAAACCGCCAGAAGATTTGGTAGGCGCTAGTCCAATGTGTTTAAATATCTGTTGGAACCATGTTTGTCGAAGATTAATGGAATGCTCAAGAGCGGCCCAATTTGTTTTTCATAAATACTCCTCTATTCAGAATTCGAAAAATCTCCTCCCCTGTTCTATCTTCAGGGTTGCTGCAACCCCTCCGATTGTCATAATACTGGTCTCTTGAAAACCGGCTTATCCCAGCTCCCTGATCTTTTTTCTTTTTTGTTTTCCGCTACAGTTTGAGAGATCAATCAGCCACTAAGTAATAGAGCTAGCTGTTCTGAAGGAATGAAATGAATATATCTTGATTAAAAATCGATTAACAATATAACTAAATGTGAAAGTGGAATAAATCACCAGTATTTTCATTTCATTTATTTTAAAGATAATGCTGTCCCTGAGTTACCAACTTATTACTAGCTGCTTTATTAGTCAGACTGCGAAAGAAAATAACTGCTGAAAACTGCCCGGATGATGGCTATAGTCATCTTAAAATAGTCAAAAAAGAAGGATTTGCTGAAACAAGGGGTATTGCGCAAGGCTAAACATGACGGCAGGAAGGATGGGGTGGGAAGGAAAGAGGATAGCCATAATTATATGTCAGATATGGTAACTTGCTATGGCCATTTCATATTCGAGGGAAAACAAAGAAAGGTTTGGAAGGGCTGATGGCGTATATGAATGACAATTGAGGGTTGGGGAGGAAATCTCCAGAAACACTGCGCAAGAAATTATAGGGAAAATTGAAACTCATGATTTGAAAAAGGAAGCCAGGAAAAGTGAAAAGTGAAAAGAGTGAAAACAAACCCTACCAGAAGATAAAACGATCAATCGTGGATGATGGAATAAACAAATACACAAACAAAAAATACTCCCCAGGAAATCATGGTCATTCCGCTAGAAATAAACTCCCGCTCCAAAACATGGCAAAAGTGAGGATAGGAGACCTACGAGGCAAAAAAGAGATAGAAACGAAGTCTCGGTAAAAATATGGTTCGGGTACGGATGACAATGTTAGTTCGCAAAGCCTGACAGTAGCGATGTTTATGAGAGGAGGGCGTGTGCATGGCGATGGAGTATATGTTTGAAAAATGAATATGAGAAATGTCAACTTCGGGAACCGGGAACTACCAGGGCATTTACGACGTGGCCTTCTTTCCAGCCCTGGGATAATAGGCTTTCTTGTTCTTTGAGAATTTTGCCTAGATACGCTATTCGGACGCGCTGTTTGCCGACAATCTGTTTATTCGAGGAGGGCCAAGGTCAGCTCAACAAGCCCCATATAAATACTAGCTGCCGAGGTCTCCCAAGAGAGAGGAAAAAAGGTCAAAGGAATGGTTTCTGGAGAAAATCAGATACATACCCCGGCTTCAGCCTGGATTCTCCGCGCTAATACTCCCACCGTGTGATTCTTCCCAATCATCACCGTCGCATCCGGACCTCCTCGGTCACTCAACCTCGCAGAAATCTTTATCAGGTCTCTTTCACTAGCTTTCCCCTTCTCCTCGCGCCGCCTCTCAATGTCATCCGCCTCATCATCATCCGAATCCACATCAACAGCAAGTTTATTACGTTCAACGTCCTCCCCAAGCTCCGCAGTCGTAACGCATATGGTATTACCGTCAGTGGCATCTGCAGACTCCTCAACCACATTAACCGGATCCATGGCAATGTACTCTGGAATGCGGTATAAAACGCCACTCTCGTCGTAGCAGCCATCACACATGTCGCCTGTCGGGACGGTAATCCCTGCAGCATCCAAGATGCCCTGCGCTGTAGCGATATCTTCCGCACGCACAAGGGAGGTAGCCGCTGCTAGGGCAGCCCATATTTCTGGTCTTCCAGTCACTCGGGTGTCAAAAAAAAGCTCCCGTTCGCGGACAAGTTGTTCCCGTGTCCATTCTCGGCGGATGCTTTGCCATATGTGTGGGTGTATCGCTTGGTTATAGTGGACATCCAGAGGGACACCGACTAGGTCCCGTCGGCGGCGAACGGATCGTGAGACTGCAGGGCGATTGTGATGGCTCTGGGCAGTTTCGTCGGTGGTGGTGCGATTGAGGATGGGATGTGTCGGGCTGGTGGGAGTGGGAGATTGGTCAGACTCTCCTATTTCAACAGGTTAATACGATCTGAAGTTGTGTTGAGGGGAGAGAAGTTTCTAACCTCGAGAGGAGGTGGATATGCAACAGCCCTATTGAAGAAGCATGAAGGTTAGCGACCGCCGATCTATTACACAAGATATATAGAGGTGACTCGTGGTGGCGGTGATAACAACAAGAGCGAACGATGGCATTGTCCAGCAGCGGCCACTGCGCAGAAAGTTGGGTGAACCAGGAACATCGAAGCGTCGTTAAAGAAACACCCGCGTAAACAGAGGTTCTTAAAAGGCAAGAAGAACAAAAATCTCAAGCTACTGGAGGGGATTTCCCAAACACCCGGCAAGTGGATGAAGCTTGAAGACAAGCTTCAGGAGCTCTAGATATGCATACACATCCGTCCATAGAAAGGCATAGAGGTACGTAAGGCACTCACCATTGTGCATGGTGCAGAGCGACATGCAGGCTGTAGGAAATATTCCCATGAGACCAAATACGAAACAGGATAAGGCCAGCTAAAAGCAAGGGAGGAAGGGTGAGAAGAGTTGGCGGTGGAGATGAAGGCTGGAATAGTGCTGGATGAGCACGAGATGACAAAAAGTGGAGATATCGGTCGGCAAACTGAACTTAGCGAGAGCCAGAGAAAGCTCCAGCCAGCAGAGCCAGTTGCACGTTTAGTTGGCTATTCGGCCCGGTTTACTTTGTTATATTTAGATTTTGCACTGTAAGCCATCCTTGACAAGTGATTCCACACCCGAATAGTTCTAGAACTGTTGACGCAATCAACCTCGATAACTCGAATAACTAACTATATCACGATTATTCAAGCCTCTGTCCAGGACGAGGCAAACACACGAGACAAACAGAAAAGCATCTAGCAATCAATGCTGAGGAAGCGTCTATCTCATTCTGTTACCTTGATTGTTGATCATCCTGTAGCTTTGGCGAGGCAAGCTTTATTATTGTCGAAGTCAAACATCCGAGTAATCTTGTTGACCAACACGGGTGTTCTGTGGTAAGCCTAACTAACTATTTTGCACCACATTCCCATGGCCTGGGAATTGATCCATCAATTAATCAATTGTGTCGTTTGTAGATTGGCCCTCCTCGCTAACTAGTTAGTTAGTTACCTGCCAGCATTGGGCAGGATTACATACATAAATTACCCCAAGGCGCACACAACCTTTTTCCGTGGCGACGCCCATGCAGCTGAGAAGCTGAGAGGAAAGTTATTATATAGTTCATCTCTCGCACCTGGCTTTTCGTTTGACTTGACTTCCTGATTACGTATCCGGGTTCAACCTTAAAACCAACTATAACCTTGGAACGATAGCTTAACCGGCCCGAGATATACAAACCCATGAAAGTACCAACAGGAATTTCATTGATATTGTTATGTGGAACATCAGCTTCGTATTTACGCCTTGCAATTTATGAATCGTGTGCTAGACAGAAACATTGCGGCACTGAGGGGGTAGAGAGGGATCTAATCTCTCGTCAAACGCCGGAAGTTTAGATCTCATTTTTTCGGTTGATTTGCATTTTTGTGCTTCCATTCAACCTCCTATTCTCTCCCCCCGCTTCCAACATCCCAATAGGAAAATGTAGAAACCATAAAAGCTTCCGGATAAGGTGAAAGCTCATGTAGATCGAAAAAAAAAAGGGGGTGGGGGAACTGGCAGTGCCATTGTCTTCAATCAATCAATCCCCTCATCATCGTCCTCGTCGTTTTGGTCATCACTGCCAAATATGGCTTTGAACACTGCATCGCCAGGCCTCGCTGCCTCCAGTGCCTCGTTTCGCCCAGGATCAACAATAACATCTTCCTTTTTCAGGTGTTGCTGTTCGAGCTGCTGCTGCTGCTCACCTTCAGCTCCAACTACGCCTGCACCTCCTATCGCTTCAACAGCTCCTGCTCCCATAAGAATCCGATTCACGGCCTCCTTAGATAAGATATCCAACTTAGAGCCAGATGGCGCGGTAGGGGTCCGACTGGGAGCCCCATAACCGTGACCGCCAGGGATATCACCCGTATCAAAAGAGATGTTTGCTGGGGGCCGGACGTTGAAACGTTTACACAGAAGTCTAAAGGGAGAGAAGGGAACAGATGATCGCGTCAGGGGGCCGTACATGCCGATTTTCGCAGCTGCTTCGGCGGGATCTTGAGGTTTTGGATCTGGTCTGCGAAGGAGGGCCTCATGTTGGGCATTATCTGCTCTTTCTGTTTTGGGATGTGGTTGTGGTTGGGAGACGGCCGAGGAATTGGAGGAAGTGAAGCGGGAAGCCATCAAACCCGACATCGGCTTGAACACTTCCGCGGCACGCGCGAATTCTTGCAGCTCGATGACCCAGTTATCTGTCGATGCATCCGGTGCGCGGTCGGGGAGCTTGTCCCGTAGGCCCGCACGGACTTCGAGGAATGAACGGTATCGTGATCGCTTGGCTTCGTCTTCCGCGTAAGGCATCCAGCCACGAATCCCACGATTAAGGGCTTGTGTCGCGAGGTCTTTGTCCAATTTTGGCACGAGGTTCCAAAGGTCTTTTTGTTTTGGAGCCTCTCTGGTTTCGAAACCTTCTGGTCCCTTCTCCCCAAGGGCTGAGGGTAGGTCAGTGCGTCCTGTAGCTTTAGCAATCTTTTCACGCCCTGCTGGAGTCATGTAGTCGAACACTGATTTACCCGGTAATTGGTCTTCACCCAGTAGTGCAGCTCTCGATGTAGGGTCTAGGGATGATGTCTTTGCAGCTTCAGTATGTGATATATAATTTTGTATGGGGCCTGGGCGAGATGGCTCTTTCGTGGGCTTCCAATCTTTTGGAATCTCTGGTGCCGCATACTTTTTCTCATGTGAGGAGATGGTCGAACATGCGGTATTTATACCGTGAAGGAATCCATCCAGCGGTAGGCGTCCATCGTGACATTTCCTGAATCCTGCTTTTGTCTTCTCAACTGCTGCTTTTTTCTTCGAGATAAAAACCGGCTTGGTGCTGCCTAATAGTGGATTTGAGAGCCCCATTGACGGTTTCATTGAAGAGCTGTTGTTGCTGGTTATTTTCTTCGCTTTCTTGTCATGATCGATAAATCGATTGTAGGAAATCTGCGGGCCCATTTCATAGGGATCATCGTCATCAGAACCAGTATCGTTTAGAACTCCAACGCCAAAACCTCCCCTTCTAGGTTGTTTTGACTTTGGAGAGGCGTTTCCATTTCTCGGGAGTTTAGGGCCAGCGAATTCATCGAAATTTCCCCTCGGAGTCAAGGCTCTTCGGTTAGTTCCTGCATCCAGCCTTGTGGCTACATTGAGCCGAGCTTCACCTTCATGTCCAAGACCTTTATAGTCACTTTTCTTCAAAAACGTTATTGTTGGAAGGTTAGCCGGCGCAAAGAGATGGACTCCACACTGTTCATCAGCTGCATCGCCAAGGTCTGCTTTTCGTCGCACTTTCGGGCCGATTCCTTGTCCCTCCTTCCAGCCCATACGTTTCAGTAGCTTGACGCCAATTGTATCCCCAGCGGTTTTGAAAAGATCCATGAAACCACCTAACCGCGTGGTATCAGCCGCCGTCGAGCCAAAGCCAGTATAATCCCCAGCTGTCTGAAGTCTCCTCGTATTTTCCGCTTCGAGCAGATCCTCCTCATCCATAAAGTCTTCTGGTCTTTGTTGTGGAGTTTGTTGTTTCGCATCTTTTGCGCGATTGCGACGGGAAGATACAAAGGTCGATGGAGTCCAGCCCTCCTTCGAACCGACTGTATTGAAATACCTATATGTAAACCGATTTAATTTAGCTGATCTGTGCTCGGCCCAGTCAATGATGAGCTCACCCAGCACTGAATCCTCCAGTGAAGGCGCCATGAAGACGTTTCCTTCCCTGGTCATCCCGCACCTCCTGCTTCCAAACCGGGACATAGGAGCCATCGTCGCGAACTTCAGGGTCAAGGGGGGGTAAGGGAGTGCCGTATATGGCGTAGGGAGCGTGGAGATGCTCGTCTTCAAAAGTAGCTCTCGATCTTTTTGTAGCCATGCTTGTCGTCACAGTCATTTGACATTGCTTTATGCCTCTCTTAGAGGGTCCACTGCGATGAAATTTGAGTTTCCCCCAGAGTTTGCTCGCGAGCCTTCACCGACTATGGCAATGAACCAATCAGCTTCAGCCGTTGCGTACAACGACTGATGGGACGAGTTAATACGGGGCTCCTGAGATAATCAAGTGTAGGGGATTTGTGAGGGCAAGAGGAGCTGGTGATATCCAAAGTCGTGTGCATGGCATCCACAGAATCAGAGCACAAAGTACAGTGCAACCAACCTGGCCACAGCTGCACCGCCATAACTTACGGGCTCATGTAGCAAGGTGCGTGACTAATCTAGGAGTCGGACGAAGGCGGGGCTAAGTGAGATTAGCATCCATGACCACGGACCAAGAAAGACAACAAAAAACAACGCATCTGATCGGGGGGTGATAGATTTCCAAGGTTGTCTGCCTGACTTTCTCCCCCCGTGACTGAGGGAAGATGAATGTTCTCCAACCATCTTATCAATCTCTCGACAGCGGCCGTCATTTTGTTCGCTTCCTGCCAGCCAACCAGCCATCCAGCCATCCAGGTAAACAACTCGAAACAGAACTTTGGAGTCCCATGGTACGTGATACCAGATAGAATACGACTGGCCTTCACCCGTATCCACAACATACAACATACAGAACGTGGACTGGCCCCATCAAAGACCGTTCAACAACCAAACCATTAAAAAGTGAGTGATCCGGACTCTCGATTTTTCATCTCAACGGCTGTGTCCTAGGTGGTAATGTGCGGTTGTTTCATTTACCCTTTTATCAATTATCGATCTATAGAAAGCTACCGGGACATCCACGTATTAATTACGTGTACTGTCATCCAGTTACCGCCACTCGCACTCGCAGGAAGCAACCATCGCGCTATTCTGCATGACCACCGACCTCCCTCAGAATCTCCCCCGACTTCTGTCCTCTGCCATTCTGCGGCCAGACATCTGGCTTGTTGCTCGGTTGGTGGAAACCCTGCTTCTTCTCCTGTGCTGCTTGCTAACTGCGGACCACAGCTCCCACCCCCTATAGATGAAGCATTGCGCAGGGGTGACTTCCTCGCGGCTTGGAGTGGCTTGAGCCTCCTCCCCGTCCAGCTTACAACAACATAGATCGCCATCAAAACAAAGACAACCGCGAATCAGAGCCACTCGTATAACCCTTCCTCTCTGCCCATCAGAAGTGAAGCGATTTTGCCATTTCCCTGCTCCTCCGGCCTGTGACCTTAGACGTGATCGCGATGTCTGCAGCAGCATCGGGACCTTCGCAAGTCATTGTTCGCAGCCACTCCATATCACACCCAAATTCGTCATATCGACCTTCTACAGAACCCCCTCACAGAACACGAAGCACGGCTACTAGACCTTCACGGTCCTCTTTTTCTCATAACAGATCCAACTCCAGGCCACTCTCCTACGATCGGCCCCCCACTTCCAATCCAGTTAGCCCTGTCAGCGTTGCACGCCCATCTACATCTCGCAGAAGCTCTTCCAGAGATCGCTCGATAGACGCTACGCAGCAATATCGGGCTGAGACTTCACGGTCCCATCGCCGAGTCCCCTCTAGACCTACGCGCGGTCGGGAGTGCGTCGACATGGCGAGCCCTATAACCCCTGTGAATGCTATAAATCCCGCAATTGCTCCTGCGGTGGTTGATAGCCAGTCTTACGCAAACGGGACACAACAACGCGCTACTAGTGGTGCCTCGCAGACGGTGCCGCAGTCAAAGCGACGTACTACTATCACTACCTCAAGTGGACAATGGGCACTTGGGAAGACCATCGGCGCTGGGAGTATGGGCAAGGTAAAACTTGCGAAAAATCTTGAGACGGGTGAACAGGTGTGTAGATAATTCCGCCAGAGAGATGTTAGCCATCCTTTCCTCAGATACAACGCTAACACTCCATTTGTCCTACCACGCAGGTGGCTGTGAAGATTGTACCTCGGCATTCGAGCGAAGAACATCGTGGTAACCGCGACGCAGAAAGAGCAGACCGCTCCAAAGAGATACGGACCGCAAGAGAGTCAGCAATTGTCACCCTCCTAAACCACCCTTATATATGTGGAATGCGAGATGTCGTGCGGACAAACTACCATTGGTATATGTTGTTTGAGTACGTGAACGGAGGACAGATGCTTGACTATATTATTTCCCATGGAAAGTTGAAAGAAAAGCAAGCCCGGAAGTTTGCAAGACAAATCGCAAGTGCGCTTGACTACTGTCACAGAAACAGTATTGTCCATCGAGATCTCAAAATTGAAAACATTTTGATTAGCAAGACTGGGGACATTAAAATAATTGATTTTGGGCTTAGCAACCTCTACTCTCCTAAAAGCCAGCTAAAAACTTTCTGTGGCAGCTTGTATTTTGCAGCACCCGAACTGCTACAAGCACGGCAGTATGTCGGCCCGGAGGTGGATGTTTGGAGTTTCGGCATTGTCCTTTATGTCTTGGTCTGTGGGAAGGTTCCTTTTGATGATCAAAGTATGCCTCAGCTCCATGCAAAAATCAAAAAGGGGGTTGTGGAATATCCCCAGGGGCTTTCTTCAGGTTTGTATTCCACACATATGTCTCTCCGTACCGCTCTGTGATAACTAATTTCGGCCTAGACTGTCGACACATAATATCACGAATGCTAGTTACCGACCCGAAACAACGGGCTAGTTTGAATGAGATTATTAACCACCCGTGGATGACAAAAGGCTTTAGTGGCCCTCCTGACAATTATATGCCGCATCGTGAACCTCTCCAGCTTCCACTCGACCCTGAGGTTATTCAAAAAATGACTGGATTTGATTTCGGCCCTTCTGAATTTATCACCGCTCAGTTGACCAAGGTTCTCGAATCTGAAGATTACCAGAATGCTGTGAGATTAAGCCAAAGAGAACATGCTGCTCCTAACCCGTCAAATGAGAAAAAGAGAGGGGTTTTCGACTTTTATAAACGTCGTAACTCTGCAAGTAAAGACACACTTTCTAGCCCATCTGTTGAGGCCGTGCAGCCAATTGGTGACGTTCTCACTGGCTACAATCCTCTGATCTCTGTCTATAACCTTGTGCGGGAGAAACGAGACAGAGAGACACCCGAGGAACGCCCGGCCGCACTGGGCGTACCTCACTTTACCCCTGCAGAGCCCGCACTGAAAATGCCTGAAATCCCAGCTCCAGAGGCCGCCCATACTAATCAACACGCTTATGAGATACCTGGCGAAAAGGAAGCTGGCGGAAGAACACGGCCAAGAGCACGAACCCATGGCGAGGATGAGGTTAGGGACAGAATCAAGACTCTCAATATAGGACAGCCAGCTGAGACGGGACACCCTTCCATTGTCACCACACCTGTTGAGCACATAAAGAAAGAAAGTGCCGCCGTTGGCTTATTAAGACGATTTAGCACCAGAAGAACACGGGATAAGCCACGAGATGCCGAACGTGAAAAGGGTGCGACCGCCCAGGGGCCCACCTTGAATGTCCAGCCTCCAGAGGACCTTACTGCTCCTCGAAAGAGTTTCAATGTAAGAAGGGCGAGGCACGAAAATGCCTCACCCGGAACGCTTCAATCTGGAGGAAGTCAGCCACAACAAGAACTTCTGCGTGCTCCCCGGTCCGGAGAAGTCACCCCGAGAATGAAAAATGTTCTGGGAAGGTCAGCTAGTGTCAATTCTGGTGAAAATCGAGTCCGCAGGAATGGGAGAAGAGCCTTTGTCGATGGTGCTGGTTCTCAGACCATGCAAGACCCACCTTTGACAAGTGGATCTGATCGCTCTAGCTTGAGCGTCTCAAAGTCGCGCCCGCAGCAGAGCGATCAGTCAGGCCAGGATTCGAGACCTAGCACACGCGTGCAGACTCTGAGGGCAAAATCACTCGGCCATGCCAGACGGGAAAGTATCCAAGCTCGGCGAGCACGCCGAGAAGAAACTCGGGAAGCAAATGTACCTGAGGAGACCGATGCTGACCTGAGTGGTGCCGGAACTGCACTTGAGAATATGAATACGGGAGAAGACTTCTCAAAGCCTGTTTTCCTTAAAGGCCTGTTCAGCGTTTCTACAACTAGTAGTAAACCTCTACCTTTCATCCGCGCAGATATAATGAGAGTTCTGAAACAGCTTGGGGTTGAATTCACGGAAATTAAGGGTGGATTTAGCTGTCGTCACGCCCCAAGCATCGACCTTAACCGTGTCATGGATGTACGACCGCACAGCCCAGATCGGGAAGGCAAAGTAGGTGGTCACCGCCGGCGAATCAGCTTCGGTGGACTGCGTGGCTACGACAAGGATGAGAACCGGGAGGAGCCTAGAAACACACATACTTCGAGAACCCAACGGCGCCAACACGGAACCCCCGATCGAAGTTTTATCACTAACTCTGATGGTTCTGACGAGTATATGTCCGCTCGCGATAATGGCGGTGGTGAGCGCGTTGTTGGCGAAACGACCACGAGAGTCCAAAGCGATACCGGTGGCAACCTCGTTCTCAAGTTCGAGATATTGATTGTCAAAGTACCCCTCTTCTCCCTGCATGGCATACAGTTCAAGAAGGTGGCAGGGGGCATGTGGCAATATCGAGAAATGGCGAAAAAGATTCTCGATGCTCTGCGACTATAGGAGTCGTCCTCATCCTTCCTCTTCGTACTAGGACCCGGCGGAGGAAGCAGTAGATTGAATAGATTTTGTATCACCTCACTCTGTCCAGGCTCCCCAATCTTTTTATATTATTTACATTTTCAAGTCCATTTCGGCGGTGCGCAATATTTATTATATTATTGCTTTATTTACTTTCGCGATCCTGTTGATTTAATGTATATTTATATAATTTCAGTTTTTTTTTTTTTTTTTTTTTTTTTTTTTTTTTGCATTTGAGAATTATACCTCAGCGGGCCTTGTGTTATTTGTTTCTTTTTTATTATTTCCTTCCTCTTTTATATTTTTATTTTATTTGAATTTCTTTATTTGAATCATTGTTGTAACGGGCGTACTACCAATTAATGACCTTAGTACTATTTGAAATACAAATTATGTTGGTCATATTGTTATGTGATAATGTAGCACTCTAACCACTAGGTTACCCATAGCAAAAGGCCAACGTAACCATTTGTTGAATGGTTGCGCTCATAGTGAGATATATACCCGTGGGTGTGGTGGTGTGGCCTAGCCGACATAGGCAACACGGTAAAGAGGGTGGTGCAATATGAGAGGCATCTGCATCATGATTGCGAAATTCGATCAATTGTAGCACATATGAGAGGCAGCAAGCGTATCAGGGGCATTGCATGCATCAATGATTGCAAAAAATAACTTGATCAAAAAGACAGTTGAAGGTCTCTTTTTGAGGTACTTGAATCTGGTAATTCTGCTTCAAAATCGTTTTACCCACTATTGTAGAGAGTACGGAACCACCAACCACTAGGTTTAAATTTAAAAGCATTTGATGACACTGAAGCACCAAAGGGCTCATACATAATCTGATGAAGGTTGAAAGATTCAAGTTGATTGATTGTAAGTATCCTAGCGGGCGTAGCACTGCTTAAATATATGTGGTCACAAGGCATTCTAGCGAGCGATATAAAGGTTGTGCCGGATGTAATGTTTGTGAAAGCAAAGCAGTGCCAAGACTAGGGGAATATATAAAAGTTTAACCCAAGATTCCAATATCAAAGCTTAAAAAGGTCATAAATCTTTGAATAACTCCACCAATTTCTAGTGTTTTGAAATAAAAACTTTAATATATAATAAATAGAGATAAAATGAATTGAATTCTTATTTTAAACTCAAAAAATATTGAAACTTGATGAAGATACAGTGAAATATAATATATTAAAACACTGATATATAGATTAATATAGTATTAAATTTAGAAATAACAAAAATTATTAACTTTAAAATAAATTCAGCAGATTTCTTATTAAAATGACTTTATTTTAATATATATTATATCTAGTTATTATAAATATTAAAAAAGTTATTAACAAATATAAAAATTTATAAAAAAGGTAAAAATTTTTCATTTTTAAAAAGATTCATTCATAACTAAGTATACTGTATATTATATATCAAAATATAATGATTTTAAAAAGGAATTCATTAAATCTATTTTTATTTAATTCTTTAATGTTAAAAAATTAATTTTATTAAAATATCATTATAAATTTTAAATTTATAACTTATAAGTTTTTATAATATTAAAATAAAAATAAATTTCTTAAATTTCTTATAAAAAATACTTTATTTTAATATATAATATACTTAGTTATCTATATATATTGATAAATCTTTTAAGAAATGAAAAATTTTTATCTTTTTTTTAAATTTTTATATTTATTAATAACTTTTTCAATATTTATAATAGCTAGATATAATATATATTGAAATAAAGTCATTTTAAAGAGAAATTTATTGAATCTATTCTTATTTTTATATTTTAAAAATTTATTGAATTATTGATAAAAATACAGATTTTATTATATTTTTAATTTGATTTTCTTATATATCTCAATCAATTTTTTATATTTTTAAATTTTGATTAAAAATATATATTCTTATAGAATACTATATTATTATTTTTCATTTTTAATCTTATTGATGCAAAACTGGTGGAGTTATTCAAAGATTTATGGCCTTTTTAAGCTCTGCTGTTGAAATCTTGGGTTAAACTTTTATATGTTCCACTAGTCTTGGCACTGTTTTGCTTTCGCAAGCATTACACCCGGCACAATATTATATGGATGCCAATTAAATGTTAATATAGATTTCAATTCTCTGTTTATCTGCTATATTAAATAATATTCTAAAATACATTAAATTATATATAGAATGAGGCTACAAGCAGATCTTCACTAAATAATTACAGTTATATATAATATATTATATAAAAATTAAATTTGAAAGAAATTTAAAAGAAATTTTATTCAGAGTAGTTATTAATTTTAAAAAAATCTTTTATCATAAATATTAATATTATCAAGTTTTCTCAGATTATTTATATAATAGTGAAATAGTACTAAGTAAAATATTGGTATTGCTTTATTTGAAAGTAAAAGAGAGTGGTATTATTATAGATAATAATTTATCTCTATCTTTTATTAGTTTCTTCAGTGATAAAATCTATTGAAAACTTCAGCTTCAATGATCCTATGAAGTCTGTATTGATGTTCTCATTATTTTCAGATAAATAAATGAATATTAACTCATTGAGAGTTTTGTACTTCCTCAATTCTATAATAAATTGTATATATAAAAGAACGATAAAGGATATATAATAGCTTAAATTCTTAAAACGATTAAGAGAATTAAAATAGTGCAAAATTATAAATACGGTTGAACATATGAGTATTCAAACATTCTTCTATGTTTATGAGTAGTTTTTAAAATGACTACAACAACCATCAAAGCTTACAGTGTTATTTAAAATTTTAACTTTGACTTTACCATTTCAACTCAACTTGAAGCATCTATGCCCAGGATAAAATGGTCATTGATCTTACAAAAGATTCCCCTTCAGAAGATGAACTTAATCGTGATGTTAAACCTGTGAGTTTACCCTTGCCAACTGCAATACTTTTTTTTGTTAGTTATCTGTGGGATTCGGTGGCAAACGTGGTTTGACTTGATAACCCCCCGTCGCCCTCATTCAGTGAGCCCATGCCTCTCATGCAGCCCGGCCTTTCAACAAAATCAGGCTTTATGGGGAGATCTTGCTCTCCCGGCACCACTGACATCCATCGATGTTCTGCTTTATGCCTCTCTCGCTTTTCTTGCCATTCATCACTGCTACTGCTTGTTTATCTCTCATCCACACTAACCAAATTAGGAAATCTTGACCTCATTTCAAGATGAAGGGTTCAATTTGCTCCAGCAGTTCACGCGTCCGAGGCCGCGGTTGAGAACGAGTGCGAGCGTGGAAATAGCTTTGAATGCGAGGAACAGCACAGAGTCGATGGATGGCGTTATGTTGAATGGCCAGAATGTCGCGGTGTTGAACAACGAACCCTCCCCTCTTCATTTCGCTGTTGTCGTACCGTCGATCTCCAGTAGCGACACAAGTAACAAGAAACGTCGCCTGAGTTCTGAAAACCACCTCAGCTCCCCAGTTAATGGGGTTCTCGGTTTTCCTATCCACCATGGTCTATCGCCCTTTTATTCAGTAGAAGGGAACATCAAGGGGGAAACCTACCAACCCAAGCAGTGGGTCGACAGGCGCAATATTCGAATCAAACAGCCCACAGTGCTGTATCGCCCCGGTCGACCCAATCACACAAGTGAATATCTCCTATCTCTATACTCGAAAAAGTTACGCAAGATTAAAGGACCTAATGTGGCTCTAAACATTAAGGCCTCAGACGCTTCAGAACTTGACTTCAACGTTGAGTTCATCAATGAATATAAGCTTCAGCATGGGGTTGCTCGTGTTGAGCCAGATTTCCATACAGGCTGTCGATGTGATGATAAGTGTGATTTGCACAAATGCGATCATCTCTCATATGAGGAGGAATCGGAAGATCGCATTGTGCCTTATCAGATGGGTCGGGGTGGAATGATTGTCCTCAGACAGGATTTCCTTAAACGAAGGGCTATGATATATGAATGCTCCCGGCTTTGTCCTTGTATGCCGGGTTGTTGGAACCAGGTCGTTCAAAAAGGACGAACTGTCAAATTAGAAATATTTCGTACATCGAACCGTGGCTTCGGTAAGTGAAGCTTAACTTCTTCCAGTGCTTCTGCGTCGTTTCGGGTTTATTAACGAATTCGAACCCTTTTGCTTCACAGGCCTACGCTCCCCGGAAAGTATACAATCAGGTCAATACATTGACAGGTACCTAGGCGAGGTAATAACCAAAAAGGAGGCCGATGCTCGCGAAGCTGCTGCAGGGGATCCAGCGAGTTACCTTTTTCAACTTGACTTCTTCCAAGAGGATGATGAATGTTACATTGTTGACGGAAAAAAGTACGGGTCTATTACGCGCTTTATGAACCATTCCTGCAACCCTAATTGCAAGATGTTCCCGGTCTCCCAATATGACGCTGAGCAGAAGATATTCGACATGGCTTTCTTTGCTATAAAAGATATTCCTGCGGGAACCGAGCTTAGCTTCGATTACTGCCCCAACTATAGTATAGAGAGTTCAAGATATAGTGACCCTCAAGATGTTCCATGCTTGTGTGGTGAGCCGAACTGCCGTCGTAAACTGTGGCCAAACCAGCGGAAAACTATGCAGCCCGAAGTGGAGTGAGTTGCTTTATTCTTTTTGTCTGTACCCCTCCCTCTATTCCGGAATAATTTGCATTATGCATACTGCACCACTCACATTCTCCCTATTGCATGAAAAGATGCTCGCTTCAGGACAATTTTTGTGCCCATTCCACTGTCATTTCTTTTTTGTTTTATTGTTCTACTTTGGTTGAGATTTCGTTTTGATTTATTCCAGATATCCAGCTTCCGGTTTCCAGTCTTTCTTAGATGGTTTATTTTACCTTGTGATTTTATTTTTGTATTCTTTCCCTTTGTTTAGTTTCCTCTCCGATGCCTTTCATGCTTGAATTTTTATTCATTGCAGATGCGATTGCGGTATGAATGCTCGGCACTACATCTACTTCTAATTTCTGAATTGACTCTCTTGTGTCTATACCGGGGATGCTTCGGATTACCATTGATTGTTTTCCCCTTTTCTTACTCCTATCGTTCTAGAACATATTGAGCACCAGGTCAACTAGTTATCTAGATACCCCTCTTTGCATTGATGAAGCAGAGCATGTGAAGTTCCAGTTCTGCCTTCTTACTCCTTTGACTTCTGCCTTATTAAAGAGTTTATTACAACTATCGTTCAAAAGTCTGTTTCTACTTTTACAACCATGAAACTACACTCTTACAAATATTGAACATCTCAATAAATCTTGCTTAATTGAATGGAAGAAAAAAACACTTCTCTTCAATGATTCAATTGAAACTTGATTATAACTATTTCAATTTATATCTAAGTAAATTTAGAGATGATTTAAATAGTAGCTTGTGTTCATATTGTGAACTGGTTGAAAATTCTGAATATATTTAGATTAATCAATGAGACTAAATTATATATTTGATTTGATTTGATCTTATTATAAGAAGATACCAGTGTTAAACTGAAACTGATAATCAGTGCTAAATGATAAATCAGAATAAATAATTGCTTTCACTAAAATGTAACATTATATAATCTGAATATAATCTGAGATTGATTATAATTTTGATTAAAATTTAATTTAATTTTTATTATATATAGTAATTTCAGTTTATTGTTTTTCTGAAGTGTACACCACTTTCTATTTCTAGGGGCAGCCTGCCCCTTTCACCCCCTTCCTGGGGGTGGGCAAACGAACCTCTAAACCCCAGGGGATGAAGGCATCTTTAATTGCTTCAAAAGGGTGGACAGCTCAGGCACAACACTCTATAGCGGGAGCTTCATGAAACATCTAGCTGGGGCAAGACGGAGCAAAAAGCCTAGAAAGCCATGCTCTTAGATATTACATATCATTGCTAGATATCATCGCTAGATCTCATCATTGATATATCATCGCAGATATCATCAATATATGTCGTCACTAGATACCATCACCAGATATCATCACTAGATATCCCAGATTTTTTCTCCCGCTGTTACCACCGTAAAGATGCTTCTCCGGCTTCAAATTTGCTTGGTCCTGAGCATAATAAATCCCGCCAAACTCCGAGAACCCGACGGAGAGCCAGGTTGATTGAAAACGAGCTACATCGAGCCGAAGTTTCATCTTATCAACAAGTTGCATGTTGTTCCAGACTTGGCTAAACTGGACTCCAAGCATTTTGTCCATAATTAGCTACTCAGCCCTACAGAGTTTGTTGCATGGGCAATCCCAAGAAAACACCTTTGGTGCGGGTGTTCCGAGTACGTTGCGGACCCTGCAAGGATTAGCTTGAATGATAATAATGCAATCAGCAGGTTGTATACGCACAAAGTCCACCGTAGCTACCTCGATCGCTGTGGTAAAGTAAGCAATGCCGGCATTGGGGTTAGGAACTTTTGCAATAACAGTTTGGCCGACATCCATTGTCAGGACGAAATTCTTGTTATACATGCCGTCAGGGCACTTTTCAACGTTAACGCAACTTTTACCCCCACTGACTCGGCTGCAATACGGGCGAGCTCATTCATGTTGAATCTGAATGTAACGGGGCGCAACCTGGTCTCCTTCATCTAGTACGAAACGACCACGCGTAAATGAAAAGAAGTCTTCATAGTTATTCTAGCCTGGAACAAGAAGTCAGCTGGGAAATAAAGTCTGGAACAAGAATAGACCTTTGTCCGCCAGGACTGCAGTTGTTGATGTTTTCGTAGGATAACTTTGATGACCATTGGAGGTGAGGGTTGATAAGGTGGTTGACTGAAAGCTCGTGGAATTCAGCAAGGTCTTTGCAAACTTGGGAGCTTAGAAAACAATGCCATCATACATAAATGAGACTTATAAGAGGCATGACATGAAAATATCATCTGTCGACGAGAGAGACACTTGACCTTGCCAAGCATCAGTGTTGGAAGTTGTGGCTCTGCGCTACAACTTCCTATCAAATAAAAACGTGCGAGGAGATTCGTTTGTGCTCTGAAAACAAAAAATCGGATTTTGTTCTTACTGAAGGTATTTTCAATTTAAACTGTGTTTCTCAGTTTGTTTTCCATATATAGAACCTCATAGACCTTAGATACTTGCTCTGTGCTCTGGTAGATGGAGGAATCCGAGCCCTTTCAGAAGAATGGGCAGATGTACCTCTCTTTTCCAGATTCGTTTGTAAGAGGGGCATTCACGTTACTATTCAATTCAATGTGTGCTTTACTATGGCTAATCCCGCCTTTTTGACCCCGTTGGACACCTAAAATCCAGGATTTTTCCCTTCCCAATGTCAGTCATCATCTTAGATTCGACACTCAAGTGCTGGCAACAACTGTCAACTTCCAGTAATTTCCAGGGTATCTAGGGCCACCTGTTCAAAACCTATGGTTTCATATTCCTCCAATAAAGGGGTTGAAATAGGGAGGGAAAAAAATAAAGAAAAAAATAAAAATAACAATATTCGACATTTGAAAAAGGATGATATCGACCAACATTCTTATACCACTTTTGCAGAGGGATGCACAACAATGGGTACGGTATACCGTGCACGTAAAAAGGTGACGAAAGAAAGACAAAAGCAATCGCCAGATATTAAGTACCAACAGAAATAGGTGAGAGACCGACAAAATTAGACTGGACAAAAAAGAAAAAGAAAGCCGCTAGTTAAGTGAAGAATTGAAAATTGCGAGGAAAGCTATAAAGCCGTTCTTTTCATCATCATAAAATTCAAACAGCATTGGCCTTTAGACCTTTGAGAGATCCCAAACTCAACGCCAGCCCTTGCGATCGACTTCGGATTCGCACAAACCCGGTGATTGGTCCGTCCTCGCCTTGTTTCTCGATGCTGAGATTTGCAAGCGCGTCCTCGCCTGGGGGAACGAGAAGATAAATGGTTAGTTAGGAGTCCTCAATCTGGGAACTACAACAAAAGGAAAGAGTGAGGAAGTGAAGAAGAAATATGATAAAACTTACCGAAGACACTTCGAGCATAAAGATTGGCGCTCAGGAATTGACAATCCCCTTCAAGCGATGCCTCTGGCGTCAAGCAGCTCATATTCGTGCTCTCCATAAGCTGGGACAAGAACTCTCTCAGCGATTTTGCTTTGGAGTTAATATTGACTTTGTTTTCCCATTCGAATTCTGTCCACATGGTGCGGAACTGGGATTCGGTGCAGTGGGCTGGATGTATATAGTCCATGATATCTGCTTTGATGTCGTTCAAGATGACAACATGGGTCTCCGTAGAGCTCGCTCCGTCGTAGACGACGTTTCCAAATATAACGCCAGTGTCTGTCGATGAAACTTTCACGGTAGCTTGTACGTTCAAGAAGTCATGAGGCCCGAGGTTCTGTGTTGTTGGGCGCTCAACAACCTTGAGGTCCCCAAGAGTGGCGAACTCTACTGACAAGTTTTGCAGGGTCTCTGTTGTTTGATTGACGAGCAGGACATCCAAAACAATGTCAAACTGGTGAACCTTAACATACGCTTCAGCGTAGACGGGGTCGGAGAACCCAGTGAGCTGTACAACTCGACTGAGCTTAGATGACAGGTCTTCATAAGCAGAGTCACCACCAGTAGCCTTGGCAAGATCAAGTTCAATTTCGTCAGCTCCTTCTTCAGCAGATTTTTTAGCGAGCTGACGGATGGGGATTGTGTCGTCGACTTGGACGGCCGCCTTGGCTTTCTCGTCTGCTTCTTTGGCTGCGCGTTTCTTTTCTTCGACTTGGACCATAGCGCGGAACGCCTGTCTTGTATCTTCAAGGAACGTCGTTTCTAATTCCTTGTGTTGGGCAAACTCGGCCAGAGATCGAACACATGACATGATTCTGTCCACAGAGTCCTCGTCGATCAGGGCTTTGACAAATTGAGATTGGCCGACTCGGATAATTGAGATCATGATAAGCATTGCTTCAGCTCGTAGAGCATTGGTTCGAGCGGTGTCTTGGGAGACCTCAGAATGTCTCATGACTAGCTTTGTCAGCGTAGACGACAAAACAGTGGCAAGGAAATAGTCCCCATCGAGGATAAGCTGTCGGAGTGGCGGTTTTTGCGCTGCTTTGACTGCTTCTAGTTTGGCAGCCTCGCTGGACTGGCTGGTAAGAGCGCTCTCAGTAGCATATGTGCCATCTGCTAATACTTTCCTTGACCCTGTTGGAGCAGATGGCTTGGAATGGCCATTCACTTGCTCCTTAAGAGGGCCGTCCTCGGCGGGAACCTCGTCCAATAAGCGCCGCTCAGAAGCCAAAATGGGAATTTCCCCAAGGCTAGCCCTAACACGTTTCCAGGCTTCTCTAATGTCGTTGGCTTCAAGAGAGTATTCTCCAATTACCCACAAAACCCCCCTATAGACTTTACCTGCACGTACTTCGCTAAGAGTGGATACTAGGCGCTCGATAATGGATGGCCTTAGCTTGGGGAACTTCTCAACTACTTCCTTGACGAAAGAGATCACGTCAACGGCGGAGTTGTTGTTAAAGTCGGCAATGAAGTCCATAAGAAGATCAACGACACTGGCTGCAATTTCAGAAAACTTAATTGCACACTGATGGATCGATTGGATAAGCAATTGCCGGTATTCGTTGTTCTGCAGCATTTTTGGTCAGCTGCGATATTCATTGTTTGGGGGGGCCGGGGGTTGAGTTTAAAATAAGTTGATCGTTGATACCTTCTCATATTGTTCGTCAACTGTTTTAGCCAGTTCCTTCTTCAAGAGCATGACGATTTCTTCAACATTTTTGCTAGACACCATTTCCATTACAATGCCCAACGCTTTCCTTCGAACATCGATATCCGGACTTGATAGAACTCGTAAAATTTCCATTGTCAGATCATCTAGAACACCTTCATTCCGTATCCGCAGCTGGTCAACTCTATCGAGTACAATTAGCTTCACATTATTGTCGGCTTCTTTGATGCTCAATTCGATCAATTTCGATGCAGCTGCCTTCACCGCCACTGGATTGCTTGTGAGCGCTGTGAGCGACGTTGCTGCTTCATAAACAACGGTACTGGCTCCTGCATCCAAGAGATCGAATATCAGTCGGAGATATTTAGCCTATATTAATTTGTCAGTTCCCGAAAATTCGAATAAAGGATGAACCCGAGAAGGGAGCGAACCAACCTTATTCTGGGTATTTTGGATAGCATCCTTTCTTATAAACTCGAGTTCGACGAGCTGAAGCAATTCATCCGCGTTTGGTACACTGTCAAAAGCAGAGCTAAGATACTCTAAGGCCTTTTGATGGCTGACTGTAAGTAGTGCCGCAAAGGCGTTGCGTCTGCAAGTGGGGTCAACTTGCGATCCCAAAAATGTCTGGATGAGGTCTGGAGCATCAGGGATCAGAGACTCGGAGAGTTGGAATATAGACGCAACGGCCCAAACAGCATTTTTCCGCACGTATGCGTGCCGGTGGTCTAAACAGGCACGTGTGGAGGACAGCAATGGTTCGAGAAGTTCGGGTTCTTTAAGTTTGCACAGAAATCGGAGCGTGTTGCCGCGGATATATTCGTTCGGATGTTGTAGGTCATTCCGGATGCCGTTGCTACATGTAGCACTGCCATTTAGCAAGGCCTTATAAAATGTCATGGGGCATTTCACAATATCATACCAGACTAATATCATCTCCTGCTTCAGTTTTCCATTGCTATCCAGCTTGGGACAGATCTCGTAATAGAAGTAGAGAAGCTTCTTCAGCGGCTTGCTCTTGGACGGCATGACAAAACGAATGATATGCATAAGCAGTTGGGGCATTGGGTCTCCATTCAGCATTACAATCAATATCCGTCTCATGGTGTCTATTTTAGATTCATCTGTTCCTTTCTCAAGCTGCGTTTTCAGGTCCTGGAGGGTAGGCTGGTCGGCAACATTGTCCTGATGCACCAAGCTGTACGCATTTTCCAAATACGATGCCATTTTGTTAACCTCTGCTGCGGCTTGCTAATCGGCAGGCAGTCAGGCTGAATAGTGGTATCTAGACAAGGGCAGCAAATTCGGGAAAGGCTGGCGGGGAGAATGTGAGCTGGAGGATCCCATTAAAGTTGGGGAAACAGGGGAACATACGGCGATGGGTTGGAGAAGTAGAGGGTAGATGGGATTCGTGACAATGTGCCTGGGCCCCGCCTTAATACGAACAATCATCTGCGCCGGTACAGGACAATTGGGGGAGAGTGGATATTGAGTTGATATCTTTGCAGCGCTGGGTCAAGGTCCAACCTGTCTATTTGGCAGGTTGCGGCCATGGACGTTGTGTGGATGACTAAGCAAGATTTAACCACTTCAATGCTCCTACAAGATGAACCAAACAACTCCACGCAAGATAACGCCGCGATTTACGAGAGCAAGACAGGAGCGAAAAATGGCAAATCCGAATGAACCTTTCTATGTTCGCTACTAGTAAGAATAATCTCTACGGCCCAGGTTTCCTCAGCTGCTGATAATCGTCGTCCAGCTCAGGTCATTCTGGGCGGTTTGGACATGAGTTTCTCGGTAAGAATATATACGAAACGAACCTTACGATTCCCATTTACTCACAGTGTAATTAGAATTCGATTTTAGATCTCTCGGCGATGGCCGAAGCGCGTCTGCTCGGTATGCGAACAACTCCAACTATCGAAATGACTCCCTGATCCGCAAAGAGAGTAGGTTTGGAATATGCCGCCCCACCTAAATAGGACTCCGGCTAAGCAAGACAATAATAAGTGTGCGTCAGTTCCCTGATGATTGCAGAGATCAAACGCATTATCAAAGAGAGCGAAATCATGAAGTACAATAGACCAGCCCACTCCCAAGTACTTTCTTTTCAGCTTTGTAACCGTTATACAGGGAAGATGATTCGAGATGGCCGCAAAAGAACAAAGACGGACGGCAGGAGTTAGAGATCAGGTTGGGAAATGAACATATTTCCTTCGAGGTAAATAAGAACTGGGCCCTCAGCTGTTGCAACCCTATAGACACATGTGTATTTACTGGTTGCGATCAGACCGCAAAAATAGGATCCCTCGTCGATGTCACCGAGTCAGCCGACCCTGAAGGATTGCGAGTATTCTACTATCTTGTCCAGGACCTTAAAGCCTTAGTATTCTCACTGATCTCCTTGCATTTCAAGGCAAGTGAAACGCACAAGTTTTCTCTTCCAAGGAACACATTATCTAATCCGTGTGTACACAGATCAAACCTATCTAAAAGATTCTCATTGGCAAAGGGTATTGAGAAAGAAAAGATAAAATTGATATGGCGTGATTTTTCTTATTTGATTTGTTCGGCTGGGCATTGGCGTTGAAACTGTGAGGGGTTGATTGATCCTTAATGTGTAAAGCTTTCTTTGTAGATTACACTCCAGAGATTGATTATGACTGGTATTTTTTCCAGCGAAGCATACGCTGGTTGATTGTCCAGCTTGTTTTTGAATGGAAAGTACAGTGCATTTTTGCTGTCCAATCTGTGGCGTTAAAAACCTAGCTTTCCCCCGCGATCGCATGGCCCTAACCAGGCTGGGCAAACCTTTGCTCGAAATCTCGGCAACAACCAACTCACAACTCCTGCGTATTGCTTGTCTTCATATATCCTACGGCAACGCACTCCACGGCATGTTGTCCACACACACATCTCGCTTTTACGCCGAAATCTAGTTCTATATTCCCAACCTCTGCGCCTGTTAGCTACCCTGGCAGCTGTATACGTTGTTTCCCCCCGATGCGTGCTTCTTGATCATTAGCCTTTTGATTCTTGTGTCAATATTTTATCCTATCCCCCATGCCCACCCCGAGCGGTGATCCTCAGTCCCCAACTACCATATATCCCGTCGACGCAGCCGTATCTACACATACCACCTGCCCCCCGGAGACTGACAGGCTTGCCACCTGGAGAGCATCATCGGAGGAGCGCATTGAGCCCAATGCTGACGATGATGTATCGTCAGCCACTGTACCACGCCCGGCGCTGGCGCAAATAGACCAGCCGCAAAATGCACATTCGCAAACTGTCCCTTCCCCTTCCCTAGGAATCGAAATATCCCCGCAATCATCTACCCAGACAATGGACTCGACAGACCATGATGTTGCGATGGAGTCGCCAAGCCCGGCGGCCAGCGTGTCGTCATCAGAGGGAGCTTCATCGGCGCAGACCTACCCAACTTCATCCTCCACATCCAGCACGACATTATCTATGGACTACGCTTTTTCTAATGTCAGAGTTAGTATATCGCCCCTTAAATTCCTATCTTGATAGCCAGCTAAATGTATATTTTTGAAAGCTCCTCCCCAATCATTGCTCGTCCTTCCTCAGAGCTGGCAGCAAATTCGTCGGAACACAGCAGTCAGACCGCCAGATATACAATGTGGACGTTGAAATCAAACATGTTGATATGGCAGAATCATACTTATGTGGTTACCTCCGAATTCAAGGTATGTCCTTGAGTTGAGCCTTTCGAGGCTACTTGATTTTACAACATCTAACCCAAGTTTTGAATCAGGACTCACCGAAGATCACCCAACCCTTACCACCTACTTTGAAGCAGAAATAATCGGCACAAAATACACCTTCCTAACTAAGCATCAGTCGTGGGGCGCTACTGATAAAACTGATCTGCAACACTGGGCCCGGTTCCCAGCCTGGAGACCGCTGGCGAGGTCTGCTAGGAAGTCGGAATTCACATATAAAAATTTCACACAGCATCCAGATATCTTCATGAGATGGAAAGAATACTTTCTAGTACCAGACCACCGCGTTAGAACGATCTCAGGTGCAAGTTTTGAGGGATTTTACTATATCTGTTTTAATCAGATAAAAGGGACTGTCAGTGGAATATACTTCCACGCAAAAAGCGAGAAGTACGTGCTTTATATTTCAATTGTCTTTCCGTGCCGAAAATTTGCAATGGGTGCAGGACCTGGATAATTAAATTTACTAACTATGATGTTTTCTTCTATTTGCTCAGATACCAGCAGCTTGAGCTTAAACCCGTGGAAAACAAGGGGTGTTTCGGGGCCATCGAATTCCGCTAGGTCCGTACTGGGGTTTTATGCACATCGAGCCTACCGCGACCGATTTTCGGAGCGTTAAATGGACATACACTTTTCGCTACCCTATTGTTTATGTGACCACCAGTTTTCACCATGCTTGATATGCTTGATATGCTTGGTCTCTATTTATTCATCATCGAGATTGGCTGCGGTCTCGTTAACCGCCTTTGAGTTGCCTTGGTCGATACCAATACCAAATCCTTGTCAACAGGAACTACCCATATATGCGGCAGGGGGCTGGCGCGATGACTTTGTTTGGGGTTTTTTTCTTTTTAAGTTAATGACTATACCATTCTTCCTTCTTACTGCCCCAACAGGTTTTTTTGTCTATACAACATAGTCGGATGTTTGGCGTTTCGGTGTCCTCTCATCTACCTGTTTACCTTTCTTATTCTTAACGTCGCGCACCCCTACTTTGACTCTTTGCTTGAATTTCTGCCGTTTTCGTTTTTCTTTTCTTTTCTTTTCTTTTCTTTTTCTTTTTTTTTTGACTACCTACTATTAACCTTTTTATTTAAGATATAACGGAACAAACCCATAACTATGCTATTCAGAGCCTCCTACTCTCTCGTTTCCCTTTACTTTTTGGTTGAATATCTCCCCAATTCCCTTTTTAAGAAGATTGAGTTTGTTTCTGAGTTTCGTTGCTATGGGTTGGGTCTTCCTAAATTTTATTTTAGTTGCGGTTTCGCCAAACCATGTTTGAGCATATTCTATTCATTTTTTCCCTTGATATTTCACAATCACAGCTAAAAGCTTTATTCCTACTATCCTATCTCAACTTTTGATACCCTCCTTTCGCACAATCTACGTAGATATTAAAACGAGGGACCACAGTATTCTTCGACCAACCCTTTAGTTATGTAGATAGACCCTTGAAAGTTACGAACTATCCCAGCGGCTTTACGTATACTCAAAGCTACATAACTTCCACCGCAATCATGGGTTGAAAGGTTGAAGAGTAATAACGCCCATGGATATACTTGGCCTTTTATCTTCGACTACATATATCTAGGAATGGGATAAATGGATATCTCACATCGATTTTTGCTCGATAATATGTATCCCAAAATTTTTTCATCTCATCCCTCTCTCCACCATTCTAATGCCTCTGCGCCTGTATTTATAGATATATGCCGAACACGCTTCTTTTGAAAGTTCAAAAATAGTTGAGCGGAAAAAGGCAGTGTCGTGGATGAAGGGAGAAAGAATATATCTCCCGACACATCATTTATCCAGCATATCATTCATATCCTCATGTGGGTATAATTACACTCCGTACATTTCTTATGCACACCTCTGTCGCTTGAAATCAGGCGCATCCTTCAAAAAAAAAAAAAAAAAATCCAAACACCCCAGAAAACATATAAGAGGCCGAAATGAGAATACAAGTGAAAGAAAGCAAGTAGCAAACCAAAGGAAACACAAAAACCATTACATATATTTATCCACCCTTTCCCAAAAACTTAATAGATGTAGCACTGGATGCTTTTCGCATTGAAACTGAAAGTCGTGGGAACGGTAAAACCGTAACTATCTCCGCTCCAGGTGGGACATCCCCTTTTAGAGTAGGCCACACATTGACAGCTGCCAGCCGATGAGGCAGATACGAATGGTTTCCCGTTAGAGGACACCAAATTAATACAAGTACCCGCCCTAGTGCTAACTTTATAGCAGTCTGTTCGGTTCTTATTCTTACAAACTACAGGTGTGCAGTCAAAAATTCCACGCCTGTCGAGTTCTAATTTTCCCACCATACATAGAATTTTCAGCCTGTGGATATACACATACACACACATACACACCCAAAGAATTAAAAAAAAGAGGCTCGATGGAGGTTTTGTTTGATGGTTTTGCAGTGGGTATTGGGTGCGTTCTGGATGGTTCACCTACATGCCTCCGTCAGGGATCGGTTCTAGGTCGTCCTCAGTGAGGTTGACCACCTTCAAGTCTTCTCCTCCTACATCGCCAGTGGGGGGGACAGCGGATGCCACGGCAGAGCCAGCGGCAAGCAATGCCGTAAAGAAGTAAAGAGCTGAGCGCATTTTTGTTGTGATATTGGATTTGTGAGGGCCTGGACGTTGAGTAGCTCAGGAGTGAGGAAGTTTTGGGATAAGTTGCGAAGTTTGCGAAGTGTTCGCTGTCCAAAAAACCCTTTGGGGATGGAAATAAATTTTTATTTATACCTTCTATTGCGTCTGAAGCTCACAGAATGCTATCCAAGCTGGTGTCACGAAGTCTCATGGAGAGATGCAGTATGCACCTGCATCTGAAAACATGGAGGAAGATGGCGGTGTTCGAAAACAAGGAGCAACGAACACGAAACACGGACTGTTCTCTCGCATGACTTTTTCTTCGAACGACGCTGTTTTGTATTTGATTGAAGCATTCCAATCCAGATGTTGGATCTATACGAAATGCATATATGCCAAGAGGCACAAACAAGCCTTGTAGTGGCTGACGGCGCAGGCCACATAGCTCAAGGTGCATCTTGAAGTTGGCCAGTTAAAACACGACGAAAGGATGAGTTGTTTCAACTGTGAAGGCATATAAATAAATATGCTGATCGGCATGGTTTTATTTGGAAACTTCACAACCTGCTTCGTATCCCAGGAGCCCGTATATTCCAGGCATTAGCTGGTGTGCATCTCAGCAACTAGACCCGGGCGCCGTTCCTGAAGCATATCCAACACAATATATTGACAGTCGAGTCAAACTTGATTGAATATATATCGTGAAACTTAAGCCTCTGGTAAAATTTGTGGAGGTGACAATCAGTCTCACTTTTTGAAGAGACGCTCTTCAGGAAGCTGGCAAATGAACAAATCTATCCCCTGGTTTCTATCTACCTATGTTTTGGATTTAAACTTGGAAGCGGCTTCCATTCTAGATTTTATAGATTCGTGTTGATATTGAATTTTATTAGTGTCTATAAAAGATGATTGCTAAATGTAGGCTGCCATATTGGTCTATTTAGGCGTCCGTACTAGCGCTCCTCTCATCGCTAGAACCAATTGTAACAGCATAACAGCACGACAGCATCACACTACCATGTCTTCAATTTAGAATTGCTATCCATATTACGGGATCCGAAGCACATGCCTATGTTGTTCTATCGCTTTTTAACCCCCGGCCCAGTAACCGTTCACAATCCTTAAGCAGCTGTACCGAACCAACAGCCCAATGTCCATCCTTTTCCGCCTTCTTACCCTTTTTGGCCTCATCCTGCTCGTCCACGCGTAAGCAAAATGGATCCATTCTCTAACCAGCGCTTCTCCTCCCAGTTCTTAAGACCATTGATCTCCTTTCCCACATGTGAATCCCCGGAATTGACATGTACCCCATGAATTGCGTTTATAGTGGTTACTCCGCCCATGAACATTCAATATTATATGGCAGTGTTCACTCCGTTCCCCTCGATATCACCCTCGAAACCCTCGTGGCGATCATATTTGTTACACTCGGCCTAGTGCTGGGGTCTGAGAGACTGCGACCGATTAGCTGGAGTGTGTGGGCAGGCGAGATTGAAAAGGAAGGCGGGGTGCGCAATCCATTCCGTGGTTTCGAAGACCGGATAGGGTTTTGGGATGTGAAGGTCCGTAGCAGCATTCCCTTTCTGTTCGTTCTTTTGTTTATTGCCTCTCTGCATTTAGCATGAAAATGCTTTGCTGACGATTTGTTATTTATAGGGAAAACGAGAGGAGTTTTCGAAGTGGGTACGGGAAGAGGCTACCGTTAGCGCAAAGTCATGATTTTTGTTGAAATTTATATTGTGTTTTGTACGTGGAATTACTGCACGTCAAGTAATGTATAGCTGTTGAAGCTCATAGAAATGTGGGTTGAACAGCCTGTGAACAATAGTTCGAGATTGTCGTGCGCACTAACATGTCTACATGACAGGTTCATATTCATATCCAAACATTAAAAATTTTAGCGAAGCGAATCATGGCTTGCATCACGCCGCACACGTTTTGAATTTCTACCAATCTCCCACATAGCGTCACATATTACTATGGACATAAGGCCATACATACCAGAACAGTGAATATAAGAGCCGCCCACCTCACGAATTTCAATTTCCAGATGCGGCAGCAGACGTCGGTACAAAATGAGCAGACAACTTGACCGACCACAGGGACACCCAAAGCAAGGATGTTGTGCCGAAGAATATCTTTTTTATGAATAGTTCCTCATCCCCGAATTCTGCAAATGGAGATGCTCCAGACAGGAAAGTAGTAAGTGTGTATAAACCAGGCATAGGATGAGGTAGAAGATCGTCGTGGCAAGGGAAGACAGCCATGACAAGACGACAAATAAATCTTCCAATTGAACCCCAACCGACTTCCAAAACTCCAAAACTCCATACCAAATCACATGGTTTTCTGCAATTGCCATAGTGATCGTTGAGCACCCTCTCTGTCTTCAGAATTTACAATTCTAGCATCCAAAAGTATGCATGCACAAAAGGACAGTAGTGAGGCTTACAAGATCTGGTTAGCGAATCGACACCGACATTTTCACGGAGGCAACGAGAACCCATATAAATATGGATTTCAGTTTTCGCATGCGCTATGGCCAAAGCGGGCAATCAACAATTATTGAATAATATTACTCTACAAATCTCCCCTTTCTGACCCTAGTTAGCCGTTCCTGTGATAGATACCCTGCTCTTTGATTCTAGTGGACTAATATCATTATCATGTCTGTATCATTATGACTCTTATCTTCGATGTTGGTGGGGACGGGCGAACCTTGAAAGCTCCCGCTATCAGCAGAAAAATGCAGATTATTCTGGATTTTCATTTTAGAAACCTCTTTTACTTCACGATAATAACTAGTGGATAAATAAAACGAGCACCTGAATAAAGCGGCCTGAGCACCGTCCATGCATGGACTGATCTCGGAAACCTTTCGTAGGGCTTTGGGGAATTTTAACCTGACCACCAGGTCGACGAAAGATCGCTCAACGAACCAAGATCTGTTTTTGGATATCAGAGGCGTTTCTTCTGGAATTCGAAGATTGAGTATTATATCTGAAAGGCAATTCCTCAATATGGCATGGAAACGAAACAAATGGGAATGGAACCTTGCCTGACTCTACCAGTCCGTGGCGCACTGAAACATTTTTGAGAGAACCATGCAATGATCGGCATACACCTTATTGCCCAGATATCAACATCTTAGGAAGAGGACCCCAACATTCGCGGGAATATATGCGTGATGTCGGCTCTCTCAACGTTCCATTATCTTCTTGTTTCATCCCACCCTAACTGGCCTTACAAAGAAGCCTCATAGGTTCAACGGTGATCTTTCCCCTCATTTTCGGAATCTTGCAGTTCCATCTGGCTTAAATTATCGGATACAGCTTAAAAAAAATTGTGATACAGAAGTGTGAAGCGAAACTCAATCTCCATGAAGCTTCGCTTGCTCCTGGTGGCAGGTTGCCATTTTACTGCAATGTCACTTGGTGACTCTGGACCAACGGCTGCAGTGATATTACCTGAACATAAAGCCATTGTTGATGTGTTGGCCGGTTATGGTGTGGATGTGTTTGAACTCGTCGATCCATCCGAGCTTGCACAATCAACAAGCACGTCCTTCTTCGTTCCAGCCATTACAGTACGTACCATTGTTAAGTTCGAGCGATTATTATAATTATTATTATTATGATTTGCTAACCTTAGCAAAGTGCCGCCTGGTCTCCGAAATTTTCCCTCAACAAGTTTTCCTGAGGAGCACGCCGGAGTACACGGAGTGGCGTAATCTCTTCTGGTCACAGCAGCAATCCGAATCGAAACCTGCCTGTATCTTGCAGCCAACTTCGAGCCGCCAGGTTGCCATAGCTTTATTGATAGCTCGCCTATGGAATTGCCCATTTGCTGTGAAGAGCGGTGGCCACGCTGCATTTGCCGGCGCGTCTAGCATCACAGATGGTTTAACCATTGACCTGCAGCGACTAAACACGATCCAACTGGCCTCGGATAAGAAATCTGTCAGGGTTGGCCCCGGAAACCGCTGGATTGACGTATATAAAAGCCTTGAGCCTCAAAGTCTGACCGCCATTGGTGGCCGTGTGTCTGATATTGGTGTTGGGGGCCTGACACTCGGAGGTAAGTCATTTTTCTAATCAATAGAACCCGACATCAGTTTCGAAAACGTTGATTTTCCCCATTTTCCCCCATCCCCTTCTCCCCTAGGTGGCATTTCGTTCTACTCAGCGCAGTACGGTTTTGCATGCGACAACGTAAATAGTTTTGAGGTTAGTCATGGTTATGCTCTGTTTGTTATCCTCCTTCCTTCTGGCGATATACGTTATCACCATCTTCATCATCTTCCTCTTCCCTTTTTTTTCGAGCTGTGGCTCATGGTAATTTAGGTTGTCATCGCCAATGGCCGGATTTTGAATGTCAACCAACAAAGACATCCAGATTTATACTGGGCTCTTCGGGGCGGTGGTAATAACTTTGGCATTGTGACACGGTTCGACTTAGCAACCTATCCCGTCGAAGAACTATGGGCTGGTTCACGGATATACATCGTGGACGACAGCACGCGAAAACCCCTCCTTGCCGCTGTGGTTAAATTTGCCGACGAATGGCCTTCCGATCCCCGGGCTGCATTAATTTGCAATTTTGCATATGCCCAAGGTATGTTCGTCGCAGCCATCGACATGGAATATACGAAGCCCGCGGAAAATCCACCGATTTTCGACACATTCAAAGCAATCCCCGCGATGAGAGATACCATGGGCATCAAGTCCCAATCAAATGTTACTCTTGAATTCAAGGCCTCTAATCCCAACGGCTTGCGTGAAAGCTACTGGACCGTCACAGTCAAACTCGACATCGAGATGATCACCTTCGTCGCGGATTCGTACATGGCTGGCATTGATCCAATCAAGAACGTGACTGGTATCGTCCCAGCGCTCACCTTGCAAGTCATCAGTCCCAGTATGATCGCGAAGATGAGCAAGAATGGCGGTAACGCGCTTGGCCTGAAGCCGTCTGAGGGGCCCCTTCTGCTGGTATTGGTAAATGTTATGTGGGCCGATAGGGCAGACGATGAGGCCGTCCTCAAGGCTGTTTCTGATATCATCAACGCGGTCAAGTATGAGGCCGAGTCCAGCAAAAAGCTCAACAAATTCATATACATGAACTACGCCAGCCAGTTCCAGAATGTGATTGAGTCGTATGGCTCCGCGAACTATGAGCGTCTGCTGCAGGTGGCAAGGAGATATGATCCCTCCCGGGTTTTCCAGGAGTTGCAACCCGGGTATTTCAAGCTCACTCCTGGAAGATGAGGCGGAATTGTCGGAGCACTGATGCTCCGGATCGTCATCCTCCCGCTGGCCCGCTTTCCGCACGGCTATGACGTGCTTATGATCGGGGTCGACTTGTCACCCGTATATATAACATATATATTATTTCACAAGCCAAACTTTTGATAATATAACTTTTTTGTATACATCTCCCTGCCAGCCATCGCATTCATTGTAGACCATGCACTCGAGTCACTTCGCTTGATTCTTGCCACCCATGTATTTCGTATCGTGTGAGGCCTGCTACTTGAAGTGGTAACGTCAAAAAAACCTTCTCAGCCCGCTCATCCCGGCCCATCTCTGCATTTGCCATCACCACGATCAGTTGGTCTGCCTGCAACCAGAGGGCCGAAGTATCGAGCATTGCCACAGTGGAAGTTGGCAGAAGATCAGACCAGGGGACCCAAGTCTCAAAAGACCATGTCAAATAAATATGACGTCTTAGCCACCTCTTCTGTCAACATCATCATCACCATCCGGTCACGTCATGTATTTTTACCCTGGATCAACGGACGAGCAGGGTAATCCATGTCCCTCCGGCTTCGACCTTTGTCACGCGGGCTGGGAGTGGAAAAAAAAAATTGATAGATCGGGATCCCAGTATCTCTCCCACAAGGATGCTGCTATTGATGACAGCAGGGTGCTTGGACCCTTCTGCGTCTTCAAACTCCTTGAACGTTACAGAGACCGAGTAAAATAGCAATCGTGGTATTATCGCCATGCTGTCGAATAACAAACAGCACTTGTTGTTCGGTCAAACGGACTGAACAAGGAAAAAAAAAAAAACCAAATGGGTTCTAATATCTCTCTTGCCTTCATACTAAAGGTTTAAACACCGTTGCAGGCAGCTTGCGGGGGTTACATTTTGACATGGGTTTCTCTGCTTGCTGTTGCAAGCAACTGAGACAAAAAACAATGTAGACTGGATGGGATGATTCAAAGGTCACACACTGATGGCAAAGTGCACTAAAATGAAAAGCCCCATAGTTCATTGATGTGTCTGATAAAATGACATGGGGACGAGGAAAAGAGAAGAGGCTGGTTTTACCTGACTTGACTGAACCTGGTGATGGGAATCATTTGTTTCCCCTCAATATTCATTTCATCAGAGGGAAAACAAGATATTATTCTTGGATTGCTGACTGGTTGAAAGAAAAGCAGAGAAAAGCATATACCACAAAGTGTATATTCCTTTTGAGGAAAAAAAAAACAAAAACAAAAGTAAAAGTAAAAATAAAGCTTTTTTAAAGTGATGAGCAATTTCTGATCTTGTTCTATTCTTGATTTCGATTTAGATTTAAGACTCCATTGTTGGATTTCATTCAGATTACTCGACCAGGTGCTTAAATCACATGATTGTGGTGGCTCTTGGTGGAAAGAGTTCCAATATGAACTGGATACCAATTCATGCTTCTTGTGTGGTGATTGCACAAGTTTCATGACGAGGATTTTGATTCGGTTTATTCTAAACCCATGGGAAATAATAAAAGGTCGTAATAACACATCTGGCAGCTTGGCGGGTGACATCCCAAAAAGACATCTTGTGATAGACCTCTGGTTGACAGTCGATTGAATTCCGTATTTTATTTTGCCCTTCTTTGTCCCTTCCACAGAAGTTGGTTGGAATCTTGCTGTTGGTTCCCTGAGAACCAAAGCAATATTTGCATCCGCGAACCAGACCCACGGAACACATTATCTGTGGAGTTGTTGCTTTTTCTCTTTTGATAGAAGATTCCATACGGCTCTCTCCTGATATCAATTCATTTATTGTTGGTCCAGTTGCATTCATGATTGTGGGTGGATTCAAGGGGGGTTGGGGTTTGGTTGGCTTGGCCCAACACACTCCACAGTGCACAGGAGTGCCACCATTCCCCTCCGATTTTCCTCTGTTGTCCAGAGTGATTTCCTTCCTTCCCTCCCACTCCTCTGCGTTAGCACCGAATTTGGTATTATTACCGGTATTTAGCGCTGGGATTCGAGACCCGCCCCATGTTTGAAGGATCAACCCGATGCAAGTCTCACCCAGCCCGTGTCGTGGTGGATTCGGGCAAGTAGGGACAATCCTTAACAGTCAACAAGTCGCAGAAACAGAACTAAAACGTGCAACGCCTTCTTGGATGGGCATGGATGCCATGTTTTAAACAGGATCCCAGGTATATAAAAGGTAACACGCCGATGAATATGATCAGTTATGAAGACTCTTTGGGGACAAGCCTATTAATAGCCCACGAAACATGGCTGGCAGTATTCCGCACAGCAACGAAATATCAAGGAAGGTGACTGAGGGTGCGGCAATAGCGCTGTGCCACCTTCAAAACACATTCATAAAATACACTCCCTAACTTTGCCTGTCCCAAATGCGAAATCGATATAACCCACCCCTCCCCCTGTCTCCATCCGCCAAACTGCATCCAACAGGGATTGGCTCCGAAAATCTGTTTGCAAATCACCCTTGTCATGTCTCACTATTGGGCCTCGTGGAGTCACAGCAACCGGAGAGGTCCAGAACACACTCCTGTGTGTAATCTATGTAATCTATGGGGATGGATAATTACACGCGGAGGTTAGGCTAATTACACCCAACATAGTGCCTACATGCTCCATTACATACAAAATAACCATGTCATCAAGAGATATCTGCCACTGGTAACGAACTATCATATCAATAAATATCATAACGATCATATCAGTCTAGATATTATCTTGGATATCATCAATAGATACCGCTGATAGACATTATATTATTGATACTAGTGCTAAACATAATCGGTAGATTTATAATAATAATTATAAATATATGAACTATATGAAAGAGTTATTTATCTAATAAGATATTGATTAGAATGAATAAGGATAAATTTATTATCAAATCTAATAGTTAACTATCAACAGCGTGCGCTACATCTACATATACTCTTGATGATATGATTTTTTGGAGATGCAATGAAAGTGTATGCACTAAATCTATAAAATATCAACGGCTTTTGGCTGGGTGTAATTAGCCTCATCCCTCCTTGTCTGATCCCATTCTGTTATTGGCGATATTGGTGATATTGGCGGGCCCCATAGTTCATAAAAATCAGAAATGGCCCAATCAGCCCTCATTGAACCGAAACACCTATTGTTGCAAAAAATGGGGCAAGATAAGGGCGGATGAGGCAATCTGGCTCCCAGGGCAACACCAGCAAATATTCAGATTTCAGACTTGGGTGAGTGGCGTGTTGGTCACTGCAGCTTGAACCTGATTATTGATGATTTCTTTTGTGACACGACACTTATGACGTGCTGGAACAACAATTAGTGGTTTGTGGTTGAAGCCCACAGTATCATGTCCGTCGATCGGAGCTCAAATTTTCAAGTCGCCTGGCGCTTCCATCATACTCGCCACACAGAGGACAGGAAAGGCCCCCTGTTTCTTGTTTTCTTGATTCCTCTCACTCTCATCTCTTCATCCGAGGGATGGCGATTACGTCTCCTCGTAGGTTCTTGATCGCAGGAAACAAGGCACCACAAGGATATGAGGCTCTTCCGACCATCAGTCCCAGCCTCCCAGGTCACTCCCGAGAACATCCCACTGACCAAAGACGCTTCCCTTGCGCTGGGCTCGCTTCGGTTGCGAATTAGCGCCAAGCCCAGTTGGGTGGCTGGTGTCAATGCACCGCCACGAAGGGTCTCGGTGGGAAATCTTGGTTAAGAAGCGGGAAATCCTTGGAAATCACTGGGAACCTCAACAGAGGGTCGAGTAACACAAAAAACTATATAGAGATCGCGATGGGATTTTGCATTTCCCAATACCAATGGACTTTTGTGCCCATTATAAATGCTCCAGCTTCTCACGAACTAACTAACTAACTAACCAGTTAACCAACCAGTTTAACAATTTTGTTACATAATCGTGACATGCGTTGCTTGGCGCTGGGCTGGAGCAAATGAAAATTTCTGACAGGGGCATGCCAACCAGATTGTCCTTCCACCAGAGCGCGTCGTCAAGAGGAATCAGAGAACCGTCCTGGGGATTTTGGCTAAATTGTCTGCAGAGTCTCCCTTGATTCAGAAAAGCTTGTTGTTTTTGTTGTTGTTGTTTTTGTTTTTGTCGCTGTTTGTCCTCTTCAATAATACGGTTACCGCTCTCTCTCTACTGCAGGTACAGCCGTGTTGTACAGAACTTAAAGAATGCACTTAATCGCAAATAAAACCAAAACAAGTGCTCCTTTGGGCGATTCGCCCAGCAGCACGTTAGTCCAAAAAAAAAAGAAAAGAAAAGAAAATTATACGAGGCGAAAGAAAATTACACACAGAACGCATAGATTACAGGGATGGATGATTGGAAAAGGGCGTGGTACGAGAGCCATTGCTTCACAACCCCGTCTACCTGTCTAGATGACTCCGTAAGCGATGCCGGATTATGATTCAGACAATTCAAAGAGAACCACAGCTGCCAGCAGTCAAGTATAGATTTAATTCCTAAAAAAAAAAAGAGAAGAAGTAAAGAAGAAAAAAAGGCAGAAACTGAAAAACTCAACAGCAACAACAACCACAGCAACAACAACCACACCAATACAATGAGCACAAAGGGAAAAGCGGCAAAAAAAAAAAAAGGAAAGGAAAGGAAAAAGAAAAAAATGCTTCGTCATTGCAGGCGCAAATCACCAATCAATGAAATCATCAGGCTGGGCTGATGTGTGCATCGTAAGACAACAAGAAACAAAAAACAGGGGGCAAAAAGCAAACATATCGTTAGCTTGCGTGTTCGCAGCAGCTTCCAAGAACTGCGACGGCTGATTCGACGAGATCCCTTGTCCCTTGCATTGTGGTGCAGCCACTGAAATACGATGGGATGGTCGGTGACGGTTGCCCAGCAGCCGCCGGGCCAAGGAACCCAAAGGGAATACGGACCCATTACCGATACAGTACATAGTACATCGAATACCGCCGTACGCCGTACACCGTAGCGTAAGTCCCCGGTGGATCCACGACCCAGTGACCCACGCTCCGGCTCCCGATCCAGGCGTGGCCCAGCCAGAGCGCCAGACAGCCAGACAACCCGCGCTGGTTGCACACGCACCCGCACACGACCACGGGCTGCATGCCTATATATTCCCCTGAACCCTCCCTCTGCTTTCCAAAATCTTTCCTGACTCTTCCTTCTCCCAATCTCTACCGAACCTAATATCTACATCTCTTTTCGAAGAATATTTCTTCTGCCTCTCGTTTTGCAACAACGTCGCTCTGGTACTTTCGGTCACTGTTTCCTCCCAATCCAATCGTTGTATAACAAAGGAGCAGCTTAATTCTCCAAAGTTTCAAAATGCATCTCTCCGTCGTTGCTGTTGCCGTTTCGGCTCTTGCCATGTCCGCCCAGGCCGCGGTTGTAAGTTAACTCAGATCTACTACCCATTCTCCCAATAATCACAGCCATAGCCTCTTGAAGACGAGCGAGAAGACTGACCAATTGTTATAGGCTGATGGTAGCTATCCGGTTGCCTCTCCACCCACTGAGCCATCCTACCCAGTTGAGTCCTCTTACTCCGCTGAGCCATCCAACTCGGCACCTGGCTACCCGACCGGAGGCTATCCTATTCCTTCTTCCGAGTCTGAGTATCCCACTGAGACCGCTGAGCCCACCGGCTATCCCACCCACGGGTATCCTACTCCCAGCGAGTATCCTACTGAAACTCCTCCCGCCTATCCCACCGGGGGCTATCCTACTCCCAGCGAGTATCCTACTCAGTCCCCTCCCCACTCTGAGTATCCTACTCAATCCCCTCCCGCCTCGGAGTACCCAACTCAGAGCTACCCGAACACCGTTCCTCCCTACCCAACCGGTCCTCCCCCCTCCAGCGCCCAACCCACTGGCACCGGTGGCTATCCTACCACCACTCCTCCCGCCCCAACTTACCCACCAGGTGAGGGCGCTGGTTTCTCCACTAGCGTTCCCTTCGGACTTGGCCTTGCTGCTGCTCTCTTCGCTGCTTTCCTGTAAATGGAGCAACCATTGAAGATTTGCATGCAATGAACTTGAGAACCCCTTAACAAATAATATTTCTTGTTCCTAATTAAGCCGACCTATTCAACAACGGGTGGAAAAACTGACAGTCCTGTCTTTTTGCTATTGGGCGGGCGGGGTGGCTTAATTGGCGAATCCACTTGTATTCATTTCTACTCTTTCCTCTGTATAGCAGATGCTTGGAAGGGCCTATCAGACCAGGGAATGCCGAGAGGTATCCGTGATCTGGACAAGTGATGACGTTTGACTCTACCGCAATACAGTGTTACACAATTTTTACCTTTTTAATCACAACCTGGTATCCAGCTGGCGTTCTGTTGAGTTGGACATGATCTCCGTTGTTATTCCGCCAAATACGACTTTTCCATAACCCTTATGTTTTTCTTTTTCGGATAGACTTTGTTTATTCTTAGTATTCTTCACGTCCTCTAATAAGACTCATTACGACCAATTTATGTGAAAGTAAATCCGCCCACAAATACCTGTTGTAAAATGACACAAAGTTATCTTTTTTTGTGTTGCTGCTTGGATCCTAGATGATACCCAGAATGCTCTGCTCTGGCAGAAAGTTCATCACGCCTTCCAAGTCACGCGTGGTTTGTTGATGTACACCATTCCTTATCGAGCCTAGCGTCTTTCCATCCCTCACATCGCGTATCTCAAAACCAGAGCAAATGTCGAATGACGATGACCATATAGTTGGTGTGTGTGTGTGTGTGTGTGTGTGTGTGTGTGTACGCTCTGCCTTCTTGGACACTTCGTTTCCTTGATTCCCAGCTCTGTCGCGTATCTGTGGTACCCGCGTCCCGGTCCGCGTTTGAACTCTAATCCTGGTTATCTATCTATCTTCCCAGATTGGACCGGTATCCAAAGGCGACAACAGTACCACAATTTGCATAGAACGCAATTCAGCATGGTGAGCTTCCCATCAATCAACTCAACTCATTGCTATATGAGTCAAAACGTCCCCCGAACTCCCCAAAAACCTAACGCAAAATTCTAGGCCTCCGGCTTTCGAAGGTTGGCATTAGACCATGCCTCTCTCCACAGAGACGGCATGCCGCCCCACTACCTCTTCCCCTCTGCGAACAACGCGTCTTCGCCATTTCCAGATGACCTCACTCAACTCGTTGTCCTTCTTACGGGTCCGCAGGGGACGCCGTACTCGCAAGGCCTCTGGCGATTACATCTACGCATGCCTGAAGATTATCCCCAGAGCCCTCCAAAAGCGGCGTTTAGGACACGGATATGGCACCCGAATGTCGACGAGTCGACCGGCGCGGTTTGTGTAGATACCCTGAAGAAAGATTGGGAACCGAAGCTGACGTTGAGGGATGTTTTGATCGTATGTTCTTTCTCTTTCTCTTCCTTTTTGATTTCCATCCTTCCTTTATTGCGGGGGGAAAGGAGGAGGGGGGGGATAGATAACGCATCCGTTCTTCTACGCCGATCTGCTCACAAATTATTGCTCGACGCAGACGATATCTTGTCTTCTAATCCATCCCAATCCGGATTCCGCCTTGAATTCCGCAGCCGGCAGCCTGCTTCAGGATGACTATGACGCGTTCGCACGGCAGGCAGAGCTGATGACTTCCATCCATGCGCCAATACCCAAGGACATGAATGATGCCGTCATGGAGGCTAAGAGAAGGGGGGATGAGAGTGGCGTTATCGTTCCAGAAAACAAAGGTCGCTCAGCAGAGGCGATGATAACCTCGCGCAAAACGGCCCTCACCTCGTCCTTGTCCACAGTCATCATGAAAAAGGCGGTTGCTCATAAGAATCAAACCAGCCAGCGGATCGAGAAACTAGATATCAGAGTTAAAGAAACCTCTCAGAACGAACTACTGTCATCATCATCATCACAGTCGTCATCAACTTTGTCGCCGTTCGCGCAAGATCGACGACCGGCCCACGAAGATGAATCGGATAATGAGGATACCGGCGGCCCATCCAAGGAAAATGACCCTTCACTTTCACCTTGCCCCGTAGTCATCACTACGCCGTCGAACTCGCGGAAGAGTGTACTCGGGAAGCGTCCACTTGCCGTTCTCGAGAGCGCCAGTGAACCTGAGTTGGGCCCAGTTGATTATTCCTGCGATGCTGATGTTAATGTCAATGCACATTCCCATTCCCAGGACGACGACGACGACGACGGCATGACTCCCTCGGAGAGGAATATCGCCGCAAACGCCTTCGCGAGCGAGCAACAGCAACCCCTAAAATCCCCCAAACTCTCGGTATTGGCCAGAGGTGTCAACTCTTCCGGTCGGGTGCGGGACGATTATCCCGAGCATATTATTTCAATCCTTGAACATAATAATAGCAATAAGGATTCACATGACAATGGTGGGAAGCGGGTTGACAGGTCCTCTCGACAAAGCTCGATATTTGGCCTGTCACAACCACTACCATCACAGCTGCTCCTACATTTGTCGAATGAGAAGCCCAGTGGCGGCGGCAAGGAGAATGACGCGTCTACGACTACTACTTCTTTCATTCATCCTGCCTCTACAACAATTGTTACGACTACGGCCAGGCATACATCTAGCACAGATAAACCAGAACAACCACAACCATCCGGGTCAGCATCAGGATCGGGGACATTGGCAGAAACCATCCCCCTATCCGGTACACATCCACCAAACAATCGTAAACCCGCAAAAGCCCCACAGCAGCCGCCATCGGTTCCCTCATCGATGTCTGTGTCCAAGTCGTCGACGAAGAATAACAGCAATTCTACCACTAATAAGAACAGGGCGGCACAGAAGGTTTCGTCAGCAGCCGCCAAAGCAAAGGCAACAAGGGTTGGCTTGAGGCGTCTATAGGATGAGGGATGGTTTTTTGGTAGGTAGGTAAGTGTTGATTTTTTGGGGGGGTTTTTTTTTTGTTTCAATTCGGCGGTAGAATCGCAATTCGCGAATCGGTGGTGTAGGAGCAATGGATAAATGGATCACGGGTAAATGAGCGGGTGATGATTATGATTAATGATGATTATGAGCTATTGTCATTGGCATTCTGGAAATTGGGAATCAATTATTGATTTGGAAAAGAAGGGTGCATTGTGCATTGTGCTGTTTTCTGCATGAGGGGGGGTGTTGAAGTGTGTTATGATGGTTTGATCATTAAAGTTTTATTTTACTTTTTGCTTTCAATTATAGTATAGTATGACCTGTTCTCTCTCTCTCTCTCTCTTTTTTTTTTTATTCGGGATTGAATCGAGATCGAGGAAATTCAGTTGATTGAGAGAACAGTGTAAGAAGTAACAAAGTTACATCCTTGAATTTTATACATATATATGTGTTGGTTACAGTTTCTCACAGGCGTAGTCAGTACTCAATAGTCAGTAAGACAGTAGTTAATTATAATTATAATACAGATGAAAAGAAGTGAAGAATCTAAATCAATGAATGTATGTACTGTACTTTGTTGTTTCTTTGCCTTGGCTGGTTCTTGTAGATTTGAGTAACAGTGACTTCTTTTTATGTTTATGAACTCAAAATATCTATGAAGCTCATCTACAATAAAATAACTACTACAACTCTGACAATATTTTTTTAAATCAGTTTCTTTCAAATCAATAAATGATGAGAATTCAGTATTCTCACTTTTATCACAAGTTTGATTTTTTTCTTTTTTGTTCATAAAGTGATTTTTCAAAAGTTGTAAAACTTCCGATTGAGGGATTGAGATAATCTGTGATCACACACATGATAGTTACAATCAACCAACCTTCCACCTCCATCAAAAAGAATAATTTTTTTAAAATAAAAATATGAAACTAAATAAAAACCAGCTTCTAACCTGGAAATTAAAAGACATACACAACACACGCTCAAACTAAAGATGCAGGAAAACACTGAGAACTGATAAAGGAGTAAAACTTAATTTTCTTCCATCTCCTCTCCCTTTCTACCCTCCATCTGGGTGTTCTCATCTCATCTCACCATGATGCATATTTCTTCCACTTCCATTCCATCTTTTTTTTTAAAACAAATTGGTGTGCCTTCGGGGAGCATATGCTGGAGCCAATCAATACAACATCATTAAATGCAATAACTTCGTTCCCCTTGATTCAATCAATCTAGACAAGGGGTCCTGATGCGAAAACAAACATGTCTTCCTTCCCTTCTTCCCTGAGTCGGGGTTTCCATTCCATTCCATAACCATGAAAGGTTACAAACTGTTGGCCTGCTTTTCCGGAGCCCGTACCAGTCCAATATGGAGGTACGTAGCAGCGGTGTAGTTATTGCAGCGCAACGACATGGGAAACCTAGATTTCCCTGCAATCATCTAATCATCGAGTTGGACAGGGTCCGATAGAAATGAAAATGAATAATCGAATGGGTGACCGGAAACCAAAAAAGTGGGCGCAAGAAAGAAGAACTCAAATGCGTAAGTCGATGGGAACGATATATACATATATATATATTCTTCCCCCTTCTCGAAAATCTGTGCTTCGGCAACGAAAGACGATTCGCTATAGCGATTGACAGGTAAAAATAAATGCCAATTAAGGAGATGCATGAAAACAACACGCGCGCGATACCAAAAATAATCGATTTCGAAAGCGACAAATAACGAGGGAAATATAAGATAATACGAGCAGACGAGCAGACTATCGACAGCAACTTTATAGAGGGATCCCTGGTGGTGTTGTTCCCTAAAGAGCGTATGGGTTGACGGAGCGAATAGTGAGACATCTGCGTATTCAAGTTAGCACGACGGCTTTATGTAACGAGCTGTCTTAGGGCACTTACGGTGGGCTCTTGGACAGATCTGTTTTCAATATAATTGGCACACGAGTCATCTCAGTGACGTCCTGAATATATTCACCGTCCTCCTCCCGCAGTCTGAAAAGCTTGAGATACTTTTCCTTATTCGTCAATTTGGCTTCAGGAGCTTCAACAGTACTACTTGCGATCTTTGGGTCAGAACGAGTGCGGTGGGGGGTTTGCTGCAAGTGGCCATTCCTCGTAGGAGATGGCGGCATGCTTTGAGTCGATCGATCTACCGGAGAGTTAAGGGAGACGCCCGCAGCCATCTCTGTAGCCTCAGAGATATCGTCGTCCTCATCTTCGTCGTCCTCCTCGTCGTCGTCAAAAAGAGCGTCAACGTCGTCTGTTGAAATAGTGCCGGTGTCTGTTTGTTTCCGTTGAGCTTCTTCTCGCTCGCGAGCTCGCTCCCTTGCGGCTTCTGCTTCACGAGCGGCAGCGGCAGCGTTGGCAGCACGTGTACTTTGCGCAGCCTTGGGGCGTTCATCCTCTGGAATATAAGCAGATGACGGGACGCCTTTCTCCCAATATAACTCGAGAACACGCTCCTCTTTACGGAACTCTGCTTTCTTTAATGGCAACTGATCACAATGGACACGTTTCTCGAAGCCATATTCTGGGATAAGGACATCGAAAGCAGATTCGTAAACGCAGAGGACAATGCCCTCGCTGATAAGGTCACCTCCGATCTCGCTTCGCTTCTTGTCCATAATGCGACATGACTCAATGTGGACACTCTGCTCCTGAGCAGTCTGGGCAGAATCCTTCTTGTTGTTGCATTGTTCAGCGGTTTTAGTGAGGTTTTCGACGTCATCGGTACATTCGGAATTGGAAAGTACTGCTTCCAGTTGTCGATGGACGATAATATCCGCATAGCGTCTTGAGGGGTTGGTGAAGTGAGTGTATACAGGTAAATTAAGAACATAGTGCTGTCGCTGATCCTCCGTCATATTTCCTGCAACATAATACTTCGCACGCTGCATAGCTTTCAGAAGCAAGGTTTCCATCCCCTAAGGAGAAAAAGGTCGTTAGCAAGACAAAAAACCACACAGAAAGTATCTATCATTATATGCACTAGAAGTAGGAAGAACAAACCTTGCGAATATCAACATCTTCTATTTTGAACAGGCTAGTCTGCAGTGTGCCACTACTAGTAGGATCGATATCGTATCCTAGTCTCGTCATCCGATCAACGAAAGTCTGTAGCCGACGGACATTTGGTGGTGCCTGGCGGCGAAGGAATGCTTTATCTGGAATAGCAGATAAAAGTTTCTTTGCGACAAAGGAATTTGCTTTGTGGCTTAATTCCTCAATGAGTTCGTGCGCCGGCGTGGAGTTGAAAATGTTCTGTTCGACAGGGACGTTCTCATCGTCGAGCTGGTAGAGGAGTCGCAGAGATGGTATATTGGAGGACCGATTGCCAAATCTCGCCTTCTTAAACTTACTGGCAATATCCTGAACATTTTAACACATTAGTTTAGCAAAAGGACGTTTTGTTATGTAAACTACATCATTAACGAGCACTCACACTCAAAGTTTTGATATCATTTGCGGTAGCCCCGTGAAGTTCAACGTCGGAATTTCCGTTCAGGATGGCATCCACTTCATCGTAGGTGAGTTTTCCCGAACTTTTGATTACACCTTTTCCAATCCACGGTTCTCCTTCCACAGAGCCGGTAGCGGAATTCACTTGGAAGATGACGCTGACGGTCAATCTTTCTTCACCAGGCAAAAGCGAACATATTTCAGTCGCCAAGCGGGGCGGGATCATGTTAACAACACGGTTCATAAGATAGACGCCAGTACCACGCTTCTTAGCCTCTCTATCAACAAGCGAGTTACTCTTGATAAAATGAGCGACGTCTGCCACATGGATGCCAACTTCCACTTTCCCATCAGGAAGCGATTTGACATGGATAGCGTCATCCAATTCCTTGTAGCCGTTGGGATCGATAGTGAAAGTAGTCTCATCACGGAAGTCCCGTCGGTTCTCCAACAAGGCTTCGCCTTCGTCCTTTACGGACCATTTTTCGAAGCCGACATTCTTCAAGACAGCATCAGAGAATTCATCAGAGGCAAAGTTATTGTCTCTGAGCAGGGCGTCTGTCTCAACCTTCAAGTTGCCCATAGCGCCAAGTTGTTCAACGAGTGTTCCAAATGGATGAAGTGACGTGATGGGCCATCGCTTAATGCACGCAACAAATATGTTGTTAGCGTATTCAGCGTGCTTCTCAACAAAGTCTCGGGGAGCTTGTTCGGTGGGGATTGCAATCAAGGGAACACGTTTGTCAGTAGGCTTGAACCAAACAATCTTTGGCTTATCCTGTTGACGGTCATGGTGGTGGCGAGAATGACCGCCGTCCCTAGCTTGTCGCTCTGCTTCCTGTTTCTCCTTGGTCGCCTGGCTGGAGGGCCGAAGAAGGCCAAGTGAACCAGCAAACATCTGACCGGCCACACGTTCGATCACAGCAACAACGTGGCCAGCGTAGAGTGGTTTCTGTTCATCGCTGATTTCATCTTCCTCGACGAGAAGAAGGCTCTGGCCTTCAACTTCCACGTCATCATTTTTCTTCTGGGTGGGGCGTTGGCGGAGACTGCCTCTTCGTCGAATGCTTCCGTCGGGAGCGATTTGTCCAGGATCGCCATTTGTAATAGAGTCCGGTCGAGCGTTCTTGTCCATCCCAGCAGTGCTACCACTTCTGGTGTCGGTGATATCCTTGCGTTTTTTCTTTTCCTCCTTTTCTCGTTTCTGACTCCATACTTCATCAACGTCCAGTAGTTCAACAGCAACAAGATCACCTTCGAGGGCACGGTTTCTATCCTTGCTTCCGCAGATGAAAATATCAGCATCGAGATCAGGCGTAGTGACGTAAGCGTCGGATCTATTTTTCTTGTTGACCCTCAAAATACCGGCAACCAGTTGACCGTCGTTCAGTAGAGCAGGCAATGATGCCTGGGGAAGGTAAGGGGTAAAAAGTGTTTTACGCTGTTGCTGCTGTTGCTGCTGCTGCTGCTGTTGTTGTTGCTGCGCAGACAGCTGCGTGGCAACATGCTGAGGAGCGGATTGCAGACCTAGATTTTGGATATTCAGCTGACCGCTTGCTTGCATCGCTTGAAGCTGGGCAATTTGAATAGGATTTAGATGCTGACCGGCAAACATTTGCGGAGGTGCCATCACAACTTGACCTTGGGGAAGCTGGATGAGTTGGGGTTGACCTGTATATTGGAAGGAACCAAGGGATCCGACCGATTGATTCACTGATCCACGTGTGCGATGGCCTGGTTGGAAATTTGCTCCACCTTGTTGTTGGCCAAAGCTTCCCATAGCAGTTCGTTGCTGGTCCTGCCCTTGACCCTGGTTGTTATTCTGCTGCCTCCAGTTGCTTTCGAAGTTTCTTGAGCCTGATCGACCATGAGATGGTTGACTTTGGCGTCGAGAAGAAGAATCCGGCGCTGGTGATCCCTCGCTTGATTGCGGAAACTGGAACCCGCCAGCACCTCTGCCACCCGACGTTCCACCACTGCGACCGCTGCCTACAGCCAAGGACTGACTCCGTGTATGGGTTCCAGATCTAATATTTCCAGCTCGTTGAACGCCTAGTCCCTGGGGAGGCTGGGGGGAAGAAGAGGCAGGTGGGGGAGGCTTTTCAGTGGGAGAACCTTCACCTTGATTCGATGTGCTCGAAGCACCTGAAGCACCTGGAATCGGGAACTGGAATCCAGAAGTCGTTCTTTTTTGCTGCGCAAGTTCGGCAGCTTTTCTCGCTTCAGGAAGAGCCAGTGAATGGCGACGCTGATGACCACCTCCTGGAGGAGCGGCCCCGCGACCACGGGATTGCTGACCATTCTCACGATTATGATTAGAAGAACCATGGCCCTGACCCTGACCCTGACCCTGACCCTGGTTATAATCGTAGGAAGAACCGGCTGCACCTGAAGAAGGCGCAGGCGGAGGGCCCATGCCAACATTTGGCAGTGCAGACTGGTTACGTCGGTGGGAGGGCTGACCTTGGGGGTTCAGGGGTACGCTCACATGCTGCGGCTGCTGTTGTTGAGATTGGGGAAACTGAAAATTATTATGAGTAACGCTAGGGATAGCTTGAGCTTGCATGGTGGGGGAGTAGGCAGCTACATGTTGGAGAGGCTGTTGCGGTTGCAAAAGCCCCATGTTGACGTATTGCTGATGCGTGGCAGCGATTTGCTGTTGCTGCTGTTGGAGCAGTTCGATCTGTTGTTGTAAAGCCAATTGTTCCACTGTTCAGAACATTAGAAAATGAGTATGGAATTTCGACCTGGGAAGATGGGGAAAGACACAAAATAAAATAAAAGGCATCTAGGAACGTACTCATAAGCGGAGTAAGCTCCGAGGGGCTTCTCCGATGGGCAATATGCAAGCGCCTACCGGCAGGGCCGGGGATGGATTGGCCTTGTTGATCCATGTCTGAAACCGATAAACCACGGAATGCTTTACAATTATGTCGTATAGGTTATGTGTATGGAATTAGCTTTGGCGTATCGGGAGGTATTATGATTGCGTATCGGCAAGGAAGGGAGGTTAAACCACGCCCAACGACTAAAACTTGACCTGCTAGCCAATGTTGAACGAGATTTGGTATGCAGAACTTGAAGCGACGTGACTGATCCGAGCCCCAGAGAGCAAAGCAAGTCAGTAGGGTGTAGACAAATAAAGTTGGGGGTCAATTATTTTATTGGAGGAGTGAGGGGGAATGAGACGAGATGAGACGAAAATCAGGAGCTAGAAGATGAGAATGCTCAGGGGGGGAGGTAGGTATTGTGGTGGGGCGGTAAGGTTAGCGTCTTTTTTTTCTGCGGATAAACTCACAGAGATATGAAGTCAAATGACGGATGAAGCGTTTTTCCCCCCCTTTTCAAATTAAGTATTGTGAAGCTAGCCCACTCGCGGATCCAAGGGGCCGAGTAGAGGGGAAGGGACTGTGCCTCGAAATACGATAGGATATGGGCGAGGTGAGGTCGCAATAGAACAGCACTATCTCGTCTCTGTGGATTGGGATAAAGGAGAGGCTCGAGAACCCAGCAGCAGATTTGGGCAAAGTCTTTTCAAACCAAAGTATTATTTGTTGCTGTTGTTGTTATTGTTATTGTTGTTATTATGGTTTCTTGCGATTGTTTGTGATTTATAAAGGGCAAGTTATTGAATCGATTTCCCATCAGCCGAGCTGAGGAAGGAGAGGACGAAGCACCTGGTGGCCAGAAGGAGAGACCGAAGGGGAGGCGGGGGACGAAGATCAGGCTGAGGACGGGGACAGGGGAAGTGGCGAGAGGATAATACGCCGGTAGTGCCAGAGGAAGGCTGACGAGGTTGCTGGACGTTCAACTGGAAATTGATGTTGAGAGGTAGAAGAACCCAGAGCCAGGAGCTGCAGAATGAATTGGCAAACGGCTGATGTTAGCAGAGTGCGGGATGGATGCCACACCGCAACGAGGCCAAGAGAAGGTAACGGTGGCTTCTAATGGAACGGAGAAATGCAGTTCAAGGGGGCGACAGAGAGAGAAAACAGAGAAGCGATGATGGAACCTGGACCTGCTTGTAGGAATGGAGGCGTGTAGGGGGGCGGGGTGTATGGGAGGGGGTGGGTTTTTTGGAAGGAGAGTTGCTGCTGGAGATCCACCAGACAAACAAACAGAAGGAGAGGACTAGAAGACACAGCCCAACTAGCGGGGATGGAGAGAGCGAAGATGAAGAAACGAGGAATGCAGAAAGGAGTGATGATGCCAGAGAGAGGGAGGGACAGAGGGAGACGAGATACAGGATTGAGGGAGTGGGAGAAGGAGAGGTGGAGGACGGAGGGAGCAGAAGAAGCAGCAGCAGAAGCGGACAAGAGCGAGAAGAGTTGAGGGACGAGGGACGATGGAAGCCAGGACAGGACAGGACAGGACAGGGAGCAGGGAGCAGGGAGCAGGGCAGGGAGCAGGGAGCAGGGAGATGACAGACAGCCAAGCCGTAGACAACAATGGCGGGTGGTTGGTTGGTGGCAGCCCACTAGCGGGCGGACTAGCGCCTGCAGAGACAGCGCAAGGAGAACCCGATGCGATGCCGAAGGGGGAAAGCGAGGGGAATGGATGGGATATGGATGGGATATGGATGGGATACGCAATCCACCACCACCAGCCCAAGGGGGTGCTGCTTGCTGATTGGGAGAGTGGATGGATGGATGGCTTGCGGACTTACTCTTTGTGTGGTGTGGTCTGGCTGGCTTGGGGGACAGTTTGCTGCAACCTTAAGGATAGCTGGCAAGAACTTAACCACCCCAAGGGTCAAAGCTCCCCCTTGGGAATCTATGCCTAGGTGTGGAGCACTGCGCATATAATTATTATTTAATTATATGTCGGGCTCACCTGCTTCGTATCGCTCAGCTCACACAACGACAGAAAATAATTATTTTTTTAAAAAAAAAAGAAAAGAAAGAAAAACAATATATAATCCCAAAAGACAATTCTTCCTCTTTTCCTCCCCTTCTTCAAGCTTCTTCTTTCGCTTCCTTCCTTTGAATCCTTATCGTTATTATTTACTTATTCATCACTCAAGAGGCGGGATGGTACGTAATTTTCGTCGTCGCGCTTGTTCGTGAAGTTTGCATATTGCAACACCAGTCCGTTTGGAGGACAACCTGGCTTTCGTCTGAGCCAGTTTAGAGACCGAGTGAGAGATTTTGAGAAACTGGAGGGGGGAGAGAGAGCCAGAGAGAGAAAGAGAAAGCGACACAGAGAGAGAGATGGTTATAGAATCGATGGATGTGTTTGTTTTCAAGATAGCTAGATACCCTGGCAGGTAGAGGTCGAGCGAACTGACGGAGGGCAGCAGGCGGCAGGCGGCAGCCTGTAGGAGTTCAGCTAAGAAGCGACAGCTATATATAGACTTGAGGCAAATGTGGATATGGAGGAGACGAATGGACGTTGGTTGGAAGGGACAAAAAAGAAAGAGATTCTGCTCTCAAGACCATACGAGCAGAAACAAGAGAGGTAGGGGTGAGAGAGAAGCATGAAGAAGAAGGGCAAGTAGAGAAAAGAGGAAAAGAAGTTAACGGAGCTGTTTAGCTACTAGACACCTGCATACACAGTATATTTAGTTTTAGCTTTTGGAGTTCCCTCTCCGACGAACAGCACAAACCTTGCCGCTCTTGAGTTAACTATATGATGCACGTCATTCCAAGCATATACCGGCCCAGACCATAGAACTGCGAAAACCTTCTTCGACTACGTTGCCAATTTCCGCTATCCCTACCCGCCGCAAGCTTGGTTATAACTCATGCCGAGGTGGATTTTGACAATTCTGACCCTCCCAGGGCTGTTTCTCTCGCTGTATTCAAGCTTTCACCCCCTCCAGCTTGACTGGGTTTCTTAGAGGCCTCTTCTGCAATGCCCCAACTAGTGGAACCGTCACCCAATTAATTGGGCGCGGGTAAAGTTCTGGTTCGCCCAAGTCCAGAGTCCAGGCCCCCATTTTGCTTTCATTTATCGTCATCCCTATTTGTTCATGGGGTTCGGCCCCCAAAGTTATTGAATTTATCCACCGGCTTATAAGAAGTGCTAGGGTCCCTCCCTTGTTATTGATGCAGATTATATTATTGGTCAATTTTGGCGCGCGCTTATAATACCTTCAGCCTCATAATTTGAAACGGCAAGGGCGCGGACAACTTCAACCAACATCAAGAACTCCAAATATACAACAACGACTATAGAAGTTTTTTTGCCCTGAGTGTACCACCCAGTTGTCTTTACTACGAATTAAACTCTTCATGCATTGGCATATCGGTATAGCCCGTTTGTTGATTACATACATACATATAGCCTTTGCAAGCTAATTACCCACGATTCAGCGGGATGCTTCAACCCTTCCGTCTACGTATATAACAACCTCCCCGCCTGAGCACCCCCGTACCAAGTGTTTCTATCAGTTGCCAATAACCAGCCTCTTGTCTCTACAGTCAGCATCGTTTTCCCGAACCGGTCGTAACTGCTACAATCTGAAACAGGCTTCGGGCTACCATCCCTGCGTGTTTGCTGTGGACAACCACTTCCGTGTTCGTGCTAAGACCGATATTTTTCTCCCTCCTGTTTGTTAGCGTGCATCTGTGTGTGTGTGAGGGGGGAAGTTGGTGGCATTGAATTGGTGGCTGGTTAGGGGGAAGGTGACGATTACTTTTAATTTTGACGGATTATTTTAAATGTTGGTTTTGACAACGAACGCCACATCTATCTGCACCAACATTGCGACCCTTCGGCGCGAATTGGAGCCCAAGGAAGGGCCCTACTTTTTCCAGTAGAAGACAGCACACGGGTTCAGGCCCCAGATGAAAATCAGTTCCCTGTCTCAAATTTTATGGTAGGTAGAGAAGACGAGTAAGAACGTTGTTCAATATTCGAAAGGGGATACATCCCATTGTCAATTTTTTCGCGCCCCCCCCTCCCCCCCTTTTTTTTTTCTTGTCGACGGGATTTCTTTCTTGTCTTTGCAACGACTCTCGAAAAGCAGACACAAGCGGCACTCTCTTTTCCAATTTTGCTAATTACAGATTTACTCGCCTGTAGTTATCAACTTGTCAAGCATCATATACAGAAGCTCTATTGGACATTCGCTGGCCTATATAACAGAACACCGCTGTCACTCCCACCTCCACCTCTCCTGTCACCATGGGTCGACCACAGCTCTACTCCCCCCGCCAACCGGATAGCCCCTCGAGACAGCTTATCCTAGAGCTTGCAAGGGACCTCGAGCAGGTCCGTCTACACAGCAATGAGCTCAAAAAAGTACGAGCCTACGAGCGCAAATCCTTTTATGAGAATCTAGACCGTCTAGATCGAGAGAAAGAAGAGGTACATAATGCGGCCCTGACAGCCGCAGCCGCCAAACGTGATGCTCTCAGGCTTGAAGCCGAGGAGACATTGCAACTCCATCTACGTGCCGAAGAGGAGGAAAAGAGACGGAAAGAGGAGTTGGAAAGGCAGAAGAGGGAAAAAATTGAGCGTGAGAAGGCCGAGAGGGAGCGTCGGGAGCGGGAGGAGGCTGCGCGAGTGGAAGCTCTGAAGAAAGCTCAGGAAGAGGAAAAGAGGAGGAAGGCAGAGGAGGCTGAACGGGCACGGAGGGCCGCGGAAGAAGAAAAGGCTAAACGGGATCGGGAACGCGCGGCGCAGGAACAACGGAAGCAGGAGGAGGCTAAGAAGGAGCAGGCCGAGGCCAAAGCCGCGGAGGAGAAAAGGAAGCAACAACAGCAGCAGGCAGAAGAAACGTCAGCAGCAGCAAAGATCTTGGGAGTTGCACATCGTACTCCCCAGCAAATCGCGGAGCATCAGCGATACCTCGAGCTTCACCAGCATCTCAAGAAGTTCCGGCGGTATATGATAGGTGAAACGAAGAAGAATCCAATTCTGAAACAACACATGGGTGATATGCGCCGGACTATAAAGAAATGCGTCGGCCAACTTGTCGCCGATGACAAGATCGCGAACCGCACCCCCGTAAGTTTACCTCCTCGAACCTTCCCACTACTCTAGTTTGTTCTGGCCTACGAACTCCTCGTATGCCACAACACACGTATCCCGTTTCATTTACAAGTTATTTTCCTTCTTCTTTAACTAACCAACCCGCCCGTGAAAATCCCGGCCAAAACTAAAATGTCTAGACCAACGAAATAACCACAGTCCTCAAGAAAGCCCTCGCCCTCACCGAGCCCTCCGTCGACATACGCGAGTTTCTTGCTTTTCCTCCCCAATATCTTGCCTCTAGCACCAATGAGGCTGAAACTAAAGCCCCTGCCCTCCTCCTCTACCTCCTAAACATTTTTTCAAAGGCCATAATCGCCCAGCTCATTGCCGAAGCCGGCATAACCCCAAAATACGCCGAGCCACTAGGCGTCCTCACTGCGCAGATCTTCTCCATGGAATCCTTCACCTACAGCGGCATCTCAATGATCGACGTGCTCCTCGCAAAGTACCACGCCATCTGCCCCGTCCTGTGGGGTTTTTACGGCAACGAGGCGACGGACGTGGGCAAAGAGGCCATCGGTTGGTGGCGCGAGCGCGACGACGGCCGCCGCTTCATACCGCCGCAGACGCACGAGGAGCGCATGATCGGCCTCGGCGCCGGGTTTGCGGCGATATCGCTCCGCAACTTCTCCAAGACGACGCGCAAGAACCCCATGCCAAACACACACTTTTGGCGCGCGTGTGCGAATATCCTGAATGTGCCGCCCGGCGAGGTGCAGGATACGCATTTGCTTGTGTTGAGTGCGCTTCTGAGGCACTCTGCACTGAGGATTGTGGGGTTTTGGGGGGATGTGGGGCTGGCGCTGTTGCGGGCGGCTGTTGTGGAGTTTCCGGCTGGGTTGGGGGAGAGAAAAAGTGCGGCGAGGGCGAGTGTGGAGATTTTGAGGGATGTCTTTGTTCGGGAGAGGTGTATTTTGCTTTAAGTCTTTTTGGATCTTCCCCCCCAACCCCTTCACACAACCTGGCACGGAGATGGCGAAAGAGATGTTGTTTTAATTTTAATTTACCGGGTGGATATCCTTCTACTGATCTCCTTTGACATACAGAAGAAGTTTGTCCGGATGGGGTGGGATGGGAGGGTAGATAATTGCTACCTACCGTTTGTTTCCCTATCACTTACCAGCCTTCACGTTTTACGGGTGTTTGAATCTTTGTGTGGGTTCATTTTGCTTTGCATTGGCGCGAGATCTCGATTCACATATTATACACATTTCTTGAATAATACGCTAGATGAAGACCTTGCAGACTCTTGCTTGCTGGATATACATAGAATTGGGGTATGTGTATCCATGTACCAGAGGAGAACATCCATCTAAGGATGCTGAGATAACTAATATACCAATCCACCATATCATCTGACACACATATAGAGCTATACAATTTGCCGATCTAAGTATTTTCCCTATCTTTTCCCTCCTTGCTATATACCTCAGCGAATAGTAGTTTGATGTCCCTAACAACAATTGAGTCGAGTCGGGGTGGATGGGTAAAAGAAGTCAAATCAATACAAAATGATTACCTCCAAATTGGACCAGATTTTTGCACGTACATGTACATTGAATGGAGATCGACGCGTCATTTAGAGAATTAGAGGTGGTTTTACCAATATGGGAATGAACTATTTATTATATGTATGAACATATCATACCATGAAATGTTGTTAGATGTTAAATTTATTTTTAGACTTCCCGGCGATTTCCACCGGTGGTCGAATGCAGCAATTGCAGCGTGTGGCGAAAGCGAGAATATTAGAGAAACCCATAACCGGATATCAGCCGCCAACCAAGGTTATTATTTGTTGGTGAGCTCGAGTTTTTTTTTTTTTTTCTTTTCTCGCTTATTATTTATGATTCGATAAGTTTTTGTTTTATAGTTATCCTTTTTCCTTTTCTTTTCTTTTCGAGCGAAAAAGGGAAGATGTTTGAAGAAAAAGGAAAATTCGAAGGAGATCTAGTTGACTATCGGTTTGGCTTGTAGTTGAAAAAAGCTGTCTGCCAAAAGGTCTGAAAACTTATATAGTGTTGCGCTCCCGCTCGCCGTTGAGCAAACCTGCGGTAAAATACAAACTTCACGATTAGAGATACATGGGCTTATTGGTCATTTTACGGAATAGCTCTGATCTACAAGAAAAGTGGTTCGAGGGTTCAAAGGAATAGAAAACAACAAACACAGATAGTGCTAGTATTTATCAGAGAACAAACTCTAAATTAACTGCAAAAACTTCCATTGGTTGTTGTGTTTTGGGGGTCTTCAATCAGCTCAAATTGTGTATGTACAGTAGTTTTTGCCGGAATGCACTGCGTTTCTCACCCGCCAAAGCAACCATGCTCCGTTTATTAGCTAATTAAGTGGTGGCCCTGAAAGCACTATCCAGACGAAGCAGGGATGCACATAGGAGGGGCTCTGGTGAAGAAGTGGCCAATCAAACATTGCTGCAATATCAAAGTTAACAACAAAAACCCTATCAACGAAAGTTCCCTGGTATGTGAGGACACAATGTTTCAGAGCAAGGAATTCATTCCCTTGAGATGTTCGCGGGAGTGTTAGTTCTGATTGTGCAATTGATTGAGTGGATTCGAATCTCCAGTCTGAAATCATTCTGACTCTTCCTCAAATAACTTGAACAGCACTAACGACAACATTAACAAATACCCATTTTGTTTTCATCAGGTCGATCTGTGAGAAGTCACAGCAATGAAGCAAAAACACCCTGCCTCACACGAGATGCTGGCTCCGTAATCCCAGAAACATACACACCAGAGAGATCCACCAGATCTCAGACCAGGGACGACATAGGAACAAACTTCAATTTGGTGTATCGAATCAGTTTCTCCTCATGCAAGGGCTTTGCAATGGCCTGCTTTGCACCCTTCACAGAGATCAGTATGATGGGGGCCTTGACTCCTAGATGAATAAAGGACCGAATCCACCGCAATCCCATTCCATTTTTTGATACGATACGCGATCCTTTCAGCATAGGTCTCATTTAAGACAGGTCTGCTGAGGTCGCCGCAGCCGTCGCAGCGTTGATGATATACCCTCGCATTGTATTCCTCCCCGGGGTACATTCTTATGGTGATGGCAATTCTTTTGCTTGACCACCCATTTGTGCTGCATGTTTTATTGTCGCAGATGAATTTGCCCATGATGTTTGTATCGTACTCGTTGATACAGCCTGCGGCTCTGTCAACGTCGTGGAAATCGAAATACAGATCGTCCTCTTGCAGCAGGCTTGATACACTCTCGTGGTGCGTCGGATACATGGACCATCTCGCCTTGCGGGAGTGAGTATCATTTTCGAATGGAGGGTTGCGGTTGTTTGGGTTATGCTCCGGAGAATGAGCTGTGGAGTTTTGAATGTGCTGCTCGAGAGCCGCTTCGCTTTTAAAGGATCGCTTGCAGCTGCGGCATTCGTACTTCTGAGAGTGAGCTAGGGAGTATTGAATGTGTTTCTCGAGGTGTTTTGTGCTCTTAAATTTCCGGTTGCAGGGGATACATCTCTCCATGGTTGGCAAACCGATGACGGGGCGAATTAACCATAAATATTTGACAACCCTGCGTTCAGCCTTCCACTCTCAGGACAACTTGAGAGGCTCCTGCGTGTCTGGGAAGAGGTGATGTTCTGGTTCACCTGTTTATACGTCATGGCTTCGATTAGAAGAGCATGCTTTGCTCGAATGGATCCGGATAATATTTTTTGCTGGACCTGGCCAGATAACTTTACAGTGGCTTACCACGCAATTAATGCCATTGGTCTTTCGCTCGAATATCTGCTGGTATGTATTGGTATCTGCCCGGTTCGGGTATGCACAGGCTGATGTGCGGTATCGGTACACCGGCCGGCAGGGATGCTATCCTGAATTTTGTCCGCCAGGAGTATGCTGAATGTTGTTTGTGCTGCTTGAAATCAACACACTTCTTTCATGGGATATTTATCAGTCTGCTCCACATACTGAGCCCTTAGCTGGTAGCACATTTAGCTAGCACACTCACAGGCTGCTCTGGGAGTACCCCATGTTTTTTTGGCTATCGCCTAGTTCATATGATGCTCTATTAAAACATGACAATATAGTTCATTATCGGAAACAACAGCACACAGCATCTTTGCGTTTGTTAGCTTTCATTAATACATCTCTTCAAGCATTTTGTCATCTATAAATTTCCAGTGACTTACAAGATTTGAAGGTCTTGTTGGATGGCATTTTAGCAATAATACATATGGCATTGCCTCGAGCGACCCACCCCTACTCTGTAACTCTGTTCAAAAGGAAATGGTAGAATCTAACTGGAAGAATATTCCTGTCAGACAAGGAATTTGAACAGTATATGTACATAGCCCGGAAAGCAACGATATCATGCTTAGCCAGATCTCCTATAGGACAATACCATGTTCTTTCATGCCAATCTTAAAACTATCTGGGAAAACAATGACTTTGACCAATGGCTTAAGTCACAGCTTCCCGATCCGTTTATTTAGCTTCCTGCCATTTGTAGCTAGTGCTAGCGGTAACAGCTTGGATAGTAATATCTATGGAGAAGATTTCAAGGGCTCTGGAATTGGCGAAACCCGGCTTGGAACATAAATAAAACGCTGTACAGTACATACCGCTGAAAAACTGTTAAAAACCATGGAAGCGGGACCAGGAGAAACAAATGTATCACAATTCTTCCCATATCAACATGGACCGATTCGGAAGAGCCACCCCTTCTCAGACGTCTCCGTTTGGCGCCATGCAGCACTCGCCCAAGACATGGTGCAGAAATAACTACTGAAACTCTATGAGTCAGATGAACGGGCGCTGTGCCGATTACGCATTGGATGGGTTCAAAATCTAGCTAGCTGCTGCTCTGGTGCTCTGGATAAGCGTGGCGTTTGTGATGTGTTCATTCCCTGGTGGGGGAGAAGAGGATGAATCCGCGCGGTGGAATTTTGTACGGCAAGGAATCTGGGCTGTTGGTATGATGGTGGATGCGAATGGCCTATCTCCAACTTACAAGAGGAAAGAGAAAACAAAAAACTTCTTTCGGGTTATTGGTTCAGCATGCATGCACTCACAATCACTCCCATTGCATGCCAGAATAAAAATGCCAGACCGAGGCAATCCACGGAGACAACTTGAGACAAAAACCAATCAATCATTTGGGTTGCGTCATCTCGTGGCGTTGGAAGAGGCAATTAATTGATTGGTAAGACCGGGATAGCTGATGAGCTGGATGAAGAAGAAGATTCTGTGGACAAACATGTCGTCAATTAGAAGGCTGGAGCATGGAGCAACCTCCAAGACATGTGCTGCGTACTTACAGGTCCACTACATTGTTTCGCTTGAGGCTCCTCCCAGCGAAGGAAGGAGTTAGTCTGTGGTTAGCGAGCGCTTGTGTGGAGCGGGCCCGCTTTGCCGCCACGCTAAGTCGGGTAAGTCGTCTTCCTTGGGAACGCTCCAATATAAATTTAAGTTACATGGGATTCTTTGTGGGTATCTGCTGGGGCTTGAAAACGCGAGAGAGATTGAAAGGGGTAATGCAGGGCTCAAGAATTCTCAGAAATCGATGTAAAAGTCGATGCAATTCCTTTCCGTTATCTTTGCCAGAACATAGCAAGTATATTGTTTGTACTCTATTAATTATTAAAAAGTGCAGTTAAGAATCTGACGCATTTGTATATATGTCACTTCATTAAAGGGGAAAAAAATAATCATGGAAGAAAAGTTAATTCAGAAAAGGGAGCATATGGCAATTTGATTTCAAGCGGAGATACATCAACGAACGAAAATGAAAGAAGGAAAAGAAACAAAATATTAAGAGACGAAAAGTTCCATAGTCAAAAATTAGTGTATGGTATCAAAAGTAAATATCCAAAGGAAAGAAGGGTATAAAAAGTAGGGATTAAACCAGGCACAGCGCAAAATGGGAGGTATATGGCGTGGTATAGACAAAATATCATATGCGAGAAAAAGAAAAATTCAACATGATCTGTCCAGGTTGATTTAAAACATGCGAAAAAAAGAAATACGAATGACAAATGAAACATGGACGGATCTGTCAAAAGAGTGAGCGACTGGGTAGATAGGTGTTGCCAAAAATGACAAAAAACAACTGCAGGAATTCAGAAACTGAGAGGTAAATTTTCAATGAAAAATGAGAGACTAGGAGAGAAAAATCAAGAAAATAGAAAATGATATGTTAATGTACAATGGAAATAGAGAAAGCGTGGCTGAGAATCGAAAAGAAAAGCCGACGCTCTGAAGGAGCAAAAGCGAACGAAGTAGTAAAAGAAGCGAAATCGCTATGCAAGTGGGAGTAAAAAATGTGTGAAAACAGGGTGAATATGAAAATCCAACAAATTACAATATTTCTGAATGATGTAATTCAGAAAAGAAAATAGAATAGGGAGAAGATGGATCTAAAAATAAATGAAATGGAGAAAAAAAATAAGGGGTGAAACAGGAGATAAATGAAAATTTCATCCAAACAATCTCCATTCACCATCTTTACAACTTTCTTTCCCCCCGTTTCTCGTTCTCTCAATCGACAAACCAATCAATCATATAGACGGCCCAAACGGCGCATCCCCACCACCCACCCTCCCCTCGTCCTGAGACGAAATAACCCCGCCAATCACACTATCGCCATCATCGCCATACGAGCCATAACCATGATAGTTTCTCGCCTGCGCATCCTGGTCATAGCTCGATTGACGCAGGAGCGGCGGCGTCGTCGGCGGCTCCAGCTCCAATTCCAGCTCCAGCTCCAGCTCCTGCGGCAGTTTCTCTCCCCTGCGCGTGGACAGCCTGCGTGGGCCGCTGCGGCCGCCACTGTTGTCGATGTTATTGTAGTGCCTTAACGGCCGGCTTTCTGAATAGGTACGCCGGCTGCCAGTGCCCATTAGCATGGGACCAGGCGGGGCGCTGTACGTTGCTGACGATTGACGGACATTTGAGCTTGGCGGAGTTAGGAGGCCGGAGAGGAAGCTGGGTGGGCTATTGCTGGAGCCCTTGGAAGGGGTGCGATGGTCATTAGCATTGGCAGTGGCGGTTTTGGCCATCTTTGTGTTCGCGGGCGAAGGGTTGGAGATGACGGAGTTTTCTCGTGCTTTGCGCCAGTTGCCCCAGGCCGCTGCGGCGGCTAAGGGCAAGGAGCGTGGGGAGGCGGCGAGGTTGGAGAGAGTAGATAGCGACGGAAATTGCTGGCTGCCGTTACCATTGCCGCCGGACATGGCGCGTTCCTTTTCTTGCTGCTCCATCTGCATGTTCGCTTTGAGACGGATGGCTGCGTCGCGGACAGCTTGCTGGTTGAAACTTGGCTGGGAGAGAGTGTTGATGATATCCTGCAGATCATCCAGGCGGACACCGAGGAGTTCGCGGAGCCAGTTGATTTCTATCTCGCGCTCTTTTACTTTTGCAGGCGCATCTTTATCAATGGCTGCGAGTTCCTGTTCTAATTCCTCGATACGGCCTTCGCGCTGCTGCAATTGATCCTGCAAAACCATGATGGATTCCCGGAGCGCCTGCGGTGAGATCTTCTCGGGGATCTCGGAGCCTCTGCGGAACGTCATGGACGGCGACGTTGGCTGGCTAGGAGGCAGGGTGGAGGTAGTCTTGGCATTTTGTGCCGCCTGCGCCGCCGCGCGTGCTGCCGACTTTGCAATCTCAAGCTTCTCTTCAACTAGGACGAGTTTATCTTCCAGATGCTCAATCTTCTCATCCCGCAGCGCTAGTAGCTCCATCAAGTGAGACTCGCCACGCTGTCGATCTTCCGAGGCATTATGTAAAGCTCGTGCATGGCGTTCGCGAAGATCGTTCAGGCCGCGTTCGTGGAGGAGACGCTGTTCCTGAAGTGCATTCTCCTTCGATTCAGCAGATTCCGTGAGAGCAAGCCTCTTCGCATCGGTAGCTTCCTCCAGTTGCAGCTCGTGTCTGGCCTTAGCTGTATCGGCGTCCAATCTGACGCCATCCAATTGGTTTTGGAGGCTGCTGATTTGAGACTCTAGCTCTGCACGAACGTAGTTCACCTGGTTGTTAGCCGCATCAAGATCGGCCTCCATAGACTTTCTAGTCCTCTTGATTTCAGCATGGCTACTTTCCCGCGCCTCGTTAAACTCGCGTTCGAAGCGAGCAGCTTTGTTTTGCAAGTCGTGATTTTCTTGTCTCAGAGTCATCAACAACTCCTCGAGCCGTGCATTTTCCCGCTGCGACTGTCCGAAGATGAACCGCAGCTTGGTTGCCTCCTTCTCCTGCTGCTGAAGGTCGCCAATTTCCATTTCTAGTTTTTCTCGCAGTTTCACTTCACGCTCATAACTTGCCCGAAGCGCTGTGTTTTTGGCAATCAAGTCTTCTTCCTTCTTTCGCCAGCTGGCTTCGTAGAATGCAAAGTTGCCAGACGCGCTGGACATATCCTCTTGAAGCCGCTCAAACTTCTTACGAAGTCCCTGTCGCGCAGCCATGCTATCCTCGATCTGCCTCTTCATATGGTTAATCGTAAGTTTCAGATCCTTATTCTCACTTTTAACATGCTCAACCTGCGACTTCCAGTGGTCTGCCGAAACCCTGTACTCATCCAGAGTTTCTTCAAGAGTAATGTTTTTCATAGACAGCTCCGAGAGAGTGAGTTGTAAACTCTCTTGCTGTTCCTGGAGTAGTTTAGCTTGCCTCTCAATCCGCTCCGTTTCGGGAAGTCTCCGTTCTCTCAGGTCTTTGAGGGTTTCTTCCGCCTTTAGAGCTGATTCACGATGCTGGGCTGCATCTTCCTCTGCAATTCTAAGAAGTCGCTGACATTGAGCAAGGGAATCCTGAGCATCTTTGCGCGTTTGATACTCCTTCTCAGCCCGCTCCTCGGCTACTCGTAACATTGCCTGCATTCCTTCAACTTGGAACTTGAGCGCCTCCATGTTATCAATTTGAGAAACGGATTCAACAGGCGCATTAAGTCGGGGATGTTCGGAAATGGCATCGATAATGACTTGCCTAATATCGGTTAGCGGTTCTGGAGCGGGCTCAGTCGGTTTAGACATAGCAAGAGTCTTTATCTCCGCAAGCGCGGTTTGGATTTCCGAAAGATCAACCAAGGGAGCCAGAGCAGGGACCGGAGGCGGTGGCGGTGGAGGGATAGTTTCGATACGTGGAACCTGGCTTGCCAGCGCTTCAGCGACAGCTTGCTTGATTTTATCCACACGTCTATCCCTCCTATTCAGCGGAGATCTTGACCTATATTTCATGAAAGTGTCGTCCTCCTCTTCATCCTCATCATCTGCGTCACTATGTTCAACAAATTCAGCCGAGATACTCCTGCGTTGGCTAACTGATCGTGAAGCAAGAACGTCAAGCGATTGCTGGATGATGCCTAACGTCTGCTCGAGAGGATCAAGACGGTTCTCAAGGATCCTACCAACAATCTCGTTCACATGTCGGTCGAAGAAGAGGCTTCTCTGTCGCAGCTTCGCGTCCTCGCCAACGGAAACAGCATCGTCCCAATCACTCACGTGTTCGATCTCGGGGTTATTGAGATGTCGTACAGGGGATTGACTACCGCCACTAAGAGCGCTTCGCTTTGGCGATAGTAGGTGCTGGGATTTCCCATCAAGATCTGAGTGTATCCTGGGCAAATTTCTGAAGGCGCGATCGCTGCCTTTTATACTTGGGCTGGGAGCGTTACTGCGAACAGTATAGCTGGGAACCAGCTGCGGTTGGGTAGACTGGTCTGCAAAGATATCCTGGTTTGGTGGCTGTGGGGTGTTGAATCTCTCAATACCAAGATCTGCGTTATCGTCATTTAGCTGCTTCATGACGGCATCTATCTCATCCTCATTGAGGGAATCGTGCTCCGCATCCTCGGTCATCACTTCACTCAGTGGCAACGTCTCTTCCTCCTCCTCTTCCAGAGCTCTGAGATTATCAACCATAGGAGAGTGTTGAGGAATGGTACTTGCGAGGTACTTGGCTGGTGGTGGAGATGAAGGCGGCGTGGATACAGCATAACGGGAACCTTCGAGACCAACGTTATTTTTTGGACCAGATGATGGCTGCATCTGCTTAACAAGCGTTGGAACTGGAGTAACGACCGGAGCTGCAGGTTTGAACTCAAAAGCCTCCGCAGTAGGCTTAAGTACCGGGGGCGGCGCCTTAGATGAGCTATCAACACCCCCATTGCCCACGCTCTTGGAGATTTGCTCGTCAACGGAGATTTCAGCACGTTCCATAGTAACTGCAGTAGGATCCTCATTCGCAGGTTCAACCCGGTTCTGTCCCTTGGAGTCCGACAGATTTTGGAGGCCATGAACCCCAGGACCAGAAGGGAACGCATCATTGAAAGCGGCAGCCTCAAATCTGTTTTTGAACTCAAAAGGACGCCATTCTGCAGTTTGGCTAACAGGAGTATCATTTGAGACAGGAGTGACGCTCTCAACAGTTGTCGTGGTATCTGCAGTGGTAGGAGCGGCAGGGTAGATGTCTTTGCTATCAGTGCCGATATTCTGATCCACCTCTGGCTCTCCCGCAACTAACCCGGACACAGCATTCGCATTTTCTTTTCCACCCGCAGGCACAACAATATCATTAATCGGCACCATATCATCTCCATTCCCACCAACTGGACTATGACTCAGAAGCGCAAACTCAACTTCCTTGTCCCCGTCGCTCCCTTCCCTTCTAGCACGCTTCTCCCGGCCAAGAGGACCAACTGTCCCCGCAGCTTCTGCAGGTTTCTTCTTCTTATTATTTACATTGGTGTTATTCATACTAATGTCATCCGGTCGAATTATTGGAATCGCCTTCGACAGCTTGGCTGGCTTGATGATTACGGATGACATGTCGAAATCACCAAATATCTTGCCGCCTGTGAAACCTGCTGTTGCGTGGGTACCGTCGGAACCGGACACGGCCGTCTTGCTGGGGACATCTGCCGTGGAATCTGAAGCGAAGCTGCGGCCCGGGTTAAAGACAGGTGCGTCTATGTTAAAAGACGCAGTGGAGAAATTGAAGTTGGTATTTGAGGAGATGGAGGGAGTTGTGTTCGTATTACTGCCCCCCAGCGGTGCAAATGATGGCGCAGTCACGTTGAAGGCGCTGGAAGAGGTAGCGCTGTGTTGTGACACGCGCGGGCTGAAGATGGAATGCGAGGGTTGGAAGCTGTTGTTTGTATTGGAAGATGGATAATGTGGTGGATGTTGTTGCGGTGGCTGGAAGCTAGATCCTGTAAAAGAAAAGGTGTTGGACTCGAAGGAGCCGGATGGGTCGAATTCCCTGGCCTCGACGTTGAGGGTCGACGCAGACGTGCGCGATCTGTGTCGTGGTTTGAAAGAGGTTGTACTTGTTTGATCGCCAAACTGGCCATGGAAGGAGCCTGAGAGGCTAGGGTTTGTATTGATGTCGGAGGCATCGAGTGGGAGATCTCCTTCACCTTCGCCATCATCGTTTTGCTCACCAAAGAGCAACTGCTGCGGCAACACCTTTGCTGGCACATTGGAAAGATTTGACACGGGTTCATCAGCCACAGCCCACCGCGACTTCATTAAATCATCAGTAGGCTCGCAATCGTGTTCATTCTTATCTTCTTCCTCCAATTGACGCCTAATGACATCTTCAAGATGGTACTCCGCCTGCTCCACACCCTTCTGTAGTGTTTCGCTCACGTTATGACGATGTCCACGAGGGGTTGGATGGGCAATTTCTGGACCCGACGATGGGGAGTTTGTGGCATCGGAATCCGCCGGCGTTTCGGTATTCGAACGCGAGGCAACGAGTTGACTGGGATCTTCTTCGTGCTGTCGCTGTCGCTTCTCCTGTTGTTGTGGCTGCTGATGGTGTTGCTGCTGCTGCGATAAAATGGGTAGCGGGCCCTGCAACTGCGACAGCAAACCCGCCGTGTTAGGGAACTGCAAATGTATCTGCTTCGCATCATCAGACGCCAAGGGCGAAATAGGCGGCAGCATAGAATTTATATTATTTATATTCGACAAATTATTCGCTGCAGAACCCGCAGGAGAAACAACCCCCTGGTGCCCGACGAAGAAATTCGGTGACGCCAAAGCACTCTGCGCGGGGGGTGTGGGCTGGAAGGGAATGAATGGGAACCCTTGGGTGTTGAAGGAATGATCTGTCCCAATGAGACCAGGCTGAGCAGGGAAGGAGGAGCTGCTCGGTAAGCCAAATGGTGATGTAGCAGGTGACGCAAATGCGCCAGGTGTTGAGGCTGCTAGTGTAGCTTGATTGAGTGGTGCGGAGAAGGCGTTCGTTGACAGGCCAAATGGGTTACTAGCTGCGGATGATGTTGGGATTGGTGGAGAGAATGGAAGGTTAGTATTAGGGAATTGAGACGAAGCCTGGCTCATAGGTAAAGATCCCCCTGGGGAAATACCGGTGGCTGAAGCAGGTGGGTCGGAGTCGAGGAATACACCCAATGCACGTAACTTTTCTTCTTTGAGAAAATTGACATACGCCTCCCACTCGGATTGGTCGGGGAAACTGATGGTATATTTGTTCTCCCGCCATTCCCTCTGAGATTCGTGGGGGTCTGGGAATGCTGGCCGGCTCTGCGAGATGGCATCCAACCCCTTGACACGGGATCCGTCGTCATATCCCTGTTCTTCCCATTTCTTTAGCCGGCTCGCCACATCAGTGGGTGTAAGCAGATGGAAGCCGCCCTGGCTGGAACCGCGACGGTCCTCAAGGGGTAATGCAATGATGCACTGTTTCTTTCCCCATTGCACTTTCTTCCTAGGTCGTTGAAAACCAGGGGTTGATGTCCTGGTTTGTTTGGGGACAACAAGTGGACTGGCAGGGAGAGGGGGATGATTGACACCGCCATTGGCTTCATTCGGTGGTGGTGGGGGAAGTGGCTTATCAATGGGCGAAATCGGAAGGCTCGAGTCACCAGCTGACGAGGAGCCGTTTGGATGAGGGCTTAGGGAAGCTTTGGACGAAGCCTCTTTGTCCGACATTGCTGCTGCTGAGGTAGGAGTAGGGGCCAATTCGTGTCCAATATCCCAAAAGTCGGACTGTTTCAAAGTATCCGTGCTTTTCTTAGGGATGTGTTTCGGCCGGACGCGAGATCGAGGCGGACGGCCGTTGTCCCGAGGAAGAAGCAAGTCCTTGGATTTGTTTCTACCAAAGCTGCGCGATGTGGGGGTTTTGAGGAGGTCTTCGTCCTGAGAATCGTCCTCAAGACCAAGCCAACCCTCAGACTGGTCCTCGCTCAGGTGATTTCTGGCTGTCAGAAATGAACCCGTGCCACTATCCGCTGAGTCGTCACTTAACCAGTTTGTGCGCTCTGTTCGCGGCTGTCCGGACAGATACTGATTGATCCACTCTTCCGTAAAATCCTTGATAGGATTCCCCTGTCGGCCCCTTGCCGCGCCTCGGCCGATGGAGCCGTAGAAGCGCCTTGAGACGCGCGAGGAGGACGGTTTTACGGAACCTTTGTGATTACTACCACTTCTCTTTCTTGAATTAGAATGGGTACTTTTCGTAGACGAAGGAGAATCTTCCTCGCTGTTAGTGTTATTGCTATAACTTCCTTCCCGTCGACGATTTCTCAGAAAAGACGAGGGATATCGCTTGGGACTCGGAGTCGCATACGGTGAGCCCCAGACCGTAGTGTAGTAAACGCTGCTATCAGTTTTCCTGTGTTCCGGAGATGAGGAGAGGGAATCAGATTCAGCGTGGTACTTGGGTAACGATGGAAGAGAGACCAAACTGCTGGCGGCACCGTAGTTGCTAGGAGCCGGGGAGGGGATTCGGGAGGGCGGCAATCCGAGCGAGGGAGCAGCCTGGAGGCCTGAAGCCCCTGGAGTCACTGAACGCCTCAGAGATGGTATTGTCGCGATGGGAAGGTCTCCGACTGGGGTTGTCTGGCTCTGTCCGTTAACAGCTGTTAAACGGAAGACAGGGTTGGTCGAATCCGCGGACAGATCTAAGCCTGGAGAACGCAAGGAGATGACAGGTAGAGATTAGTCCAGTTTCGGTGCGGGAGGGGAGGCATAGGTTAACTTCATCCCATAAAAATGTAGATTAGAGGGGGGAGTTTCTGTGTGCAGAGGAAGCGGATTGGACATGTTTCGTTTCTTTTTCTATTTTATTTCAAGGAAACCAAGGACAAAAAAAAAGAAAAATCACGTCACGTACTTTCCGTGTCGTCTGTGGCAGCAAGCACCCGCTTGCTGCTCTGAATATACCCCGGAATCTTGAAGCATGGAAATCAAACAATGCGGATGGGAGGGGGGAATATAATACAGACGCAGGCCAGGTGGTGTTGGTGTTTGGCGGGTGTTCCTGTTCAACCTGAGAAAAAAGCCAACGTTGCAAAGGGGAGGACTGGCAGTTGAGGGCTGAGTGGGCAGGCTATTTATTGGTTCTTTTTTTCTCTTTCGTTTTTCTCCTCCCTCTAGCTCTTTTGCCCTGGTTTATTTCTTTTCTCCCTCGGCGAACACGTTGACAGGATTGACGCGACAAGCGGTGGACGGGGGTTGGGCAGCGAATTCGGGGGGGCTTCGGACAACGTGCCCGAAGATAAGAATATTTATAAAAAAACCAAAACCAAACCAAACCAGATAACAAGAAGAGATAAGAATATATAAGAAGAAGAAGAAACGAAGAAGCGGAAGAAGAGGAACACGACAAACAACGACGACGACGAGGACGAGGGATGGCGAGAGGTGACAGCTACCCGAAGTAGGAAAGGAGAAGTAAACAAGACGGATAGACAGGCGATGGAACCATGGCGCTGAACCCGCTCGACACTCTAAATTCTGGTTGCCACCCGTCGTCCCTGAATCCGAGAATGACGGGATGGAGATAAACGGGAGCCAAAATAATCACGGGTGTTAGAGAGCAGCAAGATTTATTGATCGCAAGACTTCCAACACAACAAGACAACAAGCCAACTCGCGCTCCGTCTTCCCCTTTACCTTTTTGTGTCCCTCTTCCCCCTTTATCCCCAAGAAGGGAATGGGCGCGGTGCAAGCGAGATTATTCGTATTGGTAATTACCAGGATTACGCGCCAGATCCGACGATTTGAGGGCGTGGGATACCACCCTCTTACGGTATAGGATACATTAGCCTCCGTCAGCGGAGGAATGCAGAGGAACAAAAAGTCACTCTGCGTTGGCCTGCGCATTGTAGTTAGCTAACTATTCGTCTTCTCAACGCGACTGGCCGCAAAATAATTGTTTTAACCTCGTTCTTCGCTGTTGGTCTACTCTGGATAGATAATTTACAAGGAAAGAAAAAGAGAGAAGATAGTTCCATTACTCAAAGGGGTAATATGGCGTGTATAGGAACGCCTGTGGGTATCACAACACATCTCCAAGCACTTGGAGACATACACAGCTTAACACGAGAACGAGCAAATGAGTAATTGCGAGGAAAAAATACCATACACCAATAATAATAGCCAAGATAAACAGAGGTAAATGGCAAAAAGAAGAAAAAAATTATTGCCTGGTGTACGTGGTATCTATCGATCTATGGTATCCACATATACCCCGAACGGAGCATATACATATATCCCAACAAAACATCTGTCAGTAACAAAAGGAAAAACAGGAATAAACACAAACACGGCAAAATTGAAAAGAGAGGACAAGACCCTCACCCACAACTACCTGCTACATGTGTCCTCTCACCCCTTTTCCTATCCATCCCTAACACTGGACCTGATACTTCGCCTTCCGATCCGCCGTGTACATGCCCCAATGCTTCTCGCTCGCGGCTTTGCCATTATCACCCACGCTATCCGGCTTCCACGGCTCATCGAACGCCTCGAAGAAGAACACGTCCACGTTCCACGCGAGTAGGGCGCAGACGCCCTTGTCGTGGAAGGTCTTCGCGTTACTCGTGCCGGCTTTGGCGTTGCCATAGTTGGAGCCGCCGTCTGTTTGGTTTGGTTAGTGTATTGAATGGCTTTCTGGATTATAGATAAAATCTATCTTCAATAAGGGGGGGGGGGGTTCAAAGGAGGAGCAAAGGAGGAGCAAAGGAGCTCGTACCGGTTGGCCATCCGGTTTCGCCGGTGGCGATGTAGATATCCTTTGCGCGGGAGCCGGCAACCTTCTGGATGTGGGCCATGGCGCGGGCCATGTCGTCGAAGAGGGTGGCTGTTGCATTACCAACTTCCTGGGCCTGCCAGAAGGCGAAAGCGTTGACGAGCCTAGAAGAGGAGGGGAAAAGCAGACACAAGTTAGCTCATCCGTTTCACATTGTGTGACTGGCTGGCTTGTCGGACAGGGCCAAGAGGATATGAGGAGAATGGAAGGAGAATGGAAGGAGGACAGACAGGTAATCCACGCCGCCATGGATAAGAGCATCAGCGGTGCCATCATCATATTTATTCCAGCTGTCTGCAGTGCCCACGCGTACACCGGGAATTTGTTTCTTAACATCATTGATTTTCGCCAGGAGTTCTGGGCCAGTGAAGTTGCCGCGATAGAGCGTCTCGGAGCCAACTGTGATAGCAGAGATAACGTCTTCATTTCCCTTGACCGCCTTCTTCAGAATCGCAGTATCAGCTTTGAAGGAGGTTTCCACATCGGGCCTATATAAAACAAGTGTTAATTTTTGTTACTATGATTATGACATATACTTATTTAATCGTCCAGACGGGGAAGACCGTCCAACAGATAAAAATAAATGGAAAATAAATATATATATAATGTATAAGAAGGTGGCAGGGAGACATACCAAATCCCAAGAACAACCTTGAAGCCCTTCGCTTTCGCAGCAGGAATGATAGTCAGGGCGTTATCGCAGTCGCTCGCGGAATACGTCCGGACTAGCCGCGTATGGGCCTTGAGGACGTCGAAGTCGTCCTCGAAATCCTTTTGCGTCTTGCAGCTTCCATCGGCGTTCTTGACGCCCATGGCAAAGCCGAAGGTGCCAGCAGCGGAGACCACGGCCGGACTCACTGCTAGGGCGAGCGGGAGGAGGCTAGAGAGACGCATTGTTTATGCCGTATGAGAATAGAAGCGAAGGTCGATGTTTTGAACGGAGTTCTAATGAAGGTGTGGGATTTCCTTTCTCTATTTCCTTGGTTTTGTAGTGTCCTTTTGCTGTTAAATAAAGGATCGTTGGATGTTTCAAAGAAGGGAAGGGGGAAAAAATAAGGGAACGAAAGGGAATGAAAAGAAATCGCAGGAAGGAAAAAAGAAAAAGAAAGAGAGGACTGAAAACTTATTGAATGAACGGATAGGCCAAAGGACAAAACCAACGAAAACGAGAGTGGGAAGTGAATTGCGAAGCCAGTGGGAAAGGAGCGTTGGGTTTTGGGAGAGGGAAGAGAGTGAGAAGAGCAGCGGCAGAGAGTCGAGCCTCCTGAGGAGTAACTAACTACTATGGGGACTGGCAGTGGCAACGAAGCGGGAGTTGGTGGTCTGTCCCCACACAATTACCATGGGTCGCGGACCGCAATCGGTGGATGTCGATGGGGCCTGCCCTCGGGTTCCAGGCGCCCGGATCGATCAGGGTCAGCCCAGCAGCCAGCGGAACCACCAAACAGCACACGCCGCATCACCCGTTGGACCGTGGGTGCTTCAAAAGATTCATTACGTTGTACGGATGTCTAGTCGAAATTATGATTGCCCCATCGTCACAGACATGTGTCTAGGGAGGCAATTCTTCATGATAACGTTACCTAACCTCCTACCCTAGGCTCTGGCCCAGGTTTCACTTAACTGGTTAAGCGTTGCTTGTTTGCTCCTAAGCGGCTGGCGGCTGGCAACCACTGGAGAATTTCAGGGGGCCAAAAAAACCATCTTGGCCCTCTTTCCGCGAAACCCTAGGCTTCTACACAGAGCGGCAGCGTGCGTGGCGTTGTGCAAAGTGGAGCGACAAAAAATTTTAAGTTAGGGGATGGTGGTAAATTTTCGGCTTTATGGTGAGTATAGGAACTGGAGATCTGACCATCGGTGTTGGACAGTGCATTTACCACTGCTGGAATGAATTTATACAGAATATAAACTGGAACTCTTGAGGATTTGGGATGATTCGGGAGGATTTGGAGAAAACGACTCTGATCAACTTGTGTAACTGACAAATGCACGCCACTACTTGATGAATCCCTCAACCTTGTGCCCAGTTTTGAAAGAGAAAGAATTCACAACTGTTCAGAATCATGATATTCATTCCTCACCCCACCCATCCCTCACTCTATCGCCCAATACTTGTCCCAGGTCGGCTTTATTGCCCCTTCTCTCCTACAGTTAATAGTAACCTAAGTACAGTAAAGATGATCATGGTCTTTCATGTTATGGTATGTTTGTAGGAAGTCCCTCCCCAGGAATGTATGTACTGTACGTATGTAGCATTAAACAAAGAAGCGGATGAAAAAAAAAAGATAAAAAATAAAAAGCGAGCGGATCTAGACCTAAACCGAACAACTCACATATTTTAAAAAGAAGAAGAAAAAGAGGACGAAGAGGAAGAGGAAATATATAAACACTATCCCCGCTGCACATACTCCCTCGCCTCCTGCGGCGTAAGTCGCTTCCCCGTCTTATCATAGAACCGCGAACTAATCCGCAGCCATTTCTCCTCATCATACTGCGCCGCCAGCCGATTGAGGAGCAATATCTCCTCGAGGCTGAAATTCTCGTCAACGTAGAGGATTTTCTTCTTGTGGGGAGTTCGTGTGTAGGTGGACGTGTAGTTGTCGGCAACCTATCAATCAAATGTCAATGAAGAAAGGAGAAGTTGCTTTGGTTTCAAATATAGTAGATGGATATTCAATACAGAACGAAGGCTCTTTCTTATTAGCAGAAGAGAGGGGGAGGAAGGGGGAATATGAGGTGACATGACGTTTTATCACCTACCTTGCCGGCCATGATCAGCGGATCGGAGAATGAAACTCGCCGCTCGTGCCTCCGGTTCGTGTCTGTCTGCTGCTGCTGCTGCTGCTGCGATTTTAAGCTAGCCTCGCCCTGTGCGCTGGTATGTGGTCGTGGGATCTTATGTTCCACTGCCGGCCGAATTATTCCCCACCGAGTCTTAAGTGACTGAACGGGTCTACCCATGGACGTTGATATCGCTTTCCAGCTCATATCCTCCGCCTTTAATCGCCGCAGCGTATCATCATCATCTGTTGTCCATCCCTGTTGTGGCTGTTGTGGCTGCGGTTGCGGTTGTGGCTGCTGCTGCTGTTGAAGAGTTGGACTGATGCTCGCATTATTCGCGCTGGAACCGCCGCCAGTGCTCGCCCCATTTGTTTGCACCTGATCAACCGATGTTTGGGGAACGGATTGGTATTGTAGAGCAGACTGGGTTCCGTTCGGCTGGTTGGCATCTTTGGACGGAACGGGGACGTAGACGAGCGGAGGGTAACCTGGGGGCAGGCTGGGAGGGGATCCATTGCGGAAATTGACTGGGTATCCCCTAATTGTTGTGGAGCGAGCAGCTAGGTCCGCTGTTGCTTTCTTGCTCCTGGCTGCTGTTGCGGCTTTCTGGAGTTCCAGCTGTTAGAAAAGGAGGATATTTGAACACCCAGGCATTGCTGTCTAAACCATTTTTCCTACCTTGTAGGCTGCCGCAGCCATCTCCTCCCGGATCGTCTTGGTGCTCTTGAAGACATCGGCAAAAGACAGCTTCAGCCCTCCCCTACCATCGGTATATGCAGGCATGTTGTTTCTGTTTATTTTGTCTGTCGTTCACTCCTCAAGCCCCGTCGCTTTTCAAAACCACTGATGAGTTACAGACAGGGAGGGGGGTTGAAGCATTTGGTATAAGTTATGTATAAACATGCGAGTGTGTGTGGGAGAGGTACCATGAGTTTTTTCACAATGAAGAGGAAAACAGGAAGTCACCCAACAACGGAGATCCTCCTCACAGAGCCAGCCAGGCTGGGTGAGTTTCTTTCCAGAAATTAACCTTGAAATATTAATTTTTTTCCTAGTTTAGAACTCCACTAAACAAAAAGATAGCTGGGGAACCATAGAATGAGAAAAATAAATATAGGTATATAGAAGAGAGGATCTCTTCATAGACAATATCAAATCACCATTTATATTCTGTCACAGGAATATACAACGGTTTTTCTAGAGAATTGCAAGCGTAAGTGTCAATAGAAGTTGGAGAGAGCATAAGCAAGCACAACCTAGAAATGCCTGGATGATTGTTTGTCAATGCCAATGGCACACACATCCACCTGCTGTTGTCTGTTAGGAATCTCTGCATGACTGCCTCGTTCTGGCAGAATAAAGGCCATCTGAGCAATCGGAGCTATATAACAGCAGCCAGCTCGTCCCACATCCCACAATCCGCCCACCCATCCCACTACTCAATAAGAACCCGTTACGGAATCCCCTCTGGCTGACAGGTCGAACGGTAAGTGAAGCCGCAAGAAGTGATGAGTTGTCCACAGATAGTTGGACTTGGGCTGCTGGGTCGTGCATGATGAGCTGGTGTGAGTTTGGTCATGTTAAGCCAAGCTGGCTACGGTGGGTCAAAGAGACCAATTATGCATCTCCACCTCAGGCCCAATCAACGAACGGCAAAGGCTAAAAGCAGCCAGATTTCAGCTATTCACGACCTCGACGAGCAAATTATACCCAACACATATGCTTGCAACGCTCTCCAGTGTCTTTATTTTTCTAGAAGACCCAGCAGCGTATCTCCCGGCGGATTCTGCCTCGTCCTCCCGAAAACCCAATTGAACCTAGCCCCAACACGCTGGGTCCCGGAACGAGGACACACCATGCGATTCTCTCCGGCCACGGTGCTGGTCTCGTTGCTGGGATGGATAGGGGTCGCATCTTCACATAACATCCTCCTCCGGGCACACTCGAGAGAGTGCTTCCACGAGGACCTGCACAAGGATGACCGCATGACCGTCACCTTCCAAACCGGCGACAGGGAGTTTGGAGGCAGCGGGAACCTCGACGTCAGCTTCTGGGTACGTCGAACATGATCACGCTACACTCCCCTCCGCCCACCCACCCACCCACCCACACACACACATCATTTGCCAATCTACCCATTGTCACCATCACCGTCACCGCCATCGCCCCGATAGATAGTTGAAACAAAAGAAAAATCTAACTGCAAAGCAATAATAGGTCCAGGACCCCTCTGGTAACCGGCAGTATACCAAATACTCCTCCTCGGACGAATACTCCTTCACAGCATCCCTTGACGGCAAATACATCTACTGCTTCGGCAACGAGGCCTGGTCGTCGAATAGCAAAGAGGTCTCTTTCAACGTCTACGGAGTCGTCTACGTTCCTGAATCGGAAGCGTCCACCGATCCTCTGGAAGCTGAAGGTTAGATTTGCTATGTCTCTCACCACGATAACTCACCTTTATCTACCTCTATATATAAACTTCTTCGCAATTGATTTTCTTGGAAGAAATATATCTTCTAACATACATCGTTTTGCTTTTTATCAGTCCGCCGTCTCTCCGAGGAACTATCACAGGTTAAAGATGAGCAGTCCTACATTATTGTTCGGGAACGCACGCACCGCAACACTGCCGAGAGCACCAATGCTAGAGTCAAATGGTGGAGTATTTTCCAACTATGTATAATCATTGGCGAGGGCATTTTCCAGGTCTGGTGGTTGAAGCGATTCTTTGAGGTTAGTGGCTTCGTCAGTTTGGTTTTGCGGCTGCTGTTGCTTAACATTGTCCCGTGTCCTTTTGTTAAAAGAACATATATACCTTACTGACTGCATTTTTCTGCTTTGCTATAGGTTAAACGCGTTGTCTGATGCTAGATTTTGCTCTTTGGTTGGAGGTTGGAGGTTGGAGGATATACATTATAGTTTCTTTTCTTTTCTTCCCGCCCCCCTTATTTCTATTACTATTATTATAGTCGTTGTTTTCTATTGATGCGAGCCATTTTTTGCCATTACGAAGCGGCGAGACGAAGAAATAAAATGACTATTTTTCACCTGATATTCTGTTTCCTGAAAAAAAACACGTTACGCCTTTTTAAAAACGGATGTCATTGCAGGATGGGTGTTTTGCCTCAACTCTTCCAACATACATTTTCTACTACAACTTTTTCACCACTCCTTTTGCATTCGGTTCGCTTCTGAGCCATTTGTCTCGATACTGTTGGAATCGTTATCTCAATTATGACGTGGGGTGTTAAGGGCTATCTAGTACTTACTTCTCTCACTCTGTAATTGTGTATTATATCTTGCTCAGCGCACGCGAGAGCTGGCTTTTTCCGCTTTAGAAATATGATAATTTAACGAATGTTCACCAAGCTTCCCCGCAAACTAATCTGCCAAACGAGCTTATCCAATTTACGGTCCACCTGTTGATATTTCGCACAGTCTCAGTATCGAAAGAATAAAAGAACAGTATGTCCTACGGAAGGGCCTTTGACATAAATCTTGGCTCGGCAGAAAGCAAGGAAGGCAAAAATCTAGGCCCGGAACTCAAGATAGTTTACCATCTAATTTGTCCAGCCTTGTCTAATAATTAAAGAAATATGTTATATCTTATCCCAAAGGGAAATATTAACCTATCACCCTCAAATAAACAGCCCAACCCAGAATAGATTATACGAACAATCATTCTCAACAGCAACTTACCACGACGCACATCCACTATGTCGGAGGTGACGACAGCACTTGAACTCCATCTTCCGAGCAGGCGTATTAATGCCTCAGATATGTCGCCGGAGTTTCTGAGAAGGCATCACCTAAAACATGGAAATGGCCGCGGCGATGACCACGAGGAAGATAAAGACGATCCGTTGTTGCATTTCTGCTGGCAACAGCAGAGGTGCGGCTCATGCCTGGAGGCTTCGAGAGCGTGCAGCTGGTGTCCTGATGTATGTCTTTATTTCTTTCTTGGGTTTATATGAAGCCCTATCGTCGATCTGCTTTATGTTTTCCTATATATAGGTGCGCATGCATCCTTCTACCAAACCCACTACCATTCATCTTGCCTATTTCTATATCATCCTCCTGTCTGCAAATCGCTTCCCCGAAACACACATATTCACACAAAATAAAAAGAAAGAAAGCTAATTAACCCTTCCCCGACTCAGTCTTCAACCTGCGTCCCCAACCGCTTTCCCTTCCCCCTCCTCGCCCCCCTAACCTCCCCTTCCATCTGCCCCTTAGGCTCCCGCGAGCGTTGGGAGCTACGCGCAGCCCCCCTCGGCTGCAACGTCAGCACCCTCACGTTCATGACCGGTGCGGTGTCGGTGTCGGGTACACTTTTGCTGGTGTTCGTGGGGTGGGTTATCGTTGTGCTTGGAAGGAAGGTATGGAGGGCTGTTCGGTTCCGGGGTGGGGGTCGGGAGAGGAGGAGGGGGAGGAGCGGCAGCGATTGGCGCTTTGATTTTAATGGTCGTGGTGGGGGGCGATGGTGGAATCTGGGGTCAGGGAGGAGGATTGTAGCCATTGTAGAGCAGGAAAGGAGGCCGTTGCTGGCTTAGATGTGGATGGGTGGAACCTGGGGCTTCCTCTTATGCATTTTTTATGATTTACGACGTTTATGATATGGTTATAGGGCTGGCTGGGAATGATATGTCATTGGGAGCTTTCTGGGAAAGATAGAACCTTTTTTTTTCACCATGGATTTGGTTTTTGGGATTATTGACTGATTGAGATAATGCTTTTCTCGCCTTGATTCGGCAGCAGTTTGACTTTCCATATAGATCTATTCCGTATATATTTATATCCCTAATCTCGACACCTGCCAGAGCGTTGATATTATCAGTCTCCTTGCCAAATTACCCCGAAGAGCCTCAAAGATGGAGCAGCACCCAGCTTGATACATATAAATATGTAAAATATGTTGGCAAGAAATCCCCTACAAAACGATATTCATCACCGCCCCAGCACGTTCTCCCAATTTTAGACCTTAAAGGTAACCTTGCTAACTTTGTACTCCACAATTGGAGCTTCGCCCTTCTCGTATATGAAATGACCACCCCCAACCCATACGCCTGTTTCGAGGCTTGCGTATTTTTCACCGCCAGTCTGGTTGAGATTGATCATAAGTCAAGCGCAAGTTCAGGTTGTGGGGGTTTGGGTGGGGATGGGGAGAATATGCTTGGGTGACATATTTCCGCTGCGGTTTGGACATATACAAGCAGTTCCTACCTCGAAAGTCAGATGGATAACTACGATTCCAATTGGTCGTTAGCTGTATGCTCCGATTTATGAACCCTGAAATACTAGGAAGTCGCGGAGAAGATGCAAGAAACAAAAATAATAAAGGAAGAAATAGAAGAAACGGGCGAATAGAGGATTCAGGGGGACTGTACATGAATTCCCAAACGAAGTAACCGTCGACTCCGATTCACCACTCATGATCGCTTCTACGGCCGGAGTCATATCAACAATACCGGTATAGTTGAGATATATGGTCTGGTTTTCGAGTTTTTACTTTAGTTTTTGAAAATAACCTAAACTGAAACACGATTGGAAAAGGCAATGCAAAAGTATTACCACATCGTCTCGGGTCCTTCAAAAGGGGTCAGAAAATATTAGCCCATTGTCTCTATATTTTGCAACACCATGGATCTTCTACTTCGCCCGGGATGGCCAGGTGGTTAAAGGGGGCTTGTATTTGGGAGGCATCGTGTATTGTCAAGAGATTTCAGAAATCTCTGGTGATGATTTGAGGGTCAGCTATACTTAATCACTCCATGCGCGTCGAGCCTCAAATGTTCTCCATCCGGGTCGACGTGAATGTAATCGTTGCCCTGCCCGACAAACTCGCCACTGAGCGCTGGGGAGAATGTGCTCTCACTCTCGATATTTCCAGAGATCATGGGCTAGAAGATATAGAAAGTAAATCATATTAGAAAATAAGTCGCTCTATTTTCTATAAGTATCTGAACTCCGCGTAGAAGGGCGTAAGGGAGATTGATTGATGTATACCGTAACCATAAGCTTGGTTCCGCGTGAAAAACTTCCTGTTTGTCCGAGTTGATAGATCAGAGTGTATCCGATTTCATTGTCATTTGCTTGCTTGATAACATTGTATCGTGGCTGAATTAAATCCCATGGGGTTTTTGTATTGGTGGGAGGATTATTTTCAATCTAGCTCACCAACAGCAGTTGGAGGTTTGATTTTGACCTGTTTTTCATTTTTGTTTTTCAACCGATTTGGTCAGTATGCCTCTTTGGTGTATCAATCGGGGTTGTCCAAGTCGTCATTGAGCTCCAGCAACAAACGAGGGTGATGCGGGGTATGGCTCATTTACCTGCATCGTAAAGGCTGGCTCGAGGCTTGGGAAGTGGGCCATGATTGTGCAGTTTGTCAGCTCGATTCGCGTTAACTACTAGGACGGATGGGAGGGAATATATGTGGAAGACTATAAGCAACAATTGAGAGCGGGAAAAGGAATGTCGAGAAGGGGGAGCGAATGTTTGCAGATGAAATATTACATGCCTGTTATACCCCACACTAATTTTTGCCCGTTTCGTACCTCGGTAGAAAGAGATTCTTGAAGATCTAGCAGGAGAAAAGAGAGGTAGTTCGGTACTAATGCGAACAGCCAGTTCGGGATTACTTGAGACCATGTCGAAGATGAGGTGCAATTTTGAGGCATTATTCCATCGATCTGATTCATACTGCTCCAACACTCATCCAAGTAATTTGATAGACCCTGCTTTTTCTTCCTTGCCTTTTAGCGAACTTGCCAGATCAAGAATTCTTCAATTGAGTTCATTAAAAGGGGTTTCCCTATCATCGCAAATGGCCCTGTGGCCTTGGGGTTTATCCTCAATTCTTTATCTTGCGTCAAGCTCTCTCAAGAATTTGGATCAGTCCTTGTCTAAAAGCCTCTCGTTGCCAACACTGCGATATTTTCAATGTTCGGGTGGAGGTTGCAGCGGGTATGACGTCACATGACAAGAGACCAATTTTCCTGTTTCGGACTGGTTCCAGCCCTAGTCGATCCACCGAACATATTCATTCCAGGATGTTTTACTAGTATTTTTCCAGACTGAATCAGGCGATGTACAGCAGATGTCAAATGCAACAAAAGACGGCAGCAGTGTTCATGTTTTCCCTTGCTTGATGCCTAGATTTCCTTTCACAAATTTCCAGTCCGCCCTTAGATGCTCTTGAGCTACCATCACCGTTGGCTCAATTGCCAACCTGGAGGAGCGAAGGGACCATGGTCAAGCTAGTCCTAGCTCTCTTGCTCCTAGCATCTCGGCCGCTCTGGACTTCTGCTGGCGATGCACAAGAAGCTAAAGATGGAAAGCTTCATGGTCGTTTTTTACATATCACTGGTTGGTTGTGCTGATGTTCCCAAGCCCTCAAAATGCGGAATGCATATCGATGCTAACATCAGTCGTGAAGATATACATGTTGATCCGAATTACAAACCAAATTCCAATACCGACGGGGATCACGATTGTCACAGAGGATCTGGACATGCAGGCTTTTTCGGAACTGTCGGCTCTGATTGCGACTCCCCTCTCACCCTGTTAAACGCAACAGTCGCGTGGATTCAAGACAACCTCGCAGACTCGATCGACTTTGTTATTTGGACAGGCGATGCGGCACGCCACGACAGTGATGAAAAAATACCACGTACGGAGAAAGAGGTTCTCCAGTTGAACCAGTTGTTGGCCAGCAAATTCCATGACATCGTTTCTACATCAAATGGGAAGAAAAAGGAAATGCGAATTCCATTCGTCCTTACAATCGGGAATAATGATGTAATGCCCCACAATATCTTGAAGAAGGGACCTAATACCTGGACGAAGAACTTTGCCAGTATCTGGGATCCTTTTATTCCTGAGGAACAGCACCACTCATTTGTTCACGGTGGCTGGTTTTATGTAGAAGTCATTCCCCACCGATTGGCTGTTTTCAGTCTTAATACGATGTACTTCTTCAGCTCAAATAGTGCTGTTGACGGATGTGCGAGTGAAGACGAACCCGGATATGAACATATGGAGTGGTTGCGGGTCCAGCTCCAGTTCATCAGGAAAAGGGACATGAAAGCAATTCTAATTGGACACGTTCCCCCGGCCAGGACAGATTCCAAGGAGAACTGGGATGAGACATGCTGGCAAAAATATACGCTCTGGCTACAGCAGTACCGTGATATAATCGTTGGGAGCATGTTTGGACATATGAATATCGATCATTTTATGCTCCAGGACACGAAAGATATTAAGATCGGTGATGGGGGAGCCAAATCTCTGCTCAGGCTGGCGAAGCGGGACAGCAGTGACGATCAGACGGTGTCCATACAATCACGCATGAATTATTTAACAAGTCTGAGGGATTCTTGGTCACGGTTGCCATCTCCGCCCGATACATCATCTTCCGCCTGTTCAGAGGGTGGTGTCGATAGTAAACTTAACTACAAATCTCATCTTGGTTTAGTTTGGGGTTTGAAACCCCAAGGCAAGAAGAAGGAGATGAGAAAATATCTGAAGGCCATTGGTGGGCCTTGGGCGGAAAGATACAGCATATCACTTGTTTCACCCAGCGTGATTCCAGACTACTATCCGACCTTGCGCGTGATCGAGTACAATGTATCCGGTCTAGAGAACGCTAAGATTTGGTCGGAAGCAACTTCGCATCACAAAAAATGGCAGCAGCCGACATTACCTTTGCTTGAGGATGTTGATATTGACACTCAGGATCTGCAGGAAGAAAGCAGAAAGAAAAAGAAAGGTAAAAAGAAAAAGAAAAAGAAGCCAAAAATGCCAAAATTCAAATCTCCGGAACCACCATCTACTACATCGCCACCAGGACCTGCGTATTCGAACCAGCCGCTAACCCTGCTTTCATATACACAATACTTTGCCAATTTAACAGAACTCAATAATATCCAAACGATGAGTTCTACAGTTGGCCGAGATCACAACCAAAAACTTCTCAAGCATGACCCACGAGAATCCGACGATGGCCTCCAGCCAAGGAAGTTCTCCTTTAAAGTTTTTTACGATACCAAAACAGACAAAGTATATAATCTGAAGGATTTGACGGTCAAGAGCTTCCTGAATCTCGCGAGAGGGATTGCAGAGAAGAAGAAGGCCTCGGGTGGGAGGAGAACTGAAGCAGGCGTAGCTCCTGGTTACCTAGATGGGAAGGCAAAAACGCCGCCAGAGGAAAAGAGAAATGAGTTGCCCGTAAATCAGAATCAAGGTCCGTCATTGAATTATTTATGCACGGGGATGGAAGCATCGCCTCCAATGACGCGGTCTCGCGATAGTCTTTGGTCCGTGTTCGTGCGGCGGGCATTCGTGGGGTTTGTCGACGATAACGCATGAGCGACTATTTATGCCACAGGGATTGAGGGAACATTTTTCAACAAATGATTACATATAATTTTCCCTTCTTTTCCTTCTTCCTATATATCCGTATATATTTACTTTCTCACACCAGGCGTTTCTGGATTTCTCTAGTTGGTTTTTTGGTTTTATCAATCTCTCTATTCATCTATTTACTTTTTGGCCTTTTCATACCCGATCCTTGAACGCCGTATATCCGGTATTAATACAAATTTGCCTTAAAAAATACTGCGTTTTCATTTTAGTATTATGGACGTTTTCCCCCTCCTTCATAATTTCGAACACTGGTTATCTCCTTATGTATATTATACCTTTAATGCATGCTTATGGTTTGTGCGTCATATTTTACGTTCCCTGCAGGCCCATCATGTTATTTTTCCTTATTTTGCTTCTAGTAACTACTTAATTTGGGGATTGTATGATTATAGTGTTCTCATCAGAGAGTATTGCAATGGAGGCATGTGATTTCGAATGGTGGAGAAAATAGGACGTTGTTGTGAGTCAGAAACGATGTTATCTATTCATTCTTTTTCTTTTCTTTCTCAAGTAAGAGGATGCTATAGCAGGGGTTTAGTGGAGGAGGGTGACCTGAGTCCTGCTGCGCAGTCGCAACGGGCGCAGCACTTCGCTTTGATAAGTGTGACTAAGCGCCGCCTATGTCATCGATTCTCAAAGGAGCAACATATTTACCACCGATGGAAGGAAATTTTGTTCAATGGCGATGAGATGTTCCTCTCAGCATTTCTCCGGCCCAGCTGTCAATTCCGTGGAAGGAATTCAGTGTCCTCAGTCTCCTAGAAATACTGCTCACTCAGAAATAGAGTAAACCAATACAGTAAATTTGGTGGGACACGTTTTTAAGAGAGAAAAAAGGGCTAAATGTCGCTAGAGAAGAGAGTAGTTGTTACTATGGGTTTTGGTGTTGTCTCATTTTGTTGCTCGAAAGGCCAACCGCTCATGATAAAGACGGAGGGTATGAATGGACAATCGACAATGGTCAATGTCATCCTCCCAGACCACAAAAGGGATATCTTCATCGCATACGACAAAAAAAAGGACGAAGGATTGATTCCTTTTGACAAGAAAGGGTGGTTTTTATGGGGAGGTATTTGGATCTTTCTTACGGGGAAAAAGAAGAATAGAAAGGCGCCCGAGGATGACGGTCTGGTTCTCTTTATGGTGTTCACTTGTCAAACCTAGAACGCTGGTATATTTATATCTTGTTGCAATACAAAAGGGCTTTGTTCGAGGGTTTAAAGGAATAGATGATGTTTCCAGTACAATAGGCATGACCACGAGAGGGATAGATTATATATTTAGCGCATGGCCTTGCTCGATTACTTCACAAATTAGCGTCAGGATATCAATGTATCATGAAGATTTATTAATCGCTGTCGAAAACCTGTGCTGGACCTAACGTTGGGAGGTAGCAGCGAATCTTTATGAGTTAGTTGAATACGCAGCTTCCGGAGTATGATGCCCCTTAAGTAACACCACAGCTCGGGAAGGCTAATTGGTCTAAGTCGTTAAGATCTGTGTGTAGGATTAGGG